GAATGCATGACCAATATGAGAAAACTACACAAATTAAAGTCCATACTTCCAGGCACTGCTTGATACAAAATGTTTCCCATTGAGAAAAAGAGGTCAAAGGTTAAAGAATGGTTTGAAAATATGAAACAGCTGTTTTCTAACAGAAATATCCTTTCAATAAGTTTGAATAGCGTTTTAATGAAAAAAAAAAAGTATCAAAACTAACATCAGATCTTTGTAGTGCTATATTATTGCTCCTTTAGGGATATACAAAAGTCAAAGAGATTATTCAGACTGATTTCAAGTACCCTTCACATATCATGTGAAGAAAAGCTAAAAAAAAAGAAAGAACAAACAGTTGTGCAGACATGGCAAACATTCTTAAAACCAAATTGGGCATGTAATGAACAATGGAAACCATTTGTGAGTATCCTGAAAGCCAAGTTACACAGGATTACAGTATTTCTCTGGTTCATTAAAGCTCAAGTGTATCAAAACAGCTAGCTACTTGCTCCACATAGCTGTCAACTCTTATAACTCCTGTCATTGACACTGAGGTTATTTGTGCTCGATGCTGCATGCACTGCACGGAAAACAGACAGCTAAACTGTGATAGCAACAGTATGGGTAGACAAATGTTGATTGTAAAATCATGGCCAACACTATGTAAAAACAGATGGTGTTTTAGAGATATCACAGAAATAATCCTGACATGGGTGTAATACATTCCTTCACGTAAAAAATACTATAAAGCTTTGCCACATCGTGAACTTGTCTAAATATGATCTTGAAGGTTTTAAAAAGAAAAGAAAGCTTAACTGCAGAATGTTATCCACAACTTTTATGTTGTCATCCACACAAGTCACCAGCTGCGTTGGCTTTATGTTCGTGTAGAATTTTATTGCATTGTTTAAAATTTCTTTTGATATTACTGCTTCTTTGTTGTGCCTCTACTAGTACTGTTCAGCAAGCCTGACTCACGCACATCCTATTCTGAGGTACTGGTCATTATGCAGCATGCAACAATCCTCCTAAGGAAACTCCCCGAGAAAGGGTACCTTGGGCACAGGGTAAAGCCAGACAGAGGTCGTCTGGTTTTACGGGCTTAAAATCACTATCCAAAAGACCGCATTTCCAAGTTCCCCATTAAGAAGCAAATAAGGGGCTTGCATAATTTCATTGAGATGCATTTTATAAAGTGCTGTCAATTTAAATACCTTAAAACCAAAATTGTTTGTAAAGGCTTTTATTATGCGCTCTCTCAAAAATGATATACATGTAAAGTATTTGGCAGTGTCCTGCCAGATGCCTGCCTCTAGTCTTGTTACTCAAAACACAGAAGATTTCTTTTTATTTTGCTGTCCAAGGAATACTTTAATACAGCCTGGTTTTACTCCTCTGCATCCCTGTGTACTGTAGCCAAAGAATAGCAGATGTTGTATGGGTCTATGGCCTTCACTTATCTAAATGACTTACACAAGGGATGCTTGCAGGAAAGGCACAATAATAGCGAATTCTATAACAAGTTCTCTGATCAAGTCTATGCACAAGGCAGGAAAACATACTGGTAATGATTTAAAAACGTTTACAAGATCTGCACTTTCACATTAAGCGATGTCTTTTGAACTGAATCCTCTTTGCCTATATTATATGAATTATAAGTACAATATTGGTAGGAGTGTTGGACATTTTAAACACTCCTACCAACACTTTTCTTACAATACATTCATCATCACCCTGCAGCTCTCAAATGGCTACCCACTGAAGCTAAGCAGGGTTGAGCCTGGCCAGTACCTGCATGGGAGACCTCCTGGGAAGCTATGGTTGCTGCTGGAAGAGGTGTTAGTAGGACCAGCAGGGAGTACCCTCCCTGCGGTGTGTGTGGGTCCTAAGGCTGAGGGAGGAAATTTGGGTCGGACAACGGGATAATTCCCTGCTCTTATCGAGAAATGTCCGGGAATATTTAATGACCACTGAGGGTCAGGATCTCGGTTTCACATCTCATCCGAAAGAAGTGGCAAAGAATGCCACTGTGGCAGGGAGTTATCCCGGTGTCCGAGCCAAATTTCCTCCCTCAGCCTTAACTGTAACCTCCAAATTGTCCCCATGTATGATTAGCTTGCACTTGCCCTGCAATGTCCTGCATTGCGCTTGTTGCTTGCTGGGTAGGCTCTGGATTCCCACGACACCGTGGGGTATAAAGCAGTTTGGCAAATGACATGATGATCATTAATGCAATTAAAGTGCTATTGCTTCGTTCCCATCACAAAAACAACCTTCAAAATTTAAAACATAAAATTGAGATAGACAGAAATTAGAGCTCAAACATCTGCACACATCAGAAAACACTCCGATGTTTAGATTTCTCAAACTTTAATACATATACTTGACAGCTTTAACACAACTTTCATCTTTTTTCAACAAAACTCTATTTGTCATCTCTTTCCGTACAGCTGAAGTACATTTTAAAACACTTCATTATTTGCCAATGAAATGTTTTCCCCTTCAGAAATTACTTTGCAAAAATATTTCACTTTTTAGACAAATGCATTTAAAATGCATCTTGCACAGTACAAGGCAAACATCTGTCAAGATTTATTCACTCATGCAAATAAGACCTGCAGGGCATCAGGACAGTAGAGAAATGAAGTAAATATCTGGAACAGCAGCAATACTCTTTAAAATCTGCTCTCCCATAGTTATTAAAAAAAGCAATTAACAGCACCTGGACTGGTCAATGGCTCAAAAAACAAATGAAGGCCATTATTAAAGTCTGAAAAGTCCAAAAGGCTGGGGAACAGATATTCTGAGTAGTGGGATGGAAGGTTGAATAATGTGACCAAAAACGTCTGGTGCAGTCAGGAGCACAAGAAGCATTTCCCAGCATAACCTCTCTCGGACATACTAGATGATCAGCTTGTATGTTCTCTTTTTCACAGTAAGAAGACATGTCTAACCGTTACCCATGCTTCCAAATACACAATATGATAAATATGGGCACACATTCAACATCTGATGGAATCAAAGCAATAAACAAAAGCAGCACTTAACAGCTGCAAAATAACAGTCTTAGGAAAAAAGTTGTTAAATTCAGAAACAAAATGCTCACAAGTCACACTAGCACTCATATACACTTAGGAAAACTTAAAAAAAATGTTTAAAATTTTGGCAAGAACAAGTTAGACAATGAATGCCTGAAAAAACTTCCCAGAGTGTTCTAACAAGTCTTAACATACTTTAAACTTTGAAGTTAACAAAAGGTTAGATTTAGTTAGATGAAAAATACTAATCTCTTCTACCCTTAAAGTGCTAATGACTCTCTAGAGACATCATCTATGGATAATGGAAACCACTATCAACCAGTCCTGAACTAAATCACGGATGTATCCCTGAGTTACAGTAGCTTGACTGCTTCATTTACCCCAGTAACTGTCCATGGGGTAACATGCCACTCACACTATAAACTTGATGCACTAAAGATAAAGTCTGACCATACAATCTATGAAACCAAGAAATTCACCGCAATTTTCTAAAAAAAGATTTGAAAGAACATACAAGAACGTTCACTGAGCTGTGACAAACAGGAGTCTGTTAGCTATCGGGGAAAACTGAACATGACTCCTTCTTATTAAAGGAAAACTATTTTTGTACTTCCCGACTAGAAAGAATTGGCACTGATGGTTTGCATTTCAAACCACAATGAAAGCAAAATGTACACAGTAATATATAAAACCTTCTATTTTCCTTCCTTCAGAGTCCTATTACACTATAAACAAACAGACCTGTGAATACATTTCTTTTAATCCATTAGAAATATTTATCTTGATTACAAGACAGTTTTGCTGAAAAATACTACCTACTTGTTAACTCTACATGCAGATCATGCATGAACATTTATGTGGTAAAATGTCTACTGCACAACCTGTACATCTCATTAGATAACTCATTACAGTGACTAGTGAGCAGTGAGCAAGAAGCGCCTCCTCATGTCACAATTCACACAACAAAACGTTAAGCGCAAAATCGTGAGTTTGGAATTTGTCAAATTCTGTGATCCTGTCAATGTATTTTTTACCGAGATTTAATAACTGGTCTGAGAAATTGCATTTCCCCTTTAAGCAGCTTACGTAACACAGTGCAGGTTTTAAAAACTCATAGAAACGGACAAGTAACTGTGAAAACTCCTTGGTGCATCCAAATGTCAATCTCGGTGGGTAAACAAAATATGAAACAATTAACTGAATGTGTAAAGCCCAGGTTTCATCACAGGAGACATTAAAAGCTTCACCTTAAGTCCAGAACCTAATATTTTAGGTGCTAATGAATAGACAGCAGTAGTCTCTGAGTGTGCAGTGTTGTTGTGTGTGGATCCTACCCCATGGTTTAGCATGTCGAATTTTACACTTAAGTCTCCATAAAACAGCAGGTACTTATGGAAAAACATATGTTAAAGAGGTGCCAGCTTTAAAACTGTCAATCAAAACAACAACTTCAAGCTCTTAAGGATACAGTGGGGGTTGGAATTTTGTAAATTAGAGACCATTATTTCTGTATGTGGTCTATAAGATAGAGCTATAAACAACGATGAATGGAAAGAATGCAGTCGAAAGGCCGACGCTGTGAGGGTATAAATCAGGGAGGCAGAATTCCCAAGAAATGTTAATAAAATGTTGCATTTGCACACATCTGTGGGATTACCCAAAGACAACATGCCCCTAGTAATGTATACATCTACCACAACAAAATAAGGAATAGACATTTTTGTCTTTGTCTCAGTTCAAGCCACTCAGTATCTGTAAGTTCTGTGTCTTAAGGTGTTGATCCTGTTAAAAGAGGGCATACAAATGGTGGAACAGGAACCTGCTGGATGCACCAAGGTCAAAATGCACATAACTACGTTTTGATAAACTGTTCAAGCTGATAGAATTAAAAGATGCTACACCCCAGCCTGACTGGCCAATTTGGCAAGTTTGAACTTTTAGAATCTCTGGTTGTTGGGTATCTTGCAATCCAAGTATTACCTTTGTGCTTGTGATAAGAGAGCTCTCTGGTGGTTAGACGAAGCCATCTCTTCTTGAAGTTCTTTTTTCCAATTCGTTTTCTTCCCTGAGCTCTTTTGTGAACTTCCCTGAGGGAAAAAAAAAACCCAAATGATTCTTGTCAATCGCATTCTCATATTTCCAATTATCTTTCTATTCTTACATTAGATTTTAGTTTATTTTTCCTGGCAATGAAGCTATTTTCCAAGGACATTGTGAAGGATTACACTTACCTCCATGGGAAAACTACGATCTTTACAATGCATTATTTCAGTTTACAGGGTTCAACAGAATGTGAAAACTACAAGGCTTTAAAAAAAAAAGATTGATCTCTTGGAAGGTGAAATGACATAAAATCACAAAATAAGCAGAATGTGAGATTAATCAAAATCATCCTAAGAAGGCACCCTAAAATCCAAATTATATCTTCAAAATGCATAATGATAGCAAACAACGCAAACACATGAGGTTAATATTGAGCTTCCTGCACTTAGGGAGGGGTAAGAAGATAAATCTGTCTGGAATTTTATAAACACTGCAATTTCATCATTTTACCACAAGAGGGGGTGAAAAGACTTCAAGCAGGCTGAATCGCGAAAGTAAATGACAAAGATGTCCGATTCCATGTTCATTCAGGGAAATCCAGCCATTGTACGATGAACCAAGAGCTCCATATCCATGCACTAAATGTTAATCATTACCGTCTGAAAATGGTTACATTTGATTTTTAAATGTTAGACAAACTGTGTGGTTTTCACAGGAAGGCATTTCTGTTACAGGAAATAAAAGCCCAAACCAAACGTCTGCATTTCACAAATTGTATACTGTACAAAATATTTTGTGATGCAAAAATCTTGACTGTCTTTTTAAATTAGATTTTGCCTTGATAACCCTGCACATATGGGCACATACTACAAAACAAGTTACGTCTCATGATGACTTGGATTACATACCAAAAGCAAATCTGGATGCAGTATCTCTGCTGTCTGTTTCAACAGCTCTGTTAATAAGCTACATTCGTGCAAACTTTGAAGCCAGTGGAAACAGAATGAGGCACTTTGGGCCACACTCAAATTTAACAAGACACACAACAAAGCTTTTTAAGGCCTTTAAAAGCAGATGACAATTCAAATTGCACAGAGAAGAAACATTTTGCCAGTGGGCATTCTAAGATTAACAATCTGAATGAGTCTGGGGACACTTCACAATCTCATGGGTGCTATTTTCAAGTTAGGAAGCAAACGAGCATGACGGTAACATGGTTCTAGTTTAAAACTGTGAATAAGGGGCTTTGCAAATAAAAACAAGACAGCCAATTATTTCCCTACTAATACTGAACTTGTTAAAATGCACATTTTTACTTACTGATGGCATGATTTAGCCCACGTCTACATTGCCAGATACAAAATGGGCATAACATCCTGCAGATGACTATTTTCCACCCCGTTGGTTTAAAATTGAAGATTCATTCGGCAAAAGTAATATACAACTGATAAAAGCCAATGCCAGGGTAGCCGAACAAGAACATGAATTGAATGAAATTAACCTTTATTGCCCCTAAGAGAATTTGGTCTTGCACATTAAAAACAGCTCAACAACATAACGTATACGACAATAATGCAACAACAATAGATAAAACTACATCTGACCAACATTGCCATAAGGTTAAAAAAACAAGGCAATTAGCTTATAAAAAGTCAAAAACGATAAGATCCCTGACGGCAAACTCCCCCCCACATTATTCAACAAAGAATTTAATTTATATCTAAAAGCATTCAATAAGTGCTCTCTTAGTCTTTATACAGGGTATCTGGTACCTCTCTTAGAGGGCAGGACAGGAGTGTATATTCTAAAAGTTACCATTGTATTATTTCAAAATGAGCTGAATATTCTTGCCTTGAGCTCTGGGGTGGGATATAAAAAGGATCAGTGTTGGGGAAAATTGTTTAAGGAATCACCTTGTTAGATTAATAATTTGGATAAGAATAAGGTTATTGCTTTTGAAAAGTTACTTCATATAGTAACCATACACACTATGGTACACCAATGCCTAAAAAAATCCAAAGCTACTTTTGACTAGCAATCCATGACGCATGTAACTTGTAACTGGTTTAAAAAGGAATATGAGCAGTGTTAGGGAAAGTTAATGACTTACCCTTCTTTGAGAATGACTGACTCCTCCACACTACTGGACTCTTTGCTTTCATTTGAAGAAATTTCATCTAAAAACTGAAAGCAAACCAAGTTTTGAATTAAAAATGAAAGGTTTGAGCCTGCAGTAACAGGATTTTTTTTTTGCAAAATTGAGACAAAATTAAATTAGGAGAGAGGTTGCGGTTCACTGTTGAACACTGGGCTCTCAGTTATTTTTCACATTAGTGGAAGGTGGCACATGTTGCCCAATATTGCAGAAGTGAGCGGTGGCATTATGACCCTCAAAGTGCATACATAATAATTAAGTGCATGATTCCCTATTACAGCCCCACATTGGAATTTTGTTTAAGCTTAAGATAAAACATTGTAAATACTTTCTTGATAGTCACCCAACAAAGTAAAGCATTATGTTACTCAGATACTGAGTCAGTTATGAATTATCAATTAGTCAAAATGACACGAATACATTAAAATAATCTAAAAATCCGAATAATTTATCTTAAAAACTTCTAATGTTGCAATGAGCTCTGTGAAGTCTTGAAGTTACTATTTAAAATAAAACATACTATACACATGCATGCACATTGGAAAAAATGCTTTTGATTCTCAGTAATATAATCATGTGCTGGATCTAAGGAAATATTTCCCAAGGTTGCTTTAAGGAAAAGTACTGACCTACACAAAACATTTACTTGCAACGGAAGTAAATTATTGGTATCAAACTTTGCATTTAAATGAACAAAGGAAAGTCAGCTAAATTTCCTTTGTAACAGTCTGTGATCCTTCACCCAGCTTCCACATGCAAAAATGAAATACTTTACCTTTTTGACTTCTTCTATATATTTCTCCTCTTGGAATGATTTGAAGAAATCATACATATATGATTCTTTAAAACTAGACTGAAATAAAAAATGGCGCAGTTTTATTATCATAGCACAAGTTGAAAATATTAATTTTATAACATGTAATGTATCACAGATACTTATTTAAAGAGGTCAACGAAATGAGAAAATAGATGATATTTTTTATCTGGTTCTGACAGGACTGCTCATCTAGAAAGATGAGCTACATGAACCAGCAGCTGCTGCTGTTGAAACGCTAACGTGAATACCACAGTTGTAGGTCTGGACCAAATGAGAGTGAATCAGGTTCAGAAGGGAAATGCACAGGGCATGGGGTTCATCCTGAAATTTAATATTCACTTCCCTTTTATCTTAAACACAGAATCAACACTGAATTAAAAACTACTGGCAGGTCAAACATAAGCCAGCAAGAACTCTTGGGTCATACCAGTTTGTTTTTTGATAAACTGCCCCAGCTTCCCAACGTCTGGATCGTCTTCGAAATAAGCGTTAACGTCCGTGATGTCTCTGCGTCCTGAAAGAGTCAACACACAGGTTTTGTTTTGAAACCACTTGATTGATCATACACCATGCTGAGAGACTGTGCGCTTGGCTGCCTAAGTGCATTTCGCAGATGTTTTGTTTGGGGTTTTTTTTCTTCGCTATTGACAGTCAAGCACACAACTTTCTTTCCTCACCATCATCCAGGTCTCTAACCACAAGGCTGAAATGTCAGATAGGAGGGGGAAAAAAAGTAAAAGAGAAAACTTTAGATCTCTGACTCACCGGATGATGAGCTCGTAGTTGGAAGCTGTGCGGAGATAACACAGCGACCGCAAAGAAACGCAGAAACACAAAGCTGCTGACTGCCGAGTACTGTACATGGGGGTCATCTGGGAGGAAGAGAAGGCCAACAATCGGTACAACACTGTTTCATACACAGCATTTAAACAGCAATGTGAGACAATGTGTTTACAAGGGAGATGTCACAATACATTGCCTTCAAATTCTAAGAACTCTGTTTTTATAGCTTAAACAAAAGAGATCTAAACCTTACCAGACAGAGAAAGCACCCAGTTTTGTAACATGGCATTTCCTCCACCTAGTGGAAGCTTATTAAACAGCATTCCAATATAGTAAACAATCTAGGATATTACAGTCCAGTTTCTTCATATTTTCCCCTCCATGTTACAAGGTGTCAATAGAAATGCACTAGTAGAACACAGATCTCCATACAAAATGACAGAAGAAACTGATTCCATGATTAATAACAAACAAAGCAAAAAATATTCTGAAAATAGAAGGGCCATCTGCTTATGACTTTTACCAGTAGAAGCATACACTGGGAATATGTGACTGGCTGGCTCAGGTTGGATTCTATGCTGTCAAGTATAGTGGTTCCTTTTATGAATGTGGAAGCACACATTTAGCTAATCGGACAATAACAATCCAGCCAAGCTGTTCTTATATTAGTATTGCAATTGGCTGCCACAAAAATATGAAATCTGATTTAATGCACACAAACACATATATCCTCACCAGGAAACCGCTTAGTAGCCAGCTGCCGTAAGGAATTAAACACATCGCACATGACGGTGGGACAGCTCATACTGGACTGGATGATAGAGTTAAACACCTTCTGCACATAAAGGTGCAGGTTCTCCTGAAATGAAAACAGACAAACATTCATACGGTCAAGTGTTTGACACTTCATTACAATTTCCGGGTTTTTTTTGAGCACTTGTGCCAACCTGAGATACAAGAATGAATAAGCATGCACCCAAAGCCTTACTGAATATAAAGGATTTTCTCCACTTAAAAGCTTAACACCCACTTAAATAGGTGCTAAAAATACCTTTAAAAGGCTCTAAATGTTATCACTGAACTTTGACAACAAGCACTGGAAGTCATTTCATAAAGGATGTATTTTTAGGGCTTACTGAATAACACGCACTGAAAAGAAGAGATGTGACCAACCAGCTCTTCATTTCTCTGGTGAAAATCCACTAACCATCTAGTGTTCAACACATGTGGAGAGTGAAGTTATAAATATCCACTGCAATGCATGTATTGAAATCATCTAATAAAACCCAAGAACAGCTCATTACCTTGATTGCACCATTCTTTAATACAGTTTTTTTTATTGAATTAATTTTAGATACAGAATATATAGATAACCCTACACATTCCTTAAATGCAAATGGTAAAAAATGAATATCTACACTGTATTCTGTTATTCAAGCACTTTTGAGTTGGGGGTTACATCAGCAAAAGCTGGTTATCTATATAAATTTATGTTTAGCCATGAACATAATTCTTTATCACATATCAGTGTTTGCAAGTTGTCACCAAGCATACTTGTCACTTGTTTTTGTAGTAGCCTGTACACAGGGGACTTATCCTACCAGCTAAGACAGAATTGAATAGCAAGTTAAGTCACAACAGCACACCCATTCACAAAGTAAAATGGAATTGTAAACATTTAGGTGTTGATTGCTTCAAAGCTCAGGCTTAGGGGATATGAAACCCAAGGTGTAGAAATAGTTCACTAGTCTCTTGCAACATGACGTCCTCCGCAGGCGCCTACTATGACCAGCTGATCTCTGCTGTGATCCCAGTCAGCACTGACAGCACCACTGCCAAGCCTTAACAAGTGAAAGGCTTTAGATTGTGGTTAACGACCACTGCTTGTCATTTTGAGGCTAAGCATTTAAAACCCTAAATCTCTTTTAGATGGCTCAAGGCTTGTCACACTTTTACCCATGCATCAACACAAACACAATGCATCTATGCAACTATACTTATTAGCACCTGTGAAAACGTACACCACTGCCTAAAAGAAAACTACCAATGTGATGTGTGGCCACTGTTGAAAAGGTAAAGGACACTTGGGGGCAGTAAACACTGGAGCTTTTTTACTGAAAGTTTCTTAATTTTTTTTTTTACCTTGTTCACTTCTACATTGTCACCTTCTTTGAGCTTTATGGGATCAATTTCACACGACTTACTGGATTCACAAATCTGAAAAAAAAAAGCAAAACTAATCTGATTACAATCTGTAGAGCAAACCTCTTTGTGAGTGACAATTTTTCCTGCAAAAATGAAAGCAAAACGGAAGGCTGTTTAATCTTGAAAGAAAATTAATTAATATAAATACCATGAACAAAAACTGTAGACAGTCTACACCTTCTAAAGCAGTACCTCATCTAAAACAGGCTTCAGGGTGACTGTCAGGTAGCGCTTCCCAACAATTTTCATCATGTCATCGATGCATCGAGTCGCCAAGGAGTTTCCTCGAAAAATTGTATTGGCCTCCCTAGAAAGTCACAAGAGTTGGAGGAAGAGAAAAAAAGTTTAGTTTTTTTTTTTTACAATAACGGCACCACAGATTTTTAGGGTGTTTTTTTTTTTATAATGTGTGCCCACCGAATCTGGAATCACCTTTTAAAGATTCAGATCTCTGTAGCCATCCAGGTGAGATTAAGACGCCTGGACACAATCTCTTGGTTTTACAAGTGCTGAACTTCCCAGAGCCTAGCAGAAGGCTTGGTGCCGACTGTACAAGTGGCACTCTTCTCCCCCATGTCACCACAAGGCTGCAGAGCTACTTTTGCCACCTAATATTAACTCCGTTTCCGTGGTGCTCAACTAAGGTGAAGGTGACCAGTGACAGGACACAGGTTCGGACTGGTGACTCCTGGACTGTAGAGCTCAGTCTGCCCCCCCCCCCCCCCCCAAGTGCTTGGACCACTAGGAAGTCTTTTAATTCCTTTTGCAAAATAACATTTCTCCTTAAAAAACAAAGATCTCAAAACAGTTTTATGGGAATAAGAGCAATAAAAAAAAAAAATCAACAAGAGCCGCCAGAGCTGCCCCTCTCAAAACATATGGTTCCAACAGTGCAAAAACGCAAGTCACTTACTGCGTTTGCTCAAGCTCCAACGCAGCTATGGCAGTGACAAAGGGAACAAGCCTGTTGTGATGCAACAGCAGCCGCACAACAGGCAACACGGCCTCGTATCTCTCTCGGCAGATGTCACCCAGGATGTGAGCAGCAGAGGCAGAGATATGCTACAACAAACAGCAGATGAGGGATGAGGACCCAGGTCTGTTATTCCTGCCAATGCACAATGTCTTACACTAAAAACCGTGAAGCTCTGGTGATGGCGATGGATCTGCCATTAGGCTCACCTGCGCGTTTAGGAAGTCTGCCTACTAAAAAAAAAGAAATGGCTCATAGCTCATATTATCCATGGTTTATTGGAAAAGCCACAGCTGGAGGAAAGGGTAGAGTGATAACATACTGCCTCCTTCACCCGCAGGACACATAAGCATAACCACACGTAGATTAAATGTATAAAGGCAAAATGTGAAGCCACTTATTTATGAGAGGTCACATAGAAGTACACAATTTACATCTCGATTTCTCACTATAGCCTCGGCAATCTTTTGAGTTCTTGTAGGTGTAATACAGGCTTACAATTTATTTCGAGCAAGGATTTGCTCACCAGTGCCTAGACAAACCACAGAGTTTTTAGCCTTTGTCACATGAAACAGAGGGGGAAAAAAAGTCACTTTTTTGGCGTCGGTCACTTTGCATTCCCATCCCGGCATCTTGTCAATTGCATGACACCACATGGGGAATCCTGCTCACAACCAGACAATGAACACTGCCCACACCTGAATGACAATAGAACTGAATCTGCCCTATAAACAAGTGCCATTACTGTTTGAGCCACTCGTGAGGCCTTTGAATTTAGCTTTAGGCTGAACTTCACAAAGGCACAATGTTAATGACATCTGCAGTACAAAACTAATTGTATTTCCCACTAAAAGTTCATGCTTAATGGTAAGTACTAATAGGTGAAATATACCTTAACATCTGGTGATTTGAGCAGCAGGTCCCTCAGGGGAGTGTAGTACTTGGAAGGCAGGACATTGTCTTCTGTGTACGTTATATTTAATCTCAAAGAACCAAGGTCATCTACTTTTGAGGTCTTGTTGCCATTGTCCTTTGGCTGTAACAAATACCTACAAAATAAAAAGATAAGGACTTAAAGTTATTAGATGCACAGTGTAAAGCAACCAAAGCAACTGCAGAAAGAACGTCTCCTTTCAATTTCTCAAGCCATTATATAGTTATCACTATGTGTTCATATACAGTAAAGTGAATAGTTTATTAATTCTTTAATAACTCAGAAGTTTCAACTGTATGCCATCATCATGTGAAAGGGGGCCAAAAAAGTGTGTTTTCAGGCTTGTGACCAGTCTTTCAGCAAAAATGTATTTCTCACTCATGTTCTGTGCATTGTAGCAGAGCAGTTAAAGCTGTATGCACTGGCAGCAAGCAATTACCCACCTACACGTTAATCATATGATCTCTATGCAAAACATTCAAGATAAGCATCACTTGATCTGCCAGATATAACCTATAACAATACTGGGTAGACTGAACTATTCTTTAAATAAAGTGTCCACTGAAAACAGACATTACAGTTTTCACTTGTGTTAGACGTTTGATTAAATGCATACATCATTAAAATAAAACGGGAATTATGCACATCAATTTGTTTCGCTTGGTAGATCTAAGGACCATCTATATAGATGCTCACCTTAAAGCGGAGTGGAATTTTATAAATAGTTTTTAAACTTTCTGTATGGCTTTCCCGACACGTTCGAACTATTCACAATGCACGGCCACGGGGGGTATTGACGTCAGAATGACAACACTTCATACTTGATTTACTGATAATGTAAGAAGCTTGCAACCAAATTACGCTGTAAAGCGGTTAAGGTCTTTGTAACGCAGCCTAAAAATCAGACAAGACTTATCAAATTTCAAAATCAGTCAGCAGTTTTAACCTGACCCCATCTGTAAGTAGTGCTTCTGTTTACATTCTTTTGGATCATTCTGAGCTTAAAGCTGTGCATGTGTTACAGGGAACTGTATTAATATTTTTAAACTCTTCTTGATGTCCTTAGTGGGCTGGTTCAACAGTTACTCCTTTGATTAAAAAGCTTTTAAATTAGTAATCTATTCAACTAGCAGGTAGAAAATTAAAAATAACAACAAAACTGGCAGATGGCGATTAATAATCTGAGCTACAATATCAAAATAAAAGATTGTGAAAATTCGGAGTCATGAAGACTTTTTAGTCACTTCCTGTGTGACTGCACAAGCATGATCAGTGCTGTGCACATCTGCAACAAGACAGTATGATAGCACATACTAGTTTTTATTATTTGCCTTTACTTATACCCAAATAACATGGATAACTGTAAAAAATGGATGCATACTGCAATATTGTCGAGTGTTTTTTTTTTAGGCTACACCATGGATAATCTAATTGTGTACATGATGCAATACTGAATTGTTCCACCCATGCTGTTCTTTTTGTACTTAGAATATCCCATAGCTTTTGCAGGATCTCAAGTATGACGTGACGGGCTCTCTTCAGAATTTCCAAAACATGCTCATTGATGACCATGGCTTGATATAAGAACACTGTTGTTAACCAAAACAAGGTTTAGGTCACTGGTACCAGCAGAGTACAAGATGATAAAACAGGAAACAGGAGGGTACCAGCCCTGTTACTATAGCCAGCAGCCATATCACCCTCCAACTCACAACTGGCAACCCACTGAAGCTAAGCAGGCGTGAGCCTGGTCAGTACCTGGATGAGAGACCTCCTTCGAAAAACTAAGGTTGCTGCTGGAAGAGGTGTTAGAGGGGCCAGCAGGGGGCACTCACCCTACGGTCCATGTGAGTCCTACTGCCCCAGTATAGTGACGGGGACACTATACTGTAAACAGGCGCCATCCTTCGGATGAGACGTAAAACCGAGGTCCTGACTCTCTGTGGACATTAAAAATCCCAGGGGGTTTCTCGAAAAGAGTAGGGATGTAACCTCTGTGTCCTGGCCAAATATCCCATTGTCCCTTACCAATCATGGCCTCCTAATAATCCCCATCTATGAATTGGCTTCATTACTCTGCTCTCCTTCCCACTGATAGCTGGTGTGTGGTGAGCACTATGGCTGCCGTCGCATCATTCAGGTGGATGCTGCACATTGGTGGTGGTGGAGGGGATCCCCATTACCTGTAAAGCGCTTTGAGTGGAGTGTCCAGAGAAGCGCTATATAAGTGTGAGCAATTAACATAATTACATCAGCACATAACTCCCATCATCTGTGAACTGCACTGGCTCTTATTGACATTTAGAGCAGACTTCAAGGTTCTCCTGCTGTTGTGTAAAGGATCAAATGGTTGAGCTTCTAGTTATTGTAAGAACTTACTGCATGATTATAGCTGGGCTCTCAATCAGACATCTGCCAATTCAGGCCTTATTACTCTGCCTGAGACCAGACTTCACACAAAGTTCTTGAACTGAGGATAACATTGGCCAAATCTCTCGGGGACTCTGTGAGCAAGCAAGTCTAGAAAATGTCTAAAATACCTAGCTTTTCACTCAGGCTTTTAATGCTCAGTTTACATCTTGGTTTTACCAAGTCGGTCTGCAGTGCTTTTCACCCCTAAATCTTCCTTCTGTTGTGTTTTGTGACTGTATTTGATAAGAGCTCAAATAAAATTGCATTATTCCAGCCATTACCCCAATTCTAAACCATAGCATCCTAAAACCTCTCTCAATCAATATACTGTATCTTATATGTGATCTCTCTTTATAGATTTGGTATTGACTGATTCAGAGATATAAAATACTAATATTTGATTTGGCCTTAGGAGCCCTGGCAACTGGAACTAATTTACACGTCAGTTCCTCAGGTTTGGGACACTACCTTGGCCCCTTGGACACCACAACTTCCCTTTATTCAACACATATACCAAAATTGAGACACTGGCTGTTTTTGAACTGGCAACCTAATAACCTTAAAAATAATGGAGCAAACAAAATAATTTGGACAATATTTTTTCCACCTAAATAATAGGACATAGATGTAAATTAGATGGACAAAAAATGTTTTTCCCCCTCTTACCAAGCCCGGTGTGAAGAATCGTTTCTTAAAATCTTCACAGAAACCCTCGTCTCTCCCAGGAAAACATCTTGTACCAGATTCCCATTGTTCCACAGATCAACTCTAGAAATAACCCCAACATGAACAGAAATGAAACTTTAATGGACACGTACATGAAAACAGCCCAGGCTAAAATAAAAAAAAGCTATTTAAAAAAAGATCTTTAGAATAAGCTTTTGGAGACCAAATATGTTAATCACATACACAGGATGAAATATATCTAAAAAATAAACACTTCACAACACACCCACGCACATTCCCACTCAGTTCAAAAAGCTTTTATCCTTGCATTTGCAGGTAAGTGCCTTGTCCACAAAGATACTACATCCTATTTTAAACAAAGAGCTGAATCTGCAATGGTCAACATTTGTTTGCGCTCTCTTCACAGAATATGTGGGTGTGAAACCTTGCTCATTTTGAAAAAAATAGTTACATAATGGAACATCTTTGGGGTTTTGATGAATAAATGTGTTTTTCTTTTAATTTTCTTTTTTTCCTGATTACCTGAGATTTCTGGGAACCTGAACACAATACAACAGTTATTGCATTTTCACTCATGCACACCAGTGCAAAGTTTTGTTAAAGGCTGGAAATACCATTAACTGTAAACTAGAAAGCCAACATTTGGCGAACATATATTCGTTTTTTCTCCAGCTTATATTCTACATAACAGCAATAAAAATACTGCTGTGCTGCCTGAAGGATGGGATCCAATGATAAGAATACAAACTGCCTATATTCCATAAAACCCGTACCACATTCTTATCTACTGAACAGGAACTTAAAGAGGGTTATGTTTTTCACAAAACCATTTCTGCCCACACAATTTTGCTGCCCATCACACTGTAAAAAGTAAGCCATGGCCACAGGGCTTACAGGAAAAAAACAGCATAATGTATCCTGTACGCATCTTTCTGAAAACGCACTGCATTGTTAGTAAAACACACACAGTGGCATCTGAATTCTGCATGAGAGCACATTGGCAAACATCACAGCATACTGCAAACATACATGCATAGAACCTCTTTTTCGAAACAAAAAAGACATAACCATTTTAGGACAGTATACCTAAAATATGAAACGGAAATCCACAAATGTCCAGAATGGAAAGATTAAAATGAATACTTGCATGCAATCTTTACCTCCCATGTTACACCCTACATCTTACCTCACTGTAATATCAGTATGCAATGTGAAACAGTTAAGAAGAATGCAACAATTAGTACGAGTTCCACTGGGACATGCAATGAACTACAAAAAAGAAGCCTATGTGCACTCATTTTCTGAAGCGCCAGCAGTCTTGCTTGGCAGCAGTAAAATATTTAATTTTTTAAAATGTATTACACGAATCAAACATGCAATGCTTACTGAAGGCTCCTCAGAAATGTTAATGAAAACACTGAAATTTGGGGAAAAAACTATAGAAATGGACCAGTTTACAAAAGGTTGAAATATTCAGGTTATACCAACTATAAAACGTATTATAAAAGTTGGTTTTACTTTTGATTTTGTACTTTTTTTAATGTGTTCTCTGCCTTACTTCTGTGTGCAGAATGGGTAATCAGATAGCAAATTAAAATTATACTACACTTATCCAAAGAATAGCTTGTATTTTTTCAGTCTGAACGTTAGTCAATTGTAAGTGAAGATAATGATTAAAAACTACTAACTTCATGTCCCCACAAATTTAAGCATTAGCAATATGTACGTGATGCATTCTCAACGTCAACTTACTTAATTTCCAACTTCTCAATGTCTTCTTCCTCCACCTGAAACTGTGATTTTTTTGTGTAGCTGCTGGATCTAGTAACCTGCAAGAAAAGGGCAACTTTTTTTCCCCCCAAACCAAATAAGGAGAGAACATGGATCCAATCAACATTTCTTAGCTCTAACTATCCTGTTCTGGATTTTAATCACCTTGCCACAGGTGAGTGTTTCAGAACGTCAGTTTCAGACACCTGCCAAAATAAAATTCCAAACCCAGTTCTTGGAGAACATGAGTTTCTTATCAGGGGCTTTCATGCATTTGCCTAAAGGAAAGAACTAGGTTGGTAATTTACAGATGGGTCAAAGGATTTGGATTTAATCCAGTCCTTAGGTCTAAAAAATACAGTAGCTATCAGCTAAACAGCTGATAGCTGTTTATGCAAAACTAAAGCCCTCTTAGGCTGAAGGTCACATTCTCTGGATTAATGGTCCCTGGTCATGGTTTATGTTAAAGAAATTTAATAAAAACACAATAACACAAATGTGAATGCGGATTCACTTTCTGCATAGACATCAGGCTTATGTCTGCCATCCATACCTCAAAATAAAATGTTTCCTCAAACTGTGGATTACTAGTTTTCTTCTTCACCTTGGTTTTCTTCTGGTCTGACCTGACAATGAGTGAAGACAAATTTATAGGTGAAACACTACAAAAACAGCCAGAGAAAGTGCACAAGGAGGTGCCAGTTTTAAGAAACCGATCTTAAGGTGATAACATTAAAGAAGTATTAGGGCCATTACTGCTCACTACTATACTTTAGATTTATGAAGCCTATGTACATTGTACTAGTTTTTCCAATAACTGGACTAATTTTCAAAATAAGGGCCTAAGAAAAATGAAATAATAGGTTATTTAAAACTGGGCTCCAAGCATAGCACTGACTTTGATCTTACCTTGCAGGTCCAATTAGAGAAACAGTTGCGTAGGGATCACAGCACTGCCCACTAATAAGAGGCAATCCCTGGCACTCAATTACTCTGCAACAAAAGTAGTCAGAAACTCAAATTAGAAATCCCAGTATTCCGTGGTACTGTCCTTGTTATTCCAAATGTTAATGAATAAATAATAAAAAAGCTAAACTTCATATAGTTTATATCTAACCTTTCAAGTGAAAACAAAACCACACCACTTTAGAGACATTAAAATTCTAGTTTGTGAAGAGCCATTATTAGCTGTGTTTAAAGGTTTCACTGTAGTACAATCACAGCAAATATCTCCACACTCTTATTACAAATCTACATAAGATTTAACTCATTTCAGGTTAAGATGGCATATTTTATATTTTTGCAAACAATGTTAGCCAGGTAGTAAAAAATGATAGCCAAAAACATTCAGCTAAAATGATGATCCTCTCAGGCCGATATTTATCTCGTCTGCAGCCATGAAAATGACATTAGGTTGCACGCTTCAACTAAATTTACCCTTAACGATTATTATGGTAGGGCCAAACTGCAGTCAATCAAAGCCATTTAACACGACAGCAAATTACAAAACAAAACTCTACATTCCAAGAAGTCCACTATATTTTAGTACTTGAAATAACCCCTTGTTTATTGTCGGGTTCTTATTCAGGATTGCCTTGTCTTGAAAGTAAATCACTTTTTTGAAAGCATATTAACAGAGAATCTAGAAAATTGAAGAAGTTACAAAAGAGAAGTTAATACAAACAGGAAGTTTACAAAGCATGCATCACTGCACTGACGTCCAAGCCAATATAGCCAGAGTTATTTAGAAGACAAATACATAGAATTGAGTATGGCATGGTAACAAGTGCATTTAGATGATACTGCACCCCTAAAAAAGCTGTCAATCTAGGGCAATAGGTCTAGAGACTGCTAAGTTATCAGAATGACGCTCAACCAAAACCACTGCGGTCTGTGCGTCGTCTTCCTGCTATGCTCATCTGAAGTGTGGATGGCATCATTTCCTCTTGAGCTAAGCTAAAAGCTGAATGTGAATGAAAAAGGAAACAACAGATCCTCCACTAAAAAAAGAAAAGATTCTGATTCATAAAATAAGTGCATGTCGGATAAAACGTTAAAATCTTACTGCCTTTGCAATTAGTTTGATCTGTAATGATGGGCTTTTAGTTTAAATTAAGGATTCTTTAGAACTGTGATGAAACATTTGTTCAACCCTTAATTCTGACATCAACGATCACAAAATGCCTCACCTGAGACAAAAGGAGTAGTAATTGAGAAGTCTTTTTCGTTATCAGGTATTTTATGTCCAAAAGGAGAACTACAGTACTAAGTTCAGAATTTCTTCAAGAGCATTCTGCTATTCAAGGTGAGTCCTTTTAGTATACGTCTTTCATGCAAATTTCAAGATTTTGAAAATCAACATGCAGCAACTGGATTGTAAGAGTGACAAATCCAATGTAAAAAGATCATAGAAACACCACATCTTTATTTTATTCTAAAGGTATGGAAGGTAAATAAGCTACAGCAAAAGTACTTTTATCCATCTTTCAGCAAAAACAGGACGGATGGGTTCATTCACGGGCATTCACTGGAGGACACTTGGAACGTCATTTACACGAAAAGTACAAAGTCCACATTTAGTTTAAAGCAAAAGACTAATGAGAAAAGAGAAGGAGAATATAAAGCCCATTCTGGAAAATGCCTGTTAATCCGAGAGGTGCTTGGATGTCATTCCCTTCCCACTGAAAAGCCCACAAACTATCCAGAAATCCTTAAAACATCCAAGAGAAGCCTTGTCCCCAGGGACCCAGAAGAACAGTCATGCCCTCTGCTCTACAGCCACTCAACATCAAACGGCAGAATGTGCCAACAGGGTTTCCAGGGGATTCTGAAAAGCCCTGTGACCCCATCTGGGGTGAATGGGATTGCTGACGCCATCATATTACACAGAACAAACTTCTTCAGCTTTCGAAATTGACTCACCAGCTCACTGAAAAGCGCATTAGCTTCCACTCTACATCTATGCTTAATATTTCTATTAAAATCAAACACTAGCATCTTGCATTAAAATGAGACTCCATTTCAGATGACACAGCTGTAAGTACATGACTGTAACCAATGTGAACAACACTTGCAACTTCAGGTTAAGTGTCTATTTACAGCAAAACAAGTCCAACAAACAGCATCAAACATTACTTTTTTGAAGTACACTTCCCTCCAAGGTATCTTGAACAATGACATCACAACTGCTTATTTAGACACTACGTAACCAAATTAGCTACATATTCTATAGTTTTATAGTGGGGTAATGTTTAAAAAAAAACTAATTTACAATTTGCATTTGATAAATTTACTCCTCTTGCAGATTCGAACACTTAAAAGTGAAACTGCCAAAAGTGTAGCATCTGAAGTTTCAGAACCCTCTTCCATAACCGAGTTAGATCAGACACAAGCGTGAGCCTGTGCCCATTCTAAGGGCTGTTTTTATCAGTGTGCACCAGTTACTTACCGGACCACAAGCTGCTGACACACCGAGCCATTATCAGTGATCAGCTCGTTCAGTTTCATCTCCAGATGAACCTTCCCCTGAAAAGAAAAATATTTTTAGCTATTGCTCGTTTATTGAAACATCCCCAATGCAACAGGTCGACACTTTTTTAACATTATAGTACATAAAAAATGTCAGTATGGTGACTGATACTATTAGCCCATAATATTCATGAAGCATTCACAATTCAAACCAAGAAGGACGTTGCTTTAGGTTAGGAAGTTAACTTCTAAAAAAAACATCTGCCACAAAATAACATGTGTTCTGATAGTTAATAGAAGATAACAACCAGCAACCACAGCACTAAATGCTTAACACGGCCATGTTAATGCTGCAATAACTTAGGCATCACCAGACCACACAAATGTTTCATTTCCATTCATGTTTACACATCACATTGCTCAGACCACGTATGACAAAGTATTCATTTTTAACATTCTGCAAAAAACAATTCTAAAGCTTGGTTTATCTAATACTGCCACATTTTTACAGACTTTCCAAAAACAACTCCTTTTCTGAGTGAGCCTTGTTACGGAGGTGTTTTAAGAGTGCAGCAACTGGGACCTAAGTAAACAGGTTTAAGACCCAAAACTAATTTGTGAAGTGTTATAACCACTATAACTATAGACAAACTTGCACATTCATTTAGCTTCTGGCTTTAAACTAAAAAAAATTCTCCTTCATAAAGGGCAATGGACAGACAGTCCTTTAATACAATTACCATCACCATCCATTAGCCTCCCAACTGCGAAACCCTTGCTTTTCAACTAAGCAAATAGCTTTCAGATGATATTATATATGGTTGTTGCAACCAAAAAGTACTTGACCAATTTTGCAGTCTTGTGCAAACACAGATAAACCTGCAGGCAGACATAAATAGATATGCTCTGAAAAAATAATAAAAACAGGATGTGGAGTACTCTTCATGATCATAGGACAAAAGGTAATGGTTTTGTTACCAAAAACATTTCAACATTCGTTTTGAACTCACAATTTACATTAAACAATATAATGAAGAATACAATACTTTGAGAAATACAGGATCTGCCATTTAGCCTGTATAAAAATTTAGAGCACAAAATATAATTATCAAGTTCAGCTTATGATTTTTAAATAATCAATTTTTAAACTTTTTCACAGCTTATTTGGTCACGGCCTATCACTAATTTTAATTTCATGTACCAAAACAAAAGTCTGTATAGGTTTACAAACAAATCTCTAATACTGTTCAGATCTACACAAAAGCAAAGAGGTTCACAGAATTTCTTAGTAACACATAAACGCCCCCATATTTCAAAGATTACCTTTTGCATCAAGTCAATAGTTTTGAGAACCATATGAACTGGTTGTTCATATAGTTTTGGCTGTATATGAACAAGGCATGTCTTAAAATAGTCAATTTCTTACTTCACTAAATGCTTCAGTAAGGTCTGATGTCACTAATCACCCTAAAGCCCATGTTTCAGGCTACCTGATGCATTACCTGAACTTCAGAGTTTGGGTCGACAGGCTGTAAACTAAACCAGTGTTCTCTTCCATGGTATTTGCTCAGTTCATCTTTTCTTATTGCTACTTTCCCTGCAATTGCAAAAAAAAAAGTCAATAAGCACACACACAGCAACAACAAAACAGGTTATTCCTCTAGTGACAAGATCCCTACTAAATACGGACTCACTTAAATCTAGTAAAGATTCCTAAAATATTAAGGAGGATAACTTTCAATTTTGTGTTCTTCACTACAGAAACTAAACACCTGCTACCTGTCCATACTTATATAGAACACCTATTGCAGACTAATCATAGCCTGGGCAAAAACGATGTTCGCCACTTACCTACTGATAAATCCCTTTGGAAAACACCCTTCGCATACACATAGAAGGATAAATACTGAAAAGGTCGTGGAATTTCAAAGTAAAAGTCTTCTCCATAGAAGGGGCTGAGCAAGGACAAAAAGAGAAGCAGGAGTATTAGTTTTTTCACTAATCCAAGAGATGCATTACATACAGTTTTTTTTTTTACAGACTTCAACTGAAATACACTGGAAACTGACAGTGCAAATAAAAAAAAAAGTGTACCTTCTGCAAAGAATGTGAGGACCAAGTCACTGTTCTCCACAATGATTAAACAAGCCTGATAAAAATAGCTGCACCCCCCTCCTTCCCTTGTTTCTGTTAAATCATTACTCATGCCTGGGAAGATGAATGATGAAGCCCGGTGAGACACTGACAGTAATGCTCTGCCTTGTTGGCACATGTTGACATTCATCTCAAATGAATATGGCTGGTTTTTCCTCTGAAGCCATGTTTCCAGTTCAATTACATATGTAAAATTACGAGGGAAATGGTAGCAAAGAAATTAATAACAAAGCCTGTTGTCTGTAACAAGTCACCATCACGACAGGAAATGGTTTTATACACTACTTCAATAAAAAAAAAGTACAAGACCAGCTATCACATTAAAATCTCCAAATGAAGATATGCAAAATCACAAGGCCTTATGGTTATTATTCCAGATGAAACAATTATTGCCCTACTTAACTGATATAAACAGGATTTTCAGGTACTGATGAAGTCTCCGATAAAACCTGAAGGATGGGGGACTTACCAAGGCCAGGTTTTGAGACTAAAGTTGGAGAGTCTGAAATGGCCTTTGAAGAAAAACTGCCTGATCAAAATTAAAAATGTTAAAGTACAAAAAAAAAACTCTTCTGAATTGGCAAATAAGCTTCTGAAACATCAGCTTCAGAATCTAGAGGAAATTTTAACCCAGCTGCTCTGTAGCACTGCAAGGAATATTTGAATCACACACTTGAAAAGCTAGAAATGGCAGGATTGCAGCTGCATACTTCAGAGAGCCTTTGACTTGGAAGGCTAGTGAAGTGAGTCAGTCAAACACAAAACACCTACAACTCCAAATACATTCTCTGTGGTAAAAAACACACAAGCAAGAAATGTACAGCACTGCAAGTTTTCACTCTTTTACCAGAAGATACACTAATCAATCTTTAAATACTAAAGAATTTAACTTTTAAGGGTGGCCTTCTTTTCTTAAACAAAAGAGAGAAGTATAGCAAGTAACTTTGTGAAATATCCATAACCTTTGGTTTTCATTAAAATGCTACATTTTCTGGAAAGCTATACAGTATACTACCTAAACCTCTTCTATCTCGGTTAAAAAGCTTAAACGGATGTTTTTCAAATATCCTTTGAAAGAGAACTGTGCTTAGAGTAAAACATGGCCTTGCATGTTTCGAATTGAAACATCGTTCCTCCCCTTTTGCCCTCTTATTTTGTTTCAGACACTGAGGGAAACTGTCGAGGTTGTACTTACTTTACCACACAGTAACAGATTAACCGAAACACCTAATGACTTAATTGTACACGGCTTACAATTCCCCACGTGAGTTCCTAGAAAAAGTGGTATTGCTTTATTACAAATGTCTGACCCGCGCTCTAACTGGAAAAAAGGAAAAACAGTGTGGGTGGATATGCTTCCTCTAAGTCACTGTGAAAGGAATCCATTTATTGGCTTTATTGCAAAATATCCTCAGAAAAATAGTACCAGCTTATGGTGCAAGAACCATCTTTCAGTAACAGTGCAAAATTCTTTATTTTTTCGATGGGATATTCAATATTTACATTTCTACATACAGCTTGCAAAATTTGGAAATATTAAGCAGGTTAGCTGCCTACACAGGTTTAATGAAATTATTATATTTACACATGTCCATAGTTTACATATGTCATACGTCTGTATGATCTCAACTTTCTCATAGGTTCTGTAATGCAAAGTTTATGATGTCAAACTTGGGAAAGCCACGGTGCTCTCAAATTTGTTTCCATCTATAAATGTGCACTTATGACACTGACATAAAATACTCACACAGCTGGACAATACTTTAGGGTTTTATAGACCTTAGCTAGATCACACTGAAAAGTCTAGAAATGTAAATTATAATATAAATCAGTGGTTTGCAACCCTGGTCCTGGAGGAACACAGATTCTACTGGTTTTGCTCCAGCTGTGACCTTAATCACAGGCTTGTTGATTTTGTTTTCTAGTTGGGGCATAGTTGTAAATTTGTGTACAGCTTTTAAAATGCTATTTGTTATTCGTATTAATCCTGTACAAACGTCTGAGTTTCAGGACTGCCATATGTTCAGAACTGTACCTCGTTCAAAAGAAAAATGGACAAGTCGGATACAGAGTCAGTTGCACCTGCGTTTGTTCATCATCAACTGATCAACTTGAAATGTAAAAGTACAGACCAAAGAAACAAATTAAAAGCCTAAACGAGCAAGAAGAACAATTAAGTTATCAATTAACAGTGGATATATTTTTATTCTAGCTGAGCTGAACAAGCAGTCTTCCTCCCTCCAAGACCAGGGCTGGGAACCATAGATGTCAGTTATGCTAATTAATTAACAGCTTTATTAAAAAAAACTTCTTGAATTGAGACTGATACCCCCCTAGTCTCAGGTTCTTAAGTGATTTCCCTTACTCCATGTGGTTGAAGTATAGCACTCACTCACTTTTTTCCCTTTTATTACAGCGTAACTGAAGTATGCATCATCCGTCATCTGTTGTTCATTTCATTTTCTGGCTATTTTCTCATGATACAACGTCAGTTCAAGCTGATTCGTACCCTGTCCTGGGATGCTACCATCTGGACAACCAAGCTACAAAACTCCAACACCAAACGCCGTCGCATATGTCTAACCAGTGAGAAAACTGTGTTGAACATTAAGGTGGAATGTACAACATACAGTACTCAAAATAAATCAACACTGATTTCACCGTTATCAAGAAATAGCACGTTTCACGAGTCAAACAGAAATAAAGGAAATGGGTCAAAAGGGTCATATTAGGAATGTTCTAAAAATTGTTTTCAGGTGATTTGGACAAGATGACAGGAATAAGTTAGTCTGTAGAGAATCTGAAAAATAAATTAGGATACAAAGGAAAAGGTAAAGGTACATTCCATGCTGAAAAGAAAAAGAGACAACATTTTGGCTGCAGAGCCTTCTTCAGGTGTGTCTCTTTCAACTGATAAGGATATATGGTTTGGTGGCACTGCATATTAAAATTGGCTTAATGGCCTATTATACAGAGCACGGTACTTCAAGGTTTAAAAAATAAACAGCTACACCTGTTTACTTAGTATTAATATCATACTTTTTTAAAGAACAGAAAAATATCCAAACACTTAAAAGTGGTTAAAGGCGCTTACAGCTAAATCTTAGCATCTTTCTCAAGTGGCTTCGCTACCAGGACACTGGTCACAGCAGTTTCAAACCCATCCCAGAAATGACCTCCTGGGCCTCCTGAGTGACTCAACTGCTTACGTCATTCTCTTGGGCACAGACTGAGCGCTGTGATCAGGTTCGATCCTGGGTCACATCATGAGACAACGATTTCCCAAGCAACACCATACAACATACCCAGGAGCACGGATCATGGTGGGATTAGTGGTCCAGCGGACAAAAAATGGTAACACCTGGATAAATGAGAGACCCCATTAAAAGCAAGGACTTCAACACAAGTGTGGCTCATGTGTTAAATTCCCCAGCATACCTTAGGTCATGTATAAAAATTCTGGTTAGGGTGTGTTGCCTATAATTATTAAAAGCATGGCTATAAGGGGCTCTCAGTAGCATTTAAAGAAGAGAGATTACCGGAAATCATTTGGCAGGATCTTAAGTGACCAAAACAACTCAATTGGTTACACGAGCCACACAATGTAACGATGATAAACTGGCAGAAAGACAACTTTGGCAAAGGGCAACAGTTGCCAGAAACACATACTCCAACATTTATTTGAAGTACGAGACAAACCATGTAAGCAACGGCACATCAACTAACTATAATTTCAGCCTATGGCATAATCAAACATATTCATAAAAAACTGTCGGCTGAGAACTCTAAAGAGGGACACCATAGTCAGGCTGCAGTGTACAAACCACTCACCATACTGTATGCCTCAATGCATAGAGAGTCCAGTGGTGCAAGGGGCACACACATTGGACTCCCTAGCAGTGGAGGAATAGCGAAGGATGATTCATCTGACCGCATTGCATGTTCTCAACAAATGGATGAGTACACTTGGCGCCATTCTAAAGAACGCTTAAAGCTCTGAGTGCTTGGTTTCAAGATCAATGTTAATCTCTACTTATAGGTACAGTATAGAGTAATCATCTTCACCCCACGTTGCATCATTTCTTTCCTGCCAGGAGGGGCGTCTCACAGAATGCCAGTGCCACCACCCAGAGTATGGGTGGTTGCTCAGATGTTTGATGAGTGTGATACCGATGTTAACAATGTGTCAAATGTAATCCCAATCAAGCACTTAAATGGATATTCAGGATTGAAACAATACAGTGCTTTCCACCATCAATCAGGCACAAGTGGGTTGACTTTCTAGTGGAAGAACGGTGCTGGATCTCTCCTAAAAAATTCCAGATGCTGGTAAAGTATGTTTCAGCACATACATGCTATATTGTCCATGTGCAGTGGCCAATCACCTATTAAGTAACATGACAGCATATTTGGTGTTGCCATTTTTTGTCCAGCAATTTTATATTCATTATTTCTACTATTTGGCCTAGACAGGGCATTTAAATACTGCTCAGAGTAGCCAAATAGTCACTCAGAGATAATACCATGTCCATTCCCTTCCTCACTTTTTCTATATTCTATATTCTTTAACCATTAGAAATAAACAAGAGGCACAGGTACATATTAATACAAAGGAAGACAAGTTAGTGTTAAAGTTAAGTGATAGATCTCATTAGCCCCTTAAAGCAAAAAGGTCAGGACCTTGCCAGGATTTTATTAATCCACCTAATAATTATGTACAATTCATACAGTTTGAGAGTTTGGTATTCGAGGTTTGTTAAATCCAAACACTAAGGAAGGATATGAAAATGTATGTAAAGGACTACAACTGCTTTCACTTTTAAAATCAGGTTAAAAACTATTCCATATATGAGCTTTTCATATGTTTCGATCTGCAGGATACCTTCACTAATGCCATCTTTTATATTGATCAGTGTATTATTTTCTTTTTCTTTTTGTTTCTATCTTGTAAGTTATTAATAATGTAAATGTTCTGGCAAGCTTATATTTAAATGAAGGAAAGGAGGCAAATATTATAGACAGTAAAAAAAAGTTTCTGGTATATCTATGCAGTGGTTAGAGACTCATAACTGGAAAGATGAGACACTAACGTTGTACCTTGAGCATGACACGTCACTTAGATTGCTTTAGTAAAATCACCACCTGGTAATTGGTGCAAAGTTAGGCTACTTTCATTACTTTTGGATTTATTATTAATTTGGATTAAATTAAATCTCAATTAGCATGCAAATTCACAGGTGAAAGGGTTTTTGCTTTTCTTAAAAAAATTGGATTTTAAGTACTATGCTACTTCCCAATATAAGCACGCAAAACAAACATAAGCTCCTTCAGTAGGTATGTAAATGAGCTGATTTGCAGCCACAGCACTTTCAGGCTAAATTATAAAGAAAGTGACAAACAGGATATTGCATTATGGCACGCGCTTGAGCAGTCAATGTTGTTTCACAAAACAGGATGATATTTAGCACACATAAAATAACCCTGGGTTGGAATAAAAATAGAGTCTCACACACAATAATGGAAAAATACAATTGAGATGGCACAACAGCACTTAAGTCATTGAAAGCTATATAAAGACATCAATTAGTAATTACAGCACTCAGAGGCTTAAATGCACACATCCTTATACAACAGGTACATTCTTATACCCTTTAAATTGCAATGCAGAATATTTGGCAGCTGATTTCTGAAAAAATGTGTGTTACATCAAACTGCAGAAGGTCCTATGTATTACAAACTAAACATCACTGCTTTTAACTTTGTTTCAAATAACTGTAGTGTATTGCAGCATATGAATTGAGGTTCTTTTGGAAGTGAGCAAAAATAATTTGTCTGTCCCACAATTGGAATGCAACAATTTCTGCCATTGCACAAGTTATCCAAGGTGAGAAAATGAAGAGAATTGCCAATTGAAACTGTCAACCTATCCTGTCTGCACCCTTCTCCTTAAACCATACATCCAAGACCAGTCATTAGCAGAAATTGCTTGATATAGTCCGCGTTGTGGAGGGGCAGAGCCTATCCTGTAAGCACATGACATCTCCCACCTGGGCAGGATACCAGTCCACGGCAAGGCAATTCAGAATAGCCCATCAAATCTTAACAGCATGTCAATCTAGGTGGGAGAAACACAGCACCTGTAGAAAACCTACACAGACAGGGCACAAATACCAGTTCCACAAAGAAAGAGCACCTGACCAGAACCCAAGCTAGGACCCAAATGCAATGAAACAGCAGCTCTGACATTCATGCCACCCCATGCTAAAATGTGCCACAAGAATTTTATTTTTTTTTAAATACACAGAAACTTGTAAACAGCTCCTAAATGTACAATACTAAATCCCTTTCACTTCTTGAAACATCAAAAGTAGCAAAATATTAAACGGAAATGGTAAGGGACTTAAATATCAAACTTTAAATTGTAGAGATGCATTTTAAAATGAGTCACATTTGATGTAAATTGTTCATTATTTGGTAAAATATAAGGTCAGAAATCAATATACAATGTGAAAGTACTCTACCCTAGTGCATTATTGAGGTATTTTCACTGCCCCACATAATGGACATCAAAAGACTTTTGAAATGCATTACAAGAGACTAGAAGCTTCTGTGTTCTAATTAGTGAGATGAAAAGATGAACAACAATTTTGTTAATGTTACCTTAAACTTTTTTCAAATACTTTCGTACGGAAGACTTCTTCTTGATCTAGGCTTACTGTACAGAAACAGTCTCTCATTCTGTTCGGTCCAGGGCACGGAACCAAGTTCTTCGCCTCACCTGTTAATTCAAAGGAGGGGTGGGGGGAAAGGAAATTTTAATAAAAAGGTTCTAGAAAGTTATTTTCTGAAGTAAACCACCCCCTGTAGAAACTGTATGGAATGAAAACTACATTGGCGATATACAGTATCTCCCATCATTAAGAAAAGAAAATTGGAGTGCTGAAACAGGATGGCAGACAGAGTTGCATAGGAGAGCACTGTTGCAAAAGTGCAACTCTCTTTCAGAAAGCTTTTTTTTTTGCAGGCAGGAGGAAGTCTGAAGCAATAAAACAGAAAGGGACAACAAATGTTTGTGGAGATGAACATCAACTTGGTAAACACTGCAACAAAATCATCCCTTATTTAAAAAGGTGAACGACGCATTTCCCCAATTTTCCCCCAAATCCAAGCCGCTTGGAATGCTGTCGGTAACGGAGCCATGTAGGCTCACTGTGGCGACCACTGGGCGCCATTGGACAGAAATCTAGGTCAGCTGCCACAATGGAACACAAAGCCAAAACATTTCATCCTGGGATGGCTCGTGGAGCTTGCCAGACGGAAGAGCAACAACCCTGGACATCTGCCGGTGACAGTCTCCCCATTGTAAGTACGAGCACCACAGGACTTTCTGTTCATGTGCATGGCACTCATGAAAGCGACTACAGTGCTCGCAGTGTGCTCATTATGTCACTTCTACCCAGTCCTGACAAAAGCCTAACAGTGCATTAAGAGGGACAGATGCGGTCAATGCTATCACTAAATAAAGCTTGTTCTTCTGTACATTTTGCTGTTATTGCAAGACGATTCCCATGTCACTTACACTCTGAACTTCATGCGACTTTCCCCAGGCCTTAAATGCAGGACTTTTCCCCAAGTTTGATCCACGAGAGGCCAGCAGGTTTGTAGCTTCTCTCAATTCATCAGCAGTTTCAGATCTGCGCAGGTGGGCTACAACTGGTCCAATATAGCTTTGAGATCATTTTACTCTACAATGCTGGCTGTTCTCTGCCCCTAAGAGGCAGACTTGTGAAGCCCTGTCTTAAGGTACATTTTAATTATCATAAAACATTCCAGATAAAGTAACTACACATGGTCTTGTAAGGGGCTGTGCCGACATCTCCACGTGAACGGTTACAGTGAAAATCAATAAAAGGATAAAAGTAGAAGGCTTTGTGCATGTCCTTGAGCAAAGCTTGTGCTTTTCAACTTAAGATTGTACCTTGATTGGGAGATAATGTCACACATGAATACAGGCTTATATTAGTATTTATTTTCAGTAAACAAACCATCATCTAAGAACATACAACAATGGAACAGGATTATCATAATAGGAATCTTTAGTTTAGAATGTCTGTGTTGCACCAGCGCTGATACTAATTGGTTGGACTGATCTGTAGAGAAGAAGCAAACAATTTGATTAGGTTTACTTTCTACTCTACAAAGAAACAGATTTTAAAAAATGAAGAACAGTGCAGCATATATTTTCTCAGTGTCCATTACAGAAGTGTTATAAGGAAACATGTCCTTGCTGAGGAGGAGAAACTTTAAAGAGCTGTGTTGTGTAAACAATGCTATACTCAACCCAACAGTTCAACAACCACTCCTGTAAAACAAAACCCTGCCTGTAAAACAAAACAGTGACCCACACTGTTTCGGGCTTTTTCCAAGGCAATCTTTTGTCTGGTGGGAAAAAAAATGCATCCTGCGCTCTTGAACACGGATATCTATGGAGATACCTTATGGTTAAGCACCTCCATAGTGGAACATTTCCAAGTTGTACACAGCCTGCCACTTAAAAGAACCACATTGTCAATTTGCAGCATTCACTGCCCCAATAATTAACACCCCTTGACTGCATTCAATCAATATTGATTGCTTTAGTGTCCTTCAAGCCCCTGAAATGTCAACAGAGGCAACAACCCGCATTCAAATCTTGATTCAGGGGCTAAAATGATCTCCTTCAAACCATGTCCAGTAATTACTAACGTTCACTGGAGCAGTAAAACATTTTAGGCAGTACAGTTTTATCAGCCAATAGATAAAAAATATAAAATTGTCAGAAAATGTTGAGTACTTTACATCATGATTGAGAGCCTTAGCGATATGCTTCAGAACCAAACCAAGGCTTAATCTGAAATTTTGACCAGAGGATGAAATTAAAACTGTAAACTGGTGAAATAAGGGATTCCTGATGTTTGCTTTGCATGTCTAAGCACTTGCCAGTCCATAATGACATCATATTGTTTTTTAACCTAGATATTAACTTTTTAACATTCTTTTAAGGTTTAGTTAAGAGAAAAAAAAAATCAGGAAATTCTACAAGTGTAAAAAGTGAACATGGACATGCATGACTTTGGCGGTTTGTCATTTGTACAACCTCCTTACTAAAACATCTTCTCTTAACTTAGTTTAAAAAACTTCCCAGTGAACACATACACTGAGCAATTTAATAGAGCGCCAAGATAAAATAAGTCCACGGCTATTTTTACAGTCTACCTTTACAATTAAAAGGAGCCATTTGGAAACTCCAAACACAGTTGGCCCTGGATCAATAATCGTTTTTTACAGTTGATTAATTTACATATTTAAACGAGGCACTGCATTTGTAACTGCTATTAACGTTCAATGCCAGACCTAATATTTTATAATGTGCTACTACACAGGTGGCAGAGTTAATCGGTTATGTTAAGACAAGACACAAAAACAAGTGTATAGTAGTATTAAGAGAATGAAGCCTATGGAAAAGTGAGATATGAAAACAGTGACATGTGGTTATATTGTTTTCAGCACCTATTTCCTCTCGCACAGCCCTTTTTCTTTCGTATCCTCAGTGTGGTACAAGTGATTCAGAGCCCTGATACAAACCATGTCTCGCGAAATAGCTTCAAGTCATGTGCTCAAAAAACAAAAACTCATAAAACATAAAAACCTCCCCTACAAATAAAACTGATGAATCGATCTAGATACCCTTCAACGTTACTTTCCAGTGCTCTGAAGGCCTTCCATGTACACATCTCTAGAAAAATCAACCCTTAGGTCTCAAACACCACTGTGTCACACACTCGGGCTCATTTTATATTCATCATATCTGATACTACGTCCGGGATCCCGGCTTGTCTTTCACTGAAAGCAGACAAAGGATGCACTTCTTGGCAATGGTGTGCTTGAGATTCATTTCATGCGTGCACACCCCTGCTTCGATTCCCACAAATAAAGCTTTCAGCTTTTTTTTTTCCCCAGTCTGCAACCAAAATGTGAATGTTCATTCATATTTTGCTCATTTTTATTAAGCATGCTTGAACTGCTTTAAGGAGTCATGAATAAAGCCACAATTGGGGTGACCTTCTTATACCAATCAGTGGTTAGTGCTTCAGAGCATTGACAGCACAGTACATTACGAACACTGGGCTGCCTGCAAAGCAACACCAATTATTGCCCACAAAGCCCACTTTGTCAGCTAAGCCAAGTAGTTATTCAGGCAAAAAGGGCAGGAAGTGAAAAGGCGTAAAGAACTATCTGTTCCAAGCATGTGCAAACATTCACAAAGGGTTAATGAGAGTGTCTTTGTGATTTCTTTTTTCTTGTTGCTGTAGAAGCTACTTCTTTTAGCTTTTTCACCTAATACCACTTCCAGCATAACGGAAACAAGCAGGAAGACTGTGGTCACTTGTCTTTCGTGCCGAACAAGTCACTGTGAGAAATGCAAAGGGTAAACTGATTTGCTCGAAAGCCCCAAATAAAAATTGTTTCAGGACAATTACAAAATAGTGATTTCATTTTAAAAGATCTCACAAAGAATACTCTACAACCCCATAAATTAAAACCAAGAGAATAACTATTTTAGTTTTTATTAATTCTTTATGATTTAAAAAAAATATTAAGCATTACACTGACCTGGAATATAAGAATTCGGGGTTAGCAATTGCACGACTAAGGCAATGCCTTGATTTGTCAAAATTGTATACGTTTGATCACTGCTGATCAATTTTGCTTCTGTGTAACGGATTTATGCCAGACTTCCATACCGCCTTCTCAATTTAACTCAAAGCCTAAGTGTACAACTGAGACAAACCTATTATTAAAGCTTCTGTATGCTTAAATTGGTATAACTTAAAAACAATTGCCAAGCATTCACCACAATCAGTAGTTCCTTATGTATTGCAAAAGTGTTAAACACAAATATATCAACCATTAGCAGAAACAGTACTGAAGAACACTCCAGTTTTAATGACCATCAGCATGTTACAAAACAAACATTAGTATCAATGACGTAAATTGGTGCTACGAGACATGCTTAACAAATTAATTATCTAAAAGAATACAGAAGGGACAGTCTGAAAATCTAATTATGTTGTAATACACATCTTTAAGATTTCTTAATGTCTTACTACAGATCATGCTAATTAACAGATCTTTTTCTTCCACAGATACTGTACATTACACTCTACAGACAGATTGTTTTAATTTTCCTTCATGAATAGAAACCTGCTAACAAGAAAAAGAGCAGAGGTGATAATACAATGTAAAAGTAGATATAATTTTTTCAATATAATTCTCACTTCTAAATTAGGCACAAAAAGCTGGAAGGAAAACTGGGCATTAATAAAGGCGGCTCTTGTCTTCTGCGCACTCTTAAAAAAGGTTTCATAAGATGGAAAGCCTTCATCTGTAACATCTATAGGTACTTCCTCTAATTTTTTTGAGCCTCCCAAACGTTTAATAAAACATGGTTGCGAAACTGTGCGCTCTAGAAGTACGATAAAATGAATACCCTTGCTGAAAACGGATGTGTTTGGGCACTGCACTCCTCCTCACAATCAGAACATCACCTTGGCCCATTTGGCAGTATTCTGAACAAGTTTTTGAACCATACTTTTAGATTGTCTGAATAAATCACATTTTCTTTTTTGCAAAACTGGAAGAAAGGACTGATTTATACAAAAGTATAGTTTAAATGTTGTGTATATATGTACAAATTCTCACTCCAAAAAGATAACTTTTGTTCAAATTAAAACACTTTAGACAACCAAATCCAGCATGTTGAACTGGGGCAAAAGTCCAACCAATCAATAAGCAAAAAAGCATTTATCTTGGATTAGATTATTTTTATCTAAATGACCATTTAATCAAAGGCTGCTTTTTTCCCCATTTAAAGATTAAAGGGAATAACACATTCCCAAAAGCCATCACTTGAAATAAGGCCAATCTCAAAAAGTCCCTACACAAATTTTCACCAGGGCGGATGCTACTCTTGATGATGATGAAAAGTCTTTTAAGCTGAACTCCTTAACATTCTGGTAACTGTCCTTTATACAAAGGGATCTGTCCTTCAGTCCTCCTGAACTGGCTGATAAATGGGGGGTTACAGTACCTAATTGTAGGCATTTTCCTGTCACAAAGTACTGTTTTCATTAGCTCGGCAAAATACATGGCTGAAGAATGATAACCAGATATCAGCAAACTGCAGCTGATAAAAACCAATGCATGACCAACATTTCACTTTTAATATCTTAAAACTAAGCCGAGAATATCTTGTTTAATCAAGATGTTATGCAGTTCTCAAAAAATGCATCTTTTGTATAAAGGTTTTCATCCAGGACAGTTCAGACTTGGCTAAATTCTTTCCCATTCCCTGTATTTTTTACTTAATAACTGCATATGACTAGGAGCAAAGATACTATTTGGGCTGCTGTGCACATATCTGCTGCAGTTTAGTCAGTCGTGTGCCAGCATTGCTGAACTCCAAGTCTTCCTGTTTTGTTGTTTTACCTTTTATAGCTTCAATTAATCAAAGTAACAGTTTTTTTTTCTGGAAAATGGCATTTCAGTAGTGCAGCACTAACCACCTCTGCAGACCTGTTTAAATCGGGTGTCACACCAACAAGATGCAGATTCTGTGAAACCCTGCTTGTTTCTGTAGTCTGGATTATAAAAAGTCGCAATGTTTTCAACATTCCCTCAGCGCTCTTCAAGCTTCGTGGACAGCCGTAAAACCACCGACATTTCTTTCCTACACACAGTGATAAAGAACCATCATAGCAAGGTATCAGAGCTGAGCCGACTTATTTAAAAAAAAAAAGAATCCTGCTACAGTACAGTTGTCAGGAAGTGGTTCTGTCCACAGAACATGTACAAAAAACAGAGCAACATGGATCTGGAGGTGAAAACCACATTAGTTCATACAGAACAAGGACAACCCAGGACTCGTTTCTGGTTTTGTCAGTTCAGCAATATGTGAATGAAAGGTTAGAACTTTAGCAAACTTGCTGCTGTGTCCTTTAGGAAAAGAAACTAGAAGAAACTACTCCTAAGCATTTACATACTATTTTGGAAACATAGTCCCCTGGATAACTTTGTGTTGACTGTCTGTTGTGTTTACTGTACATAGATTAAGCAAGTCAGCTAAAACAGAAAATTGCTGCTGAATGTATGAACACATCGAATAACCTGACTATATAATTATAGGGTAGAAGGATGTGGCTGTGCAGCTGAAGGATCACCCCGACCAAAGCAAGCTCAAAAACCAAACTGAACTGCAACAGCCTCTCAATAAAATCAATATAAATACTCGCAGCCTTACACTGGAATGGCTTGGCACGTCAGAGTACATTTTGCACTGACATACCAAAAAGTGTAAAACACTTTGGCCATCAAATATAATTATCTCAAATGGGTTCAGTGTGCCTAATCCAAAAAGAGTTACGATCATCCTCATCATGACCCCACAATAAATAGTATTAGAGAGTGCCCTTTAAATAGGCTTGTCCTGAAGTTTCCTCATCTCTCTAAACAGCAGCAGATCTGTTCACGGCCCAAGGCACAACTCGACAAGTTAAAAGTATACATTTCCTTATGTATGTCATACAGAACAAGCCGTAACGCTGGCTGCTCTGTTTGTGCAAGACAAATACTGCACTAAAAGAGAGGGCCTCGAAATTAAAAGGGTTAATCTCCCCGCCACCTGTCTGTGTTATGATTTTGGAAGAACGGCTTACAAGCAAACGCAGACACGATGAGCTGCCGACACCTGCTGTGAAAGATTTCACCTAAACATCAACACACCCCCCCCCCGCTCTGTCGAGTACACTTTGCCAACACCTGTCCCACTTGTACCACACACCCCTGTCTCACAAACCAGAGCCGGTGCACAGGTGCATGCCGTATGCAAGCCACCACAATAGCAACTCTGTGTGGACCAGAAGAGAGACACTGCCCTTACAAGAGGCAAAATGCAGCCTACAAGCCTAAGTCACTCTTCAGCAAGGAGCTCAGGCTTTCCGGTCTCCTCAGTCTCTTACGCAGCTTTCCCTTTCATTCCCCAGATAAAACCAGATTTCACTGTCAACTCTCTAAACCCACCTTCGGAGTTCCTCTCCCTCTCTCCTTGTTATGAGGTGTCTCAAGTGTTAGCAAATAATTCTGCCCTTTATATGGGTCTACATCAAGTATAGAGGTTCTAAACAATAATAAACCACGGGTGTAATGAGTTTTAAAAGAACTCCATCACTCCAACAACACATGCATTGTTGCTTTACAGTGCAATCCTGCTGGCCGTTTTTTAATGCTGTTAAAGGCTATCCTTCGATAACAGACACAGTAAATGTCCCTTCTGTGGACATCGGTCAAGTGTTTCTTTGCGAGAACAAAATGTGACAAAACAGCACCTCTTCCTGCATTGCCGTCTGCCATTAAAAACATTGCCAAAAAGTTAAAATTAAAAATAGAACAAAATCTCATTGATCATTTCCAATTCATAAATAGCAGTGGCTTTCTTATCTGAAAACTGCCCTAAAATGAAACACGAAAGTATTATTCAAAACCTTTCTCTATACATTGTTTGGAAGTGAACACTGAGAACACCCTTGATATTAATCAAAAGCACACTACTGACCTCAATTAAAAAATGAACCTATTTTAACCTTGCACACTAAAAATGAAAAACATTCTGCACCTCACCACGTGCGACTTGGAGATGGAGCTGGAGAACTGCGCGGACAGATCCACAACTGATGAACAGTGGAAGACAGGGAAGAGGAAAGTGCATTCCTCAACCCAGGGATCCCGATTCAAACTCAAGTCTCATTCACAGCTTTTATTTTAGGAGAAAAAAAAACACTTGTGACCTAGCTTCTTGCTTTTCAGAGATGTCGGCATACTCTGGTATAATCAATCACTTTAATAGCCTACGAATAAAAATAACCTTGTGAGCTTTGTCTACAGTAATGCAGGTCTATTCATTAAACGGGGCAGATACTGAAGTAATAGACTACATTACAGTCCACCACTGTACCACGTATGCTGTCCTGTTATCTGTTATTAAAGAGAGATGAGCAAACTTTATGGTTTTGGTCCAAACCTTTTATTCCTTTTCCCATTTTACTGGCCAAATAAATGAATTGGGAATCACGTGGAATACAATGTCCTCCAAACTGATTCAGAAATCTCCTGAAATATTTATAGATTCGATTCTTGTGTAAACTGCTTTTAAATTCAGAACTCGTTAAGCCATTTTTCTTAATTTTCTTTTCATTTAGTTACTGAGCTGTCAGGAAGCCGCAGCATCCTGCCACTATGGGACGCAACGAAGCAACTGTAACCCAACTGCTAGGCGCAGAAATGACTACATTGCAAGCGATTTTGTTTTAAAATTCATTCCTCGACAATTCAATTTTCTCCTTTCAAAAGAAAAATAGAAATTGTAGCAGCACCGCAGTTAGTTTCAGTAGTTAATGCAATGAGCCAACTTCCTGCCAGCAGCGTTTCGCAAGTTTCGTTAAAAAAGAATTGTATTTATAGAACATCTTATAGCAAAAGAAAATCAAATGAAACTGCTTTCCCTATTATTCAAGGACATTGACAATTTTCAAGAAGAGGATATGCTCTTAAGCACTGTTATGATGCAAACGTTACAGTTGAAATAATAATAAACATGGCACCGCCGTTTGCGAATAGCATGCCTTTTTCTTTGTGTTTTAATAAATCGTAGTGGTACGTCGCACAAAACAATAAAACGCGTTTTCATCTAAGGGCTATCTGGTAATCATAAGTAACCTAAAACGGGGGAAAGAAACCCGAAGTACAGTAAGTCAGTCAGGCCCGACTGAAACATCACTTTAAAACCTGCCTTTAACAATGCTTGGTACTCCGGCTTAAACGCGAAACCGTGTGGGTCCGCACCGCGCCCTCTGCCCTCTCCCCTCTCCTGTGCCTTTTGCTTTTCGCTTTCCCCCTCCGAAGCACGAGCTCGGCAACCAAACAAATAACTATTTACACTTACAAATCTTTCCCCTGAGGCTTTGTAAAATCCGAATCCCCGTGTCGTCTTCTTCCGCCATGGTGCAACTCAGGTCTGAGCAGTCGGTACATTCAATACTTCTTATCACATCCGTTTATGAATGTGAGACGAGAGGCCCGGCCTACCCGAGCGTCACCGAGAGTCGATTGGCTACGCGACCAGACCCGGCAGGAACTGGGAGAAAATCTTGCGGCACACACAATTAGTAAAAAAACAAACAGAAGCACCCACAGAGGGAAAAGGAAGGGATACAACGGAGCAGATTTTTATTTTATTTTTTTTTTAAAGGTGAAATGTTGTTTGTTTCATTTTGTTTTGCGCAGACAAGGACACTTTATGAGTTAACACAGAGAGCCTGGGAAACGGGAGGCGACGTGCGCGCGTAGGTGGATTATTTCTTTCCCCCCTGTATAGAAAGCAAAGGGCCCTCTTAATTTTGGAAGGTTTTTAAAAATAGTGTGTTCTCAAAGTCTTCATGGGGTTGAATCATCTCTGAGGTAAGAAAATCTGTGTCCTTATTTAACCAACCCAATTTCATTAAACGCCTTGTGCCAGTTGATCGGTTCCGTACTTCTGAGTACTGACGTTATATTTTGAGTCGTGTTAGCAACATGGCAGGTACATTTCCGAAATTGTGTCTTGATTTTTTTATTATGCATTTGAGTGATGCAGGAGAGAGTTTGCGTGGTTGTTTATCTAACTTTGTTGGAAACAGTTTCACGTCGCTGCTGTTGAAACTGGTCCCGATGCGGGCAGTAATAACACAGGGAAAGGCTGCGAATTCTTTTGTTGAGATAATAATCAGAAAACAGACGTGGTGGGGTGAACTAAAAACCGACTACTCCCCTTCCTAATGTGGACTGTCAACATGCTCACAGCCGGACCATCTGCTCGGATCCTGAGTCCTGACAGTTGTTAACTGAGGGCGCAGCCGGGACAGAAAAGGTGTCAGCTTCCTCTGCTCCCTGCTTTCTGTGTTTGGCCACTAGCTTGGACCAGTAATTGATCAGTTGATAATATGAGCTCTTCATTCTGCACGATACAAAGTGACTGCGAAGACATTATCTACAGACAATTTATGGGCACATGCATATCTGACCGGATACTCCCCCGACTTACCGACAAGTCTTTGACAGCCTCAGCCCAGCAAGCGGGGGTGGCAGCATAAGGGCAGTATAAAGTACTGCACGTACTTCAAAAGCACACGTTCAGTACAGTGGAACCAGCAATCCTTTATAGTGGTATCAATGGTAAGAATATAAAGGCAGTGTTAAGAAACAACGTCCTCCTTATGATCATAGTTTTAGGTACGTTTTAAGCAAACAGGTCTTTTCTGTTGTGCCTGTGAGGTGGAATTCCCCAGTTATTTTTTTTTTCAAGAACGAAAGAAAACATACTCAAGAGCTTCGTTACCAAAATCTCAAGGCCTTGGTGGCTTAATTGTCTGTAAATTGTCCCTTAGTCGATGACATCAACTTCCAAAAGTCACCTTATTTGGTGAACATCCAGAGCAATAGAATATTGTTAGTGCATCGTCAGTCATGAAGACCTGGGCGAAGTACTGTAAATATTTCTGCTGTTGCAGACACAATGTTAAAATAGGCTGGAAAGGTAGCGACACTCCATTTCTACTCCGACACTGAAAAGTACTAACACGCGTGGGCCGTTAGTAGACTTTGTATTAGAACTTTATCGTCAGCTCTCTGTTGAGATTCGTTAGTGAAAATGAAAGCAATGGCAGAGGGTTTTATCCCAAGTATAAGACGCACGTGTCGAAATCCTCTGCGTGCCAGAGAAATCAGAGCCTAGTTCCTAGCACAGTTACAGACTAGCATGGTGTTTTTGTGCTTTTGGCTTCAGAGTAGAAGGATTATATGTCACTGGGTCACTACATGACACCTGTAGCCATTCCTTAATTTGCATTGCTCAGACATGCTGATAATTGCACATTATAAGCTGACTCCTGGTCTGATATACAGTACTAAGGCTCAAGCATCTTTTAAAGTATGTTTTTGTTATGCAAAAACGTTGCCAGAAAAAAGTAGGCAAGACTTAGTACAACTGGTATAAAGCCGAGAATATTACATGAATTCAGGGTCTAGCAGCTGTGTCTGGAATTTTGAGGTTCTGCTTAGAAATACAGTATGTCAACTATCTTGCAGCCATTAATAAAACAGGTAAAACCCAATGCCAGTAACAGCAGCATTGCTGACAAAGCAGCATACAATACTCTGCTGAATGAGAATATCATAAAGACATTGGGAGTGATTCTACTCTGACCATCCAATCCATTTGCTGTGAAATGGCCAGTCTGCAAGGAAAATAAGGATTGTAGAATTTCGTTTTTTGTTATCGTATTAATCTTAGGGATAGTTCATTACGAACAGCTATTACCTTTCCATTAGTTGATTTGCTGTTGGATCCCTCATTTATGAATCCCAGGCCTTCACTGTTTAAGCAAGTCTCAGTGCCTGCCTGTTGTACCTGTAGCAATAGAGACTTGTTTCCATCTGAATGTACAGGACAAGCCTGAGTCACTGATGTTAAGCACAGGTACTGTAGTTCTTATCTGTGCAGCAGTTGCCCTCACTGAAAATCCAAATCGCATAGATTTACAAGACAATTTCACATGGAATGATGTGTTCTGGGTAAAGTGTCAAACGGAGCGTGGAAAATTAACGCACACATTTATTTAAGTAAAATGTTTAAAGTCTCCTATTTAATATCACAAATCAGTTTGTCGTGAAGCTTAAGGAGTAAGCAGGAAATGAAGTTTGATGAACATTGGCTGGAGGAACACTGACACTGTTGTCTCCAACACTCCTACTGTATGTCACAAGCTTATCCTTGTGTGGCCCATGGCAATTGTACAACTTCCTCTTAGTGAGCATGATGTTTGAGTGCTTTGTGAACCAATGATGGAGATCCTTACTTAAATACATAAAAGGATACTTTACAAGCCATCTAATAGTCTTCTTTACAAGGTATGTTTTACTTTTACCTCAAACTTTGTGTTAGAGGATAGTGCTTCCATTGTGGATCTCTTGATTGTCGTCACAATGGGATTTAAGCAAGGCCCAAATCAAGACTTAAACACCCCCATCATTAGCAAATGGTGAACCAGAGATGGGTGGTGACTCTTTGTTTATTATAAAACCCCAAAGGAAACCTGCTATTAAGCAATGGGTGAACTGGGCTCCAGTTTGATTTGGCATGGACTTAGGAAATACAATAAGTATAATTTCCTGTAACTGAAAGTATAGTGTGGACATTTGGTGGTTCAGTGGGTAGCGCTGTCACTTCATAGTTCCAGGTCCTGGGTTTGAATTTGACTCTGTAAGGAGATTCTGTGTTATCCCCACATTTGTGTATGTTTTCTTTTGATACTCCGGTTTCCTCCCAGTCCAAAGACATGCTGCCCAGGTAGGTAATGTACAGTATGTGCCCTGCGATGGAGTGATGTCCTAACATGTGCCCTGTGCTTGCCAAGTTGGTCTTTGACTCACTCTAAGAATCAAGGAGTTGTTGAACTCAGATGAATGAATAAAACATAGCGAAAAGCTAAAATGTTTTTGTAGACAATGGTAAGAACTACTGCTGACCTTTGCACAGAAAGGAAGATGGTCGTGCAGGGTTTGGGTTAACCATGCATCCCAGCTGAACACTTTGTGAACAAACTGCCTTTGATCTTGTACAGTAACACACATTACTTGCAACTCTGAAATACTGAACATGTGGCTAATGATTAATGGGGGTCATCTTCTAAATGCTGCAGTGTTTGATGGAATCGACTGAGTGTTTCATATGCAATCTTTGATTTCTGCTCTTCCCAAAATAAGGTTTCAAAAAGTTAGTTTTGTAAGACCTGAATTTTCAAGATATATCCATAAAGCCCTAAACCTAATGTATAACATGTAGCCTTAGATAAAGGGGAAATTACTTTATTCCAAATAAAAAGGCAGCATCAAACAATAAATATAACTGTGAAGTACTTATGACCGTTTATTTATCCTAAATACTTTAAGGAAATGTTAAATAAAATGGTTTTTGCTTCAGATAACCCTGATTTTCATATCGCATAATTTTTTGTCTGTTCTCAGAGATCTGTTCTAGAAACTGCTGAGTATGTTGATTTGGGGTTCAAGCAATCTCGACTTTCATTCGTTAGAGAGAAAGTCATATAAGTTGCTTTATGTGAGATATTTGGTCTATGTGTGCGGACACTACTTTGCTAAAAAAAAATCAGTCATGATACTATTTATGTTGGAAATTTACTGTATAGTTACAGTAGTATGGTTACAGTAAGTTTTGAGGAGGTGCTGCTAAGGTGGCACAGTGGTTAGCATTGCTGAGACTCTGGGTTCAGTGTTGGACCTGGGGGGCTATCTGTATGGAGTTTGTAGGTTCTCCCTGTGTTTGTATGGGTTCTTGCCAGGTGTTCTGGTTTTCTCTGTTCTTGTGCCTTTGTGTGTCCTGTAATGGACTGGTGACCCACCCAGGGTTTATCCCACCTCAAACCTGTTCTCACTGGGATAGGCTCCTGAACTGAACTGAACTGGATGAAGCAGCTAGGAAATGGGTGGATAGGTGATACTTTTGTTACAATAGTAGACTCTCTGTTAGGCAATGTAATGCTATTTGGCTGTGAGAGAGCTATGAATTGAATACAGAAAGCAAGGTCACTGCCATTTCATCAGTCAATTGAATCAGATTCATTGGTTACGTTGTGGAGAATTGAAAAAAGTAAATTGTTTAAGCAGCAATCCAGAAAACCAAGCAAAAACATAGGCACAATGTTTCTTATAAATATGAAAAACTACCAAACGTTTATTTGCAGAGTGAAGAAAAATATTTTGTTTTTTGCTAAACATTTACAAGACATAAGTATCCAGGTAGAGGCAGGGGTAGTTTGTTTTGTTGTTTTTTTCTGTTTGTTTTTGTACACGTTCATTTCAGTCTGGGAAAGAATTCTTGTGCCTCTAGGAAAAGCAGCCGCTTATCAAGAAAAACTATTTATCAAAGGTACGGACAACTGTACAGTCCAGAAGATGTGTGAGATCTCTGACTACCTGGTCTTCCGCGACTGTGAGGAAATGGTGTATTTCAGAGTCCTCATTTCACATTATATATGTCTAAGTTCCATGTTTGCAATACTGGCCTTTTCGATTTTTTTTTTTCTGTGCATTTAAGTTTTGTCAGTAATTGGCTGAAAAGGACATTTCTTCTTTGCAGAATTGCTTGCACTCTGCTTTTCGTCCGTCCGTCCGTGTGCTGCTGAGGAGTACGGGCATCACAGTGCGTGAAGGCGGAAAGGGCTCCGAGTTGCTCTGACGGCTCTTGTGGCCCACAAGCGGAAGGCAGGAGTCAGGGTCTGACCCTCCCGTCAGGAAACCGTGCCTCTGCCTCTGCTCTTCGTCACTTTCCGAGTGCTGACCTCTGGCGTGCTCCTGGAACCCTGGGTTGCTGTTCCAGGCTTTGATCAGTGGCACCGGTGTTGGTGACCCTGGGAAAGATAATGCGTCCTCAGGCTGAGGTGATATGAAACTCTTGATTTCTGGTCTCTTACATTCCTGGAAGTGCCCATTGCTGCTTACTTCACTCTGATCTTCAAGTTTTGGGGCTACGGCTATATCCGTGTCACTGTTCTCTGACATCCGCGTTTTCAGCCCTTCTCTTACGCTAGAAATGCTGCAGAGCAATTTGGCTGATTGTTTATCATCCACCTCCTCCTCTTCAGTCTTAATGCAATGCTTTCTTGTGTGTATTTCCAGGGTGGCTGAAGACTTGCACACCTTCGGGCAGTAGTAGCAGTTGTATCCCTTTCCAGGCTGCTCCACGTGCTTCTTCTCATGGCTCTTCTTGGTGGCCAGGTACAGGAAGCGCTGTGGGCAGAAGGAGCAGCGGTAGCGCTTCTCTGTGTTGTGGTTCTTAAAGGTGTTGTTGAAGCAAGAGCCATCCTCCATGCAGTTCTTGCAGGCAAAGTCTCTGTCACCGTGCAGGTAGGGGCTGTCTGCACTCTGCACCTCACTGGAAGGGCAGCGCTTCCCACACGTTTTACAGACATATAGCGGCTCACTGGGGCGGCAGCTAATTATGTGCGTCCTCAGAGTGGACAAGCTGGAGAAGAGACTTTTGCAAATGTCACAGGAGTAGGCATCTTTGTGGATGCTCTTTCTAAGGTGCTTTCCATTTCCTGTCATGTCCGACGAGATGCTGCCATGTGCATTGGAACTTGTGTCCAGGTAGTGGTCTGCACCGGCTGGATCTGATGTTTTTTCACTGGATCTCGAGCTCCTTCCAGGTGTCCTGCCCCTCCTGCCTCTCCGCCTGTGCTTGGATCTCGGTTTGTTTGCCCCTTTGGGCTTCTTTTTCGGTTTGTAGGAGTAATAAGGACGCCACAGTTTGTCACCGGTGTCACGATCGGTCATATCGTCGTACGGCTCGGGCTCTATAATGGGAGTCACATCTGTCCTGGAGCGCAGACAGACATTCTTGCCAGTCTTTTCTTTGGGCCCTGTGAGAGCGCTCCGATCCTCGTCAGGCAGGTGATTCTGCTTGCACTTCTTCCTCTTCCTTTGAAAGAGTTTCGTCCCCTTTATTCTCCTGCGAATGATGGCCTCGTCCCCGATTTTCACCGTGATCTGGCAGAGAGGAGGGACCTGGCTGTCAAGAGAAGGGCCCGGGCACGCTGGCTTCGCAATGTACGTTTCGGTTTTGCTTCCCATGCAGTGAGCACTTGCAGTTCTGTCAGAAGCGACACTGTAAGCTGGCTGCGATACCTGGCTTACTGCAGTCTCTGTGCCTTGCACAGCTGACAATCCTTCCAAGCGTGCTCCTCCTTGACCTTTATCGTTGTTCGATCCTGGCAAGCTGGCAGTGTTCATTTCTAGGAATGGCATGGGGCTGCCATCATCATTGTTGTTATGAGCTGCTATAGAGCCTGCATCGTTGCCACAGACAATGACAGACGCCGGTCTGGTCTGCATTATAACAGAAGGAACTTTAGACCCATAGCTGGTGATGGAAGATCCCTTATTGTTGTTGTTGCTTGCCATCCCATCAAACACCTGTGTGTCGTGAGAGGTTGAATTCACCGTTTTCTGTGGGCACGTGTCTGCTTCGAGAGATATCGGTTGAGTTCCTCCTGTGTGATCGAATGTAATATGAGGTGCCACTGAGGCAACAACCTTTGGAGTGGCCATGAAGGTCACTGGCATTGAAAATAGTGGCTGTCCCACACAACCACCTTCTGTTCCGCTCATGAGGATGTTTTCCTCAAAGCCAGATGAGGGTGATCTGCAGTTCAAGGAATTCTGGGAACTCTCAGCTACAGAAACTGGAAAGGCTTGGCTGTTGCACTCTGTGCTCTCGGCAAACGTTTGGCTGTATGTTTTATACTGCCTTTTTCTGAACTTCATGGGCAGAAGTCTGTAGAGCTTAATTGGGTAAATGCTACTTTTGAAGCCTCCGTTCGATGACTTCTTATTCACAGCTAACCGCGGGTCAATTCCATGGAAAGATTTTTGGTGGTTTTTCAAGATATAATACGTCATGAACGTCTCCAGGCAGAAAATGCACTGGTAGCGCCTCTCTCCTGTGTGCCAGATTTCATGTTTTGTACGATATTCGGCCAAGGCAAAGACTTTATTGCAGTAATGACACGGGTATGTCCTCTGCCATGAGTGGACGTTTTCGTGTCTCCTCAGGCTAGATAAAGTCACGTATGAGCGCTTACACACACAACATACATATGTCCTGTGCCCGCCGACAACTTTCATGGTGCGGTGCAGCTGCTGCAGGGTCTCACTGGCCTCCATTTGGAAAGAACTTCTGGAGTTACTGTCCGAGATGCCTTCATGGCAGGTAGGGGGTGTATTGTCTTTTGTGCTCGATATGTTATCTGCATCGGAGCCCTTTAATACTTGATCACAGCTCGATTCGTGCTCAGACTCCAATATCGGGGCCTTGGAGCAAATTTGCTCATGATTATGCAGTCGCTTTAAATGCATGAATTTCTTGCGACAAAACTTACAAGACAGATGGCTGACAAATCTCTTTTTGTGGACCTGTATGTGCATGTGAAACAGCGCGTTGTTGCTGAAGGTCTCGTTGCAGTATTCACATCGATCGACATTTTGACTTGGATCTGTCAGTGTTTCGAGTGCAGGAGTGCTTGTTTCCATTGCAGGTGTGTTTTCTGCCAGCGAGCCAATTGCAGAACTCGGAGGGTCATTTTGGCTTTCTGATGTTGCTACAGGACCACCTGTAGTGTTCGGGAAGGCCAGCGGGCTTTCGCTGCTTTGCACAACTGTGGTTTTAATCAGGTTGCTACTGAGTCTGTGGCGTTTTTTCAGTGGACTACAGCTCAGGCTCATCATTGGTTTTGTAAGTACTCTTGTGGGCACAAAGGATTCTTTCCTTCCGTCGTTCAGTTCGGTTTCACTCTGCTCTGTGGTTTTGCGCATCTGGTTTGCAGCATAAGAGTGCTCTGATAGAGCCTGGGTCTGCTCGCAGTCTGCAGCTCCCACACTTTGGGTGGGACATCCCTCTGGGACGTTTTCAGGATCCTGAGACCTCTTTGCGTTGGCCCTCAGGTCAAGCGGGGAAAACAATTCATCGTTAGGCCCTGCCTCAAAAATAGAGAAGGCATTGGTGATCCTTGGCCCACTTGCGCACTCAGATTCTTCAGTTCTTGGTTCGTTGGAGCTGTTAGGGGTTTCCTTTTTCAAGGAGTGGGACTCGGTGCAAAGGAGGGTGCTGTCAGGGCTCGCTTTCTGGACTGCATCAAGGTTTGAAGATCGCTTCTCCTGCCCCGCTAGGTTTTCCAGAAAAGGAATTCCTAATTTCTTACCAGCAGCCACTAACAGCTTGACATCTTCTGAGCCCGTGAGGGCAACCTTCGCGCTGTAGATGAAGTTCAGGATCCCCGCGAATGTGTCCGACTTGAGGTCCAGCAATTCCAGGACCTGACCTGAAACCCAGAATTCTTGAGAGGAGAAGGCATTCTTGAAATAGAAGCTGGACGCCGCCAGCACGTTCTTGTGGGCTTTGAACTTGATGTCTTCCACCACAATCGTCACATCACAGAACATGCCCTGGATGCGTTGGTCATTTAAGCAGCAGAGAACAGTCTGGAAGTGGGAGCTGTCCGTAAGGCTCTCTGATGCAGGAGACATGACTGTCATCTGCAAAGAGAGAGAAAAAAAACAAGAGGCATGTTGCTTTAGATCTCTCCCACTCTTTATTTTAAACTCTAATGTTTAAACTGTACCACGCAGGGTGATAAAAGCAGGCTGCACAGCTTGTAGGCTGGAGTGAGTTGAGAAGGCTGTATGGGGAAACTGAGTTTCTGTAGAAAACCAAAAGAGGGTGGGAGGCAGTCTGACATCTTTTTTTTTTTTTTTGCAGTGAGCATTAAATGTTAAAGGAAATCAAGACCTGCATAAGAAGAACATGGTCAAATCTGTGCATTTGTAGATTTTGACTGACCGTTTTTACATAAAGATGAAGTGTGGGAATTACATTTTAGAAAATGAAACGTGAGTTTAATTTCTCGAATTATATTCTCAAGCAAACATTTGAAACTACGTTCTTGAAAAGCCACTTTGTGTACTTCTCCCCTATCGTCACACTAGGTGGCAGTAGTACTTTAAAATCAACGGCGATTGGGGGGGGAAGGCTCCAGTTACACTCGCACTGTTTGTTTTTTACGGTTAACATTACTTGTAAGCGTTTTTAAAGAGAAACCTTTCAGAAAGATCTGTATTTTAATATTGTTGGGAAAACCAAACCATCCATTTATCGATACAACTGCCATTATAAAAATAAAAAATGTGTACCGTTCTGCTTCTTGTTACCACTATACGCTTTATAACTACGCATGAGGTCTTATTTTACATCCCATTCACTCCAGTTTATTTAAAAGTAGTACATCTTAACACAATTCTTCTTCAAGCGTTTTAATAATAATAGATATTTAATCACTTGCTATCAATAAATACATATTTCCACAGCTTGAAAGCATAACGTACAGTATACGGTTCTTACATGCGATTGGAAAGTGTCACCAACCAGTAGTCTATGTTAAGTATCAATAGGTTACATCTTTTCATTCTCTTACCCTGTATCCTGTACACTGTATAAAGTGTGGTGTAAACTGATAGAAATGTAGGCTCAGACATATGCTTTAGTGATAACGTTTATCAGTAAGCAGCCTTTCACAGATGCCATCCTAGGAAATATTTCCTAACAAAAAACATCAGTTCAGAGCAGAATTATTCGGCTTGGGATGTTGACCTTTTACGTCCTGGGGAGGTTTACTTGAACTCTTATATATCTTGTATAGTGTTGAAAATCACTGGTTAGGCAGATGTATGCTGTAGATTTGGAAAGATACAACTACTCAGAGAAGCATATCTGCTGTTTCATACTCTAAAACATGACCTGTCGTTTCAGACTTTTTTCATCTCCTATTTTAATGGGTGTGGCCAGATGCCTGTTATTGATACAGATATTTCAACAGTTTGCTGACAGAACAGCTATTGCTGTTTCTTTTTCCAGGGATATTTAATGTTGTAATGCATAAGGCCATAATGCAGTTTAAAATGAGAACTACAGTGGAATATAAATGTCCAAAGGCTGTGTCATTTACCAGACAGTACAGAAAAAGGTCTGAACGATTGCATTTACCCAAGAGGACAGACAAGCCAGCATGAAATATGCATTGGTGCTGGGACCCTTACATTTATACACACAGGTGACAGGATGGGACTAAGATGGCCGGGAACTCTGTTCCCATCACTCTGCTCTCCTCCCCACTGATAGCCAGTGTGAGGGTAACGTTTTGGCGCACTGTGGCTGCCGTCGCATCATCTGGGTGGATGCTGCACGTTGATGGTGGTGGATTTATTATTTTATATTATTATTTTTTTATTATTATTATTATCATTATTAACAACTCTGTAGAACTGTATTAATTGTGATTATCAGAATACTGAGTCAGTCTACATTTTACTTCTGCCACTGCCTTTAAACATTAGGTATCTGCTTTCGTCATTCCAAAATAAACACAGCAGCTAGGACTAGCTAGCTGGATCTTTGCAGCCACAGTTTATTTAACTGTGCTCTTTGAACCGTCACCTGATTCAGTATACCTGCAAAGGCTGCATATCAGGAGACTAAAGATAATTCAGCACAAATTGCAAACTAAACAGCCTGACACACAGTAGCAGCATGTTTTCTTAGGATTTTTAGATACCGTATCTTGTGAATCTTATTACAGAAATGTATAGAGTTATTGTTTTAAGAATTTCAAAATTAGCTGCAATGACAACAATCTATGTTGTCATTGCAGCTAATTTATGTTAATCTTCTCTTTTTTTAGCGATTCAGAATTAGGCATGTGGAGCCTGGGAGGTATGTGTCAGCAAGCTATTTGTTGCACAACAGCATACACAGTGTTAGGGACTGTGAGGTTTTATCACCTAAACCCAAACTAGATCCTTGTTTTTTACGCATATTATACATTTCCAGCACGCTTTGCAAGTGATGCAAACATAGACAGAAATATATTTCGCCCTTCATTGGAAAAAATATAATATTATATATGTGACATAATTACAATATAAAATATAAAAATATACAACCATGCTTAAATCATTCAACATCATTTAATCTCCTGACGTTGAAGATGTGAGGCACTGCCTACAAATATAGAGCAAATGAATTTATTAGTTTAGTCTTGCTAAACATATGCCTCATAAATGACTCTTAATAAGACGATAGTATAGGTTAAATGCACAAACATCGTCTAGGCCTTTGTGCTCATTTAGGTGAAACATTTATTACTCTACCGATTGTTAAGTGGGAGACCGTTAACTGGGACAAAAACGACTCGCTGACTTTAACTATTATTCTCGCAAAAGTAGTACTTGATGCCAAAAAATGTATCTAAGTTTGAGGCAAAGGTTATCTTAAATCATCAATTTTTTAATAATCTTCAAATTATTTTTGGGGGGTAACTATTAAATTATTTTACAAGTTAAACAATATTATGAGTTTTCGTTAGCATCTCTAGAGTTATCTTAAATTATTGTAATAATTAAAGGGTTTTTTTAAAATGTGAAAGTGAAAGTGTGGAGTTTAAATCCACTCTGACAAGTAGATGGAAGAGAGAACGCAATGTTTCAGCTGTGGAGATTTCACACACTTGAAACACTCTGCACTCAAAACATTGTGTGTTTTCTCTCTTTTACACTTCAGCACAGAATTAACTTCTGGTGTTCCATATTCAGAGATAAATATGACACCTCCTGTGCTCTTTTTAATTAAGAAGACACAAGCTCTTGTACATTTTGTTCTTTAACTTAACCAAAGCAGCTTCTTTCGAACACAACAGTAACATGTCAGCCGCACAATACCCCAAAGTAAAACATGATTTTAGGTAAAAAAACTCCTCTTCACTGTGTGCCTCAGCAAAGGAAAAGCAACACAAAACTGGTGCTCTGTCTGCATCTTTGTTAAATGTCAAAATTGTAAAATTTCTGTGTCTTTGGAGTTGATACATGTACTCATGAAGGTGATTAATACTTAAAACGTTCCTGTATTACTTAAAATTCTGTTTTAGTTTACCTTTGTACGGTACTGGAAATAGTTTTATTTTGTGAAATACACATTTAAGAGTTTATTAAGCATCTGGAATAAAAATGTGCAGAATTTTCTTTCCAGAGGTATACACTCAGAACATAAACTAAAGCTGCTCACATGAGCCTTTGAAGTGAGAAATGAATTTTGTCTATTTGACAAAATTAGATTCAAACCAAGGCCTATTTCAAGGAGTAAGAGAGAGAAAAAAGCTTTTATCAGAAGGACTGAGAAGCAGGAATAGGAGTTACAGAGGCAGAGAGAAAAGAAAATCAACACAGACCCCAGATATGAAAGATCAAGCCCTAGCAGAAGAAAAAAGTAGAAGAACTAGAGCGTTTCAGAAGAAAATGATAATCTAACAGGAGCCGTAAGCAAGAGTGGGGAAAAAAAAAAGATGAGAAAGGCTCTACAATGACCATAGTAGATAGCTGGGAAAAGTTTGAGCCAAGCGAGATTTAGAAACACTCCACAACCAGTCCAAATAAAAGGGGTGATACCACCAACCCAAACTGTAAGTGATGTGAGAATTCAGGACGTGAGAGTAGAAACATGCAAGAGACATAAAAATCTTGGAACATAAAAATGATGAAGAAAAAATACAGAAAGTAGAGGAAACAAACCTCTAGAGAAAAACAAACATTGTAACAGGTTTTGTGCATCTCCTAGAAATCCAGTACAAGAAAAGCAGAAAAGAGTAAAGCTCCGACTGAAATTGATCAGCGCAAGTTCTAACACCCTGGTCCTGATAGGAGACTGCCCTGTCTTGTAATTTTTATATAAAAGAGCTTTTTATTCTTTGGTATTTTTGGAGCACATTAAATTCGTATTTTATTATTAAAAAATTGCTGACTAGTTTGGTGTTTTTCAAAGATGTAATTTGATCTTGGAAAGATTTAAAGTCATTTTTGAACAAATTCAAGTAGCGACATTAGAGGAAGCAAGAACCTTTTTAATTTTCTTAATTTTGTTCATCTAGTTTTTATCATCTGAAGTTACCAGTAACAGTTGTGACTTGACTTAAACTTTTTCGAAGAAAATTCACCTAATTTTGAAATGAGAAGTGCTTTGCGTTCCTGTAAGGCCATCAAGTGGTACTCATTTTTATTATTTTTAACTGATAAGAAACCTGTGTCTTAAAGAAATTTAGATTCCATCAATTCAGTACTGGGTGTGTTCAGTGTGTACTTTTAAAAATAAAAATGCTTCTCTTTTTTTATTTGATAGTGCGTAGCACAACATTATTCAGCTTAAAATAATAAATGCCTTGGAACTAACCCAATTTTATACAAGCAGATGTAATTTATTATCGGTTACATTAACTGTCACTTGTGAGACAGAAGGAAACTGCAGATTTCTATAGGTGGAATTTTACTGATTGTATAAAAGACTCCCCAGGTTGGGCATTTTTGAAACACCCTATTGAGCAGACAGAAAAAGGGTTAAAATATGACTGTCAGGAGGCTGAATCTTAACAGAAAACTTTAGCTCAGGCTATGGTTAACTTAACTATATTGACCAAATCCACTAAACTACTGTAAAAAAGACATTTTGTCTCTGCTCTCATCACCCCGTGGATTCCTCAGTGGTAGGCAAGTGCAAGAGTTCATGAAATTAAGCATTTAGTTAGTAGCTTTGCAAACAATTAGAGAAGGAATTGAATGCTTGCCTAAGTGAAAGCTGCTTGTTCGGGTAGCCTTTACCGTTTCGAGGTGGAAAAACAAGCAGGCTGGAATGTTTCTACTGGCGTAACTCCCAAAGCTCTTTCCGGCCAAGAAGAAATCTACACTACACATGGGCTACTTCTCCAGTACACCAGAGCAGTGCTCATTGCTTTTGCTCTGAAGAAACCCGCACACCAGCACTTGCTTTAACCTTTGGTTTAATGTGCCTTTCATTTATCAGGGTTTAAGCACCTCAGCATTGTAAAACTGCTGTTTCTCAGCTGTCTGAAGTGGCAGGTCATCTGCATCAGCCTCCAGTGATGAATGTGCAAGTTCATGATTTTGCACAAAGAAGAAAAAAACAATTTCCTGCCCACATATAACTGCTTAGCAAAGTGCCTGTGATTTTTTTTTTGCTCAGCTGGCAGTTTTAATGTGCAAAATGGGTAAATTATCTCTCTGTCAGAATCCATTCTCCTGTTATTCATAGCAGCCATCAGTACTGTGCGTGCAAAAAGGGAAAAAAGGTCTCTACAGCACTGACAATTGTAGCTTCAGAAGCTGCTTCTGTGGAAGTTCTAGCTTCCCAGTCCTCTATAGACATGGTTTTTAGGATTTTCCTTTCTTTCATTAATGACTCAAGAGAGTAAGCCTAGTAAAGCAGTGTCTTTACTGACACTTAAAGAGCCTTCAGTAATACAATTTAAACTATTCAAATAACGAATAGCAATCAGGCCAATAATTTTTTACAATATAGTGTATCTGAAAGCTAACTGAATCTAACAATATATACATTTGTAACAGAATAAGAACCTGTATATTCTGTATGGGCCATTTTTCTTTACTGTACTTTATGCCATTATAAGGCACAACAAAATCTTGTTGATCTTGTATGAAATATACACTTAAGAAATCAAGCATTAATTTGTTTTCAGCTCAATAATCTTCTGAAATACAGGTATGCTTCATATATATAACAATGTTGTGCACATACAGTATATGAGAATTAATTTAATTGTAGCGGAGGATTGTGGGGAAACCAATTATATTCTACAGATATGCATAAAATAGTTGAGTTCAAAGCTGACACCCTTACACAGGCCGTACGGTCGTCTTGAGCATAAATAGAACTATATACAGTAAATATTTATCACCACTTTTTAGTGTTTGTCTCAGCTTTTCGTTTTTAGGCCGAGGTTGGTTTACAAGATGGTCCATGTGGGAAACATATTTTGCATTCAGTGTTTTTCAGTTTTACTCAGGGGGAGCTTTACTGTGGGGAGTTGAAATGGACTTCTCTGATATGAACAACTACTTGTGCGAAATTCAGGGCAAGCGTTTTTTATATATATATCAAAATATATAACGGATAATGTCATTGAAGAGAATGACGTGACATGCAAGAACTATAGTAACATAGCTCAATTTTACAATGACTCATTTTTCGTAAAGCTCAGAGTCAGGAGGGTGCAATCAGACTGTTTCTCTCATGCTGAGTAGCCATTTTACCCTGATTCACAGTCGATGTTGGAGAGATAAAATGGCTGCCAGACATGTAGACTATACGTAACCAGGCAGCCCAGAAGAATTTTCTCAGTCACTAGTCACTTGTCTTATGATTTGCAGATTTTTTCTGCATTCTAAAATTTTGCAGATGACAAGGTTAACAGAAAAAAAAACTGCCCATCAAGGCCCTGATATTTACAAAAGGGAATGAAACATAATTTTGGACACTAAAAGAAAAAAAAATGTTTCACAGTCATTGTTACACTGTGGATTATTTTCAAATCAATGCATTTATTACATTGATCATCTTTAAATGCAGCTGGGAAATATCTTGTTCAATGTGAGTACAATCTCCGTTTAAACACAAAATGCAACGGAACCCATTTTTAAAATATATTTGCTTTTCGGCCGCAAATCCGTTCTGAGCAGTAAACATTTATGTACATTGAAATATCGACCTCCAGCCAGTTTATGAAGGTGTGATAGGTAGTCTAACAGAAATACCAGTTTCTATCACCGCCTGATACATTTCACAATCATTCTGAAAGGTGAAACTGTGCAAAGACGTGAGATATAAACTGCACTTCATTTAGGCCCTCTATGGTTGTTTGTGATATTATCTGTATTATTTAGTTCTGAATCGGAATCGAAAGAAAAGCTGTGTCCTGCTCTGTACTTAGGTTAACATTGAGAAAACAGTAACGCTTTATCCTCTCTGCCTCCAACAGGATGTGGTTGTCAAGGAAACAGGCTGTGGCGCAGTATTTATTGGGATTCAACTGAATTCTAAGCTACTGCATTAGCTGTCTAGGGATTTATGCATATACATGGCAAGTAATATCCATTTCATCACTTTATAAATCTATAGCACTAAGGAAGAGATGAATTGCGAAATAAGTATGGTAGTTCCCAATTACTATTAGAGAATTCTGTAATGAGAGAATTGTTATGTCAACATTATGCATTTCAAATGGCACATGCCATCTGTATTCGTACAATATCTGGCACTTTGTTTAGCTCCTGTCACTGGCACCACCAGCCTTAAGTGCTAAAGGCTGATGTTCCATAATTTAGGCTGGTACTTATTTGACATTGTGGGGTAAAATTTAGCATACCGTGCTTATATATTTTTCTCCTCTGCTGATTATTTGGAAAAAATATTTTTTTGTCATCGTTGATCTGTGCTTTGTCTTATTTAAGTTTAGCGTAAAACGACTAGTCGTCATTTAAGGGCACACCGTCAGCCACGCCCAAAATCCAGTTTGTTTTTCCATAACATACAAGGCTAACCTTTCGAAAAGACAATTCTTTCTGTCACAAAGTGCGGAGTGCAGCGCGTCTGGAATAAAAGGCATATTGCTAAAAAAGTGAAAACATTGTTAATTTATCCTTAAATTATAGCTGTAAGAGGCTCAACATTTTTCTCCATCTGTCTTATTTAAAAGGTTGTCTTTGATAAATAACATGCATAACATACCTGAAACCATCAGTGAAAATTATGCCGCAGAATATAAACGCAAAAAGAAACCATGCAGTAACACTCTTCTACGATTTGTAACCTATACAATTTCTACGTTTAAAAAAAAATCTTCATGAACTGAAGGCGAAAGCAGCTGTATATTTGAGCAGACTTCATTCCTGGCATTTCAGCTGATCAAGGCTCGGTGCAATTCTCCCTTTTCCAGGCTTCGGAGAGACTTCCTTCGCGAAGCTGTTTCCTTTTTCTCTCAGGGTTGCAGAACTCAAAAGCTGACCATCGTAAAGGGCACTTGTCATGCTAACAGAAAATCAACCTATTGGTATCAGTGCCGAAAATATTAGTCACAAGCACAAGTACCAAAGCCTCCTTCAACGCCAGCACCGCATTAAAGTTAAAAATAGCCTTATCGTGCTTGCAACCTGCATCACGAACCAGAGCAATTTAAAGCCGAAGAGGAAACATCAACTTTATTTAGCTTAGTTGTGTGCAGACTGAATACCCAGAAGTGCATTTCGCATCACATCAAAATCTGACTTTGTGACTGCAAAAACTGGGATTCACGACATGCCTCGGATGAATGAAGTACAGATAGTACAGCAATGACTACACCGCGTAACAAAATATTTTAGCTACTTGCAGGCAATCTTAAATACCTTACAGCGCAGCACAGAACACGTCAAACGCAGAGGTACAGTTCAGCGCAATGTCATACATATACACACATATGTACAGCATTTACAAACTCACATCCACAACACCAGAGATGATACAATAAAATCAATAGCAAGCATGCAGAGACAAGAGGCATTGTTAATCCTGTCTGCCTGCCTGCCATTTTAAGCTTGCAGGAGTGCAGTTTAAGAAAAAAAGAGAGACAGAGAGAAGCAAATTACACTACACCAGAGAGCTCTGCAAAGGGAGAATGTAAGGGACAGCTCACCTTAAAAGCAGTAGCTGATTAATGTACACATTGACATTGCACTATCGGCCACAGAGAGAGCGCAGGATGAATGGGGCAGTAGGAGGCAACGGGGAACAGTGTCATCATCAACTGGTGATGCGAAATGAGCCCGATTGCAAAAGGGAGGAGAGCTAACCCAAATTCAGCTGTGAGACCGGGTAGCTGGCACTTCCCATGCAGATGCTTGTTAAACAGCGTGAAACTTACCCTCTCACCTGCTTGTAATGCACAGTGGTAAACAGTCCTGCTTACAAGATTCATAGTGTTTTTTGGCGGTGCAGATCGTGAAGCTCTTCATAGCTGTGTCAGTAGGAAAGCAGTGCATTTATGCGTATGTGGTTATTGTTACGATTGCTCTTTCTTAAGGAGAAAGTGGAGGCTGTGCAGTAAAGGAAGACAAAGGCAGCGTGCTCCTGTTGTTTTCCCGAAGTGCATCACCTAAAGTGTGTTTCAGCACTGCAAACAATCACCCTGCTCACTGACACGGGCTCTGTCACATGAGCGCCTGTTTATGTTTGCGCTGCAACCTATTAACCACAAGCACATACAGTGGAACTATTTCTAGAGGATGGTACATCGGTGTTTTTTTAATGAGCCTTAGTCGTCACCTTAACGTTTTCTAGCCCTGCTGCAGGAGCAGAAGTAAACAAGGCCCTTTGTTTGGCAATGATCCATGTCCTAAGCTGTGCATTTTCAGTGATTTTTAGATGCAAAATATTCTGAACAAAAATCCCACCAGCACAATCAATCCTGTGAACACACAATGCAAGATAAATAGCCAAAACTTGAACTCATACTGACCTATAAAGAGTAAGGAAGAAAGCAGCAGATTTAAATCATATGCTGAGGACCACAGCCAGGAAACTGAAATGTTACTAAGCGACAAAACATAAAAGCCGAGCCCAGAGATGCCTTATCAGTACAATATTAGAAAAACAAAACCCCTGCACAACTGTTAAATGAAATAGCCATAATCTGCCTCAGGTTATCTTCACACTGCACAGCCATTTTGCTAGATGAACGTCCCTCGTCCCTCTGACATCATCAAGTCCAAAAATGCAGTTTTTTCTGCGCTGAAATCCAGGCAGCACTCTTGAACACAACCATCTTAAAATGCGCACACTCATGCTTGCTACTGACTTGCAGCCAGATAACCGTTGTCTAGCTTCAGCGTACTTGCTTGTGTCATTATGTAACAGCTCGCCGTTTCATTCCTGCCGTTAGGACATATTTTGGTGCTCAGAAGCCAGATTAAAATTACTTATTGTGTTTCTGATTCGACATGTAGGTACATTGCATGCGTAGCTGTGGTACAAGTGTTCTTTGCTTTTTGTTTTCCGTCTGCTGTCGAAGTTTTATTTTCACAAAGGAAAATCAATTACCCTCTTTTTGAATGTTATGATGCAAAAACTGAAAAGCCTTCACAGTATGTTCCTGAGTCTGGTAAGCTGTCTTAGAATTTGACACAGTGCTAAAAATTCTAGTCCACAGTAAACAGCAGAGAAATTATACTGTACATGTATTACAGTGACAGCCTTTCAGAAACATGCCCAGTTCTTATATACATATAGTAATGTACTTATATAATATGTAATGTACAGTACATGATACAGTATACACACATAGGACTTGTAAATTTAAAGCTATTTCAGATTCTTCAGTCACACAGACATACTAATTTATAAATGAACAGATGGAGCTGCTAAAAACAAGAACTGGTATGCAAAATTGTTAGGTTTCTGATTTTGAAAAAGCTAGTTAATACAAGCACTGATGGTGGAAGAAAATATAGGCTCATTTTTAACAAAAAGTGGCTCTGTTTGAACACTGTCTATCTTTTACACAGATGTAGGTAATAAAGTACATACAGTATGTGTATATATCTATCAGCCTGCAAAATTGCAATAAACCAGCTTTAACTTTTAAAAGGAATATTAGCATTTTTTATGTTTAGCGCTTTTTTGTATTCATTTCTCTGCACTGACTTGACAAAATAGTAAAGCAAGGAGCAGCAATATAGGATTGAATTGAGAAGAAAAACAAACTTCTCCTGTCAGATAATTTTATCTTGCTAGACAGTATCGTCATATTAGTGAGTCAGACCTGAACTTTTTATTTTCGCACAATCAGCACAACGTTCACGCAAAGATGGCCTGTTAAATTACAGGAAGCAAAAAACTTCTCATGGCAGATTCAGCATTAATTGACTTGGAGGAAATCTCCAAATTTAAAATATCAAAAGGATATAAGGTTAATAATAGTAATTACACTATACATTAAAATAAATGAAAAAGGAAGTTTCTCTGAGGGTTCCTTGCAGAGTTGTTTTTGTTCAGTCCCAGAAAGACTGTTTCTATTAATTTGACATTTCATGATTTCCTCCCACTATTTCAGTATCGCTTTTGATATAAATGTCCTTTCCAAACAGTACAATACTACGTATTGTACTCAAAAACAGGAAAAAGTATAGTAATAAGTAATAGTAAGTACAATAAAGGATGCTAGTATATTCCATGCCAAATGCACACCAACTTTTAAACATACAGCTACTGCATTTTAATTACACAAACAATTGTATAATTACTTTTTTGGATCTTATTTCAGGGACTGATGACTTGTATGGAATTTGATGACTAATTTTGTGATGATGGGAAATAAATAGCTCAAAAGATATGCCAAAAAAAGCAAAGGTTTAAGTCTTTATTTTAATTATCATGGTATGAATCCTGGTGTACTTGGAAACATATAGTGAGAGTAAGCACAAAGCATAGGGAACTTCATTACAAAAAACTTCACCATGCTACCAATAAAGACATACTGTAGCAGTGTACTCTTTAACCTCATGTGGTTTGACAGCATTATTTTTTACCTTACTTACTCCATCCTCACTCATTAAGAGAGGCCTATAAATCTTCTGGGATTGTAACATTTACAGGCATTTTTATTCTTAATAATTATTATGATCAAATAGTAATAATTTGTGTTCTGTGGGGGGTTGATCATTAGCCACATTTATTTTCTAGTCAATACTAATATGCCACCTGCCAGACAGTGTTATCAAAGATACGAACTAGAGGAAAAGAAGAACACGCTGGGGAATGAAATGAGCCATTGAGTACTATGTTTACGATAATCATCTTGGCCTGCTTCTCATATCATTCAGTTCAGTGACTGAAATGAGTGGGGCAGCAGCAGATCTATAAGCAAATTCAAGTAATTTGCCACAAAATGAATGTGCAGGAGTCTGCAAAATGAACAGCTGCACATGAAAACAAGTCCTAACCTACTCGTCCACAGGTGCTAGCTTATTTGCCTTTCGCATTTCTACTTACTTTTTTCGACATAAATAGTTTCTTGAGAAAGAAGTTACCAACCGAAAATAGAGTAATAAAGAAAAAAATCCAAACTGTTGTGTGGGATTTTTTTCCCTCTGTTTAATTTCCATGCTGACTGTTCCCAATTATGAATCAGGAACTTTTTGTGATTGGAGAAAATGGTTGGGCAAAGCACATCAATAGAACTGATAACATTTTAAAGCGGGTTTTACATTTGTAAGCATCCTGTGCTTACAAAGCGTGAGCACCCGGCATTCTGAAATATGAAGTATTCTGAGGATGTGCAGAAGCCTTTGCTAATACAATTAATTAGGATTAGGGAGCTGGGATTCAACTAACCTGTTTATAGCTCAGCCTGTTAGGTAACAACTTGTGTATCTGCTGCTGCATTCGTTGTGCCACATTTTGCACCTTGATGGAAAATGCTTTACTTCAAGTGCCTTGCTCCGTTCTTACTCATAGCTGTACGGAAGGCAGAAAAGGGTAGGATACATCTTCCAGTCTATCCATGCATGTCTAACCTATAAAAACAGAGTGCAGGTAACTATAGTTAGCTGTGTCTTACCTGGACTGGGAATCTGTGAACAGCACCACCTCAAGCCGTCTCCTGTGTCCATCAGCCAGAAGCCCCTTTACAGCCTTGCTCTGCTTTCTAGACGAGGAGGGGAAGTAAAACCACAAACAAGTAAATTCTACAAAAGTTTTAACGCTGTGACCCAAAACCACTCCCAGGCTAAAGGCGACATTCATGCTGTATTGCCAATGAGTCATTTTAGCAGAAATAACTATATACCTCTGAAGAAACTTATTGGTTTTATTTCCATTTCTTTACAGGTTTTGAGGCCTAAGAGTTTTCAGTTGCTTTAATGCTGCCAAAATCGTGAACAGATTAGCAATGGTTAAGCAAGCATGAAACGCCGACTGACACACCTGAAGAAGGCTTAACAAATGCAAAACAATGTTTTTTTTTCCCTTTCTGCTCTTTAACATGGAAATAACTTTACTCGTTCCTAACGCAAAGTCCTGGTCAAATAAACCCATCTTCATTAATCTTGTCTCTGTATCGTTCTTGTAACCATGAAGCTGGTTCTTGATTACATTATTATCTAGCCAGCTTTGGCTATGCACAAGACTTAATTATGCCTGAACAAAATACCTGAACTAAAACCCTACTCTGCCATGTGAACTGCTCTCAGAGAACGGGCTATAAACCAGCGTTTTATACCATCTTTTCAAGCACATGCAGCTTTATACTGCACCAGTTTTGTTTTTTTGTTTTCCATGTACTTGTTAACCATTAGCAACACAAACATCACATTTATTCTTACCACTATTGTAACTGTGGATGATGATCTCAACCAAAAGAAAAAAATAAAACTGAGCAATTGATCCTGAATTGTATCTTCTAATGGCATGCCAGTGACAGTTTAGATAGAACCCAGTGTGTATAGTAAATTAAGTAAACAAATTGTAGACCTTTTTGTCCCAGTGTATGAGCAATTAGATGCATTCAGAAAATATTTTCATACTAGCCACATTTAACTACTTAATTACAGCTTTAACGAACTATAAAGTTGCTTGATTTCAACATTTGCAAGTTTTTGTTACTTCGAGATTTGGTGTTTGCTGTTACTCATGAAACACAGTAGTAAGAAGGCAACCTCCTACATGATTAAGAGCTGACAAAAATAAAACCATCGTAATCAGTCCTATTATTAAGAAAGTTAAGCGTTCGATTGCATAACTGAGAGCTCGGCTGGAACAAAAACCAGCAGGTATGTGGAACTCCAGAACCAGGATTAGGAATCGCTGCCTTCCTGAGTTAGCGCTTTTTCAGAATGGGGAACAGTTATGCCAGACTAAATTTTAAAAGACAGTATGATGTCGGCCTATTTTTATTTTTAATAAGAGGTGCTGTTTTTTCTTATTAGAATTAACCATATGAAGCTTTAACAGTAGCAACATTTTCCAAAAAAGGCCTTTCTCTTTTTACCTGGAACATCAGCTGAAATTAGGAGATAATGAGGAGAGAGAGCTGCTGTTCTGCAGCGTGTTCTTCATAAACTTTCAAGTTACCTGAAGCACCAACACTGTTGCTCCGACAACTCCATGAGATTTCCCAGTCTAGACACCTACAGGTATGTAAAATAGCACAACCTCTACTGTGCGATTTGTCCTCAGAGTCCTCAGATGTGTCTCAGTGCTGTCCTATAATAATTCTGGTATTCTATAACTGCTGTTGACTGACTGTTTCCATATGTCTGTTTACAGAATCCAGCAACTGAGACCAATTTGATCGGCTGGCATTCACATCTGTAAATGTGAATGAATCCTCTCAGGCAAATCTGACCAGTCCCTTGCCATAACATTTTGTTTAAAGGCACCCACACTCTGTCTAAGAGACTATAAAGTAAAATACCAAATGGCATCTTAACTTGCCGTTTCTTCTCAGATATGCTATAGTGTAATATAGAATTGTAGGCATAAGCTCTTTGTTGCTCTGCTCTTTGTGAACGCTGGGACCTTGTCATTCATGGTGCTATCCTGTGATGAGTATCTCAGGACAGTGCACATGTGAGATGGTCATTAAAAAAAGATAGTTCAGTAGTTCAGTAGGGAGCTGCGTCAGCATGTGTAGGCTGCAAAGGAACAAGTAAAGGTTTATTCCATGCTGAGAAGAGAACAAAAGAAATATGTTTCGGCTGTGGAGCCTTCTTTGGCTTCTTTGGAAGGCTCCATAGCCGAAAAGTTGTGTTTCTTTTCTTCTCTTTTAAGCAGGAATAAGCCTTTACCTATTCCTTTGCAGCCTGCATATGCTAACGCAGCCACCATCTTGAACTACTTCGGCTCACTTTTGCTGCATCCCACTATGCCTTCTGCTTAATCTTCATCATTCCTTCTCCCCCTGGGCTACTTGCCCCTTTCTCTCACCAAACCGGCATTCCGTCTCTTCACAGAGATCTGTTCCAAGACCAAGCCTTCTAACCACCTCCTCAAACCCGAAAAAGACTCCACAGCCTAAACACACCATTTCTTTTTTTTTCTTTTCAGCATGAAATAAACCTTTACTTGTTCCTTAAAACAAGATGTTTATTGGTGCTCTCCTATTAAGGTGGCCCAGGCAAGAGATTTATCAACTGCACCGGAACAGCAAATGCATGCTGATAAATACGTAATCATGGAAAGTGTTTTCTAAGAAATTACACATACTGTATTACAAGGAATTAGCTATCCAAGCCCAACACCGATTGATCCTAGAGAACTGTATTTATCAGATACAGCTTGGTATATAAAGTACATGAAAACACGCTTTGGCTATATACTGTAGATGTTTTGTTCTGTTTATGGACAAGTGAATTATGCCTTTAGTTTTTACATGTACATATAATCACTTTGAGGTGTGTTAATTGAGGGACGTCTTGCAATTTTCAGTGTAGATGTGATGAACCTGAAAGCACGTTGAAAATGAACAAAACCAAGACAATTTCAAAACAGGTATAAAGCAGCAGTGAAGGCAAAGAGAAAAAGTTCCCATTGGTAATGTACAATGAAAGTGTCTTTGTATTTATATTAAATACATCTACTGTACACTGATGTTTACATTCCTATATTTCATGCTGTTTAGACAGAGATTCAATTTTTGCAGTCTCGATATCCAAATATCAAGAAGCTAACGTTGCTTGCTCAGCCAAATTCATACTAAATTAAACTAATGAATAAATTAATAAATTTGCCCTAGGAGCCACAGTGTGTGCATGCAGTAACTTGCATGCTTAAACCCGTAACTCTTTGCTCGCCATGCCTGGCTGCCTTTACAAAGAGATCCGGGTTTCAGGAGACCCTGATAAGAAGTACAGATGATTAAACGTGTGGTGGAGGTGTCCTTGGGCTTGTGGCTGCGGCCCTGAGAATGAAATAAACACGGGTATCGAAACATGGTGTCTCTGGCTGTCCTGGAGCAGGGCAGGAAGCGTTTGGCCGGCGGAAGTGAGCGCGTTGTCTCCAAGATGGAGTGCAGGAAAAGTGACAGCGCTCAGCGGTAGAGGCTGCAAGCCCTTACAGCCCTGTACAGAAATATCCCAGCTCTGCTGCATGCGGGACCTTCCGTGTTTTCAATCAACCCTCAAGACTGGACGGAACAACACGTCTTTAATTACAAATAAGGAGAAAGAGGGACCTCCCATACATTTGTGAGACTTGTCTGCTTAATCAAGGAAAACGTTTTGTGCCGAAAAGGAACCAAGCCTTTTAATCTGCAGTCTACACTTCTGATAGCTGAGCCACAAAACATGTTGAGAAAGACACCAATATCTTTCTTTCAACCCGTGTATTCAAAACGTATTAAGGCAAAGACGTAGTACAGTATTATATTTATACTATTAAGTAACTGAATACTTTACTCTTCGGCCTTGCAGGGCATTTTATTTGATAGGCCCTTGGTTTGTATTTGGCATTTTCACAGTAACCTTGATTAAAGGATTTACCTTCCACACCTTCCTCCTGAGGTTTCTCTGGCCCCGCTGGGCTGCTGTGTGAGCCTGTTTCCCTTCCTCCTTCCCCAGCCAGTCTGACAGGGCCCTGGAACCAGCGCCGCGCCTGCTGCCAGCACTGCGTCACGGGAGCAGCCTTGGAGCGCAGAGGAGCAGGGAGCCTGCCAGCAGCATCAAGTGACCCGGTGAGGCCATGACGCAGCCCTGGAAAACTATCACAGACAGGGGAAGAAACAACACCAGGCATGAGAAGACCCCATTAGCTCTCGGATCCCCCGGAGCTGCCCTTCATTACATCCAGAAAACTGAAAGGAATAGGGTATTTTTATTCTGTCGTCTTCTGGTTTTCAAAATAAAAACGATCATACCGTGTTAGGGTAAGAATTTTCTGTTCGTACTGTATATACTGTACATACAAATAATATATAACTATTGCATATACTGTGATAGTACTTGGAAATAAACAGAAATATGGTATTTTTGTTTTTTAATATACAACATGCTGTTCTCACCCTCGTTGCTTTTGGCACTTTGTGTCTACTATTTTTGTTACACTCTTCCTTACAAAGGAGGAGCAGCAGCCACTAATTAACTTGTGCGCTGTTTAGGTGACCCCAGGCCTGTGGACAAAACGATGGCTTTGATAAAGTCATACTGGTGTTGGCAACTACAGTAGCAGTTTATTCAATAGACGCGTTGTGTGCGTGATTATTCAAGCCACAGCAGTCTCTCAGGTCTCTCCTTTGCTTGTGACAATCATGATCACACAACAGTCAAGTTACTCCAACGAGACTGTAAACGAAAAAGTTGCTAGATGCAGAAATATGCACTATTTTTTGTTGTGTCTAACTACTTTGGGTTTCAGCCCATGTAAGAGTCCACATTCGGCGTGGTGCAGTGGTCCGAGCTCTAGACTTTTAACTGGGTTGTAGGTTGAAATCCCAGGCTAGATACTGTTGTTGTACCCTGGAGCAAGGTACTGTACATCACCCGAATTGCTCCAGGAAGTACCCATCTGTATATAAAGGTGCAAATATAAGTCGCTTTCGCTAAATACGTTAGCCACGTAAATAAAAACGATTGAATAAAAAAAACAAAGCGGGAAAGAAACACCACACGCAGTATTCCTGCCTCGTTCTGTTTTAAAGAAGCGCTTTAAAATAACAAAAATAAAGATGGAATAGAAAATGTCAGACGTTAAACTTCTATGTGACTGTCATACAAGAGATTCCCACAACGGGAATAAAAACCTGCCCTTTGAAATAGGCCTTCTTCGTCGAAGTAATTTAAAATCTGAATATGATGCCTTCACACGTTCTGAAAAGCCTTATGCCTTCAAATTATACCTTTATTCAATAAAAACAATATCGTGTAGAGAAGCGGTCACCATGATAAATAATACAAAAAAAAGAAATCTTAGAATAATACGATCTTAAAATCAGTGGAATTATTTATTTCTGAACTGTCGTATATACGCTGTTTTCTTTCAGTCTGAAAATACTTGTTACGATCTTGCTGTCTAAGTACTGTATGTGTCAATTCCTGCAGCTGTTTCTGCTTGGATTATCACTTGTCACGGTAATCAACGCTTCCGGCCTAAAATGCTATACTGCAAAATTCCTCATGTGCCAAACTGTAACATTTTAATGGAAGGTTACTGTATGTTAAAAAAAATATGTTTTTCCTTGTTTTGTAGTGCACAGCTGAATACTACTGTGCATGCCTAAATCTGGGCAAGTACCACAGAAAAATAAATTAAGGACACTTTTACGTTATTCGTCGTCACTGCCTGCATAAACATGAACCTTTACCGCTCACTGCTGACTCCATAATTTTATATGTATCTTCGGCGAATACCTGCCAGCTACCTTCACCTGACCTTCCCGAGCAAACTCAACAGTTCTCCTCCTCACCGTGCAGAGGGCCCAGAGTTTTTCCACTCCTGGTGGCGCCTCGATATATTTCTTTCTGTTCTGGTTATTTCTGGGAGTACATTTTGTTTCTCTTCCGGCGGGTTTTGGATACTTTTTGTTTACCGTACAGGATTCATATTCGTCCTTTGAGCAAAAACTAGCCCATCCCAACTTTCCTTCTTCTTACTTCGAATATTGGGTTTCAGTTTAGATGTAGAAAATAGTAATTCTCGACCTGAATGGTGCTTTAGTTACATATGAGTACTGTTAAACAATTGAGACCATTAGGAAATAGTCATAGTGCTATTTTAAACATTTAACCTTTGAGTAACATGCTTCATAGTAACTAACCTTCCGCTAAATGACATTGTATTATCACATTTTAAGTGTAATAATACTACTTTTATTATGCTATAATACACAATTATCATTAACTGTATGATGTAAAATATAGAACAATAATAATGGATAATATAGAACAAAATGAAGCTGATTCTACCTTATGGTATGAAGAATAAATATATTATAACAGTATTACAGCAGAAGTAGTAGATTAGTAATAGGCAACAAATAATTTCAAAAATGTATCACAATGGAGATGAATTTGTACAAATGGGCAGTCAATAGATTAAACAATCAAAACTTAAGAGAACGGTTCACAAAAAACAAACACGCGAATAGCATTCCTCTGTTTTCTGTTGGTTTTGTTCTTTTCATCTTTGGTTTATGCTCAGTCACGTCACCCGTGGTGTCTGCGGATTTCTCCAGTTCGTCTTTCCTGCCCTTGAGCAAGAATAATTACGGTACTTTGGCATCGCGCGCCCTCTTGTGATCAATAAGAAACTACAGTACAACTACAAGGCAGAAGACTCAAATTACATGTTGAAGCTTTCAAGCTTATTTTTTCCGAGTCAGTCGAATTAACTTTAGAAGTTTCGTTAAAACACAAATGCATTTCAGTGATATTTAAATATCACTGATAATATCCAGTGATCAGCAACAGAAACGGCCTTAGTGATAAGATGCCTACTGGTAAGTAAAACAATATGAAAACATCACCCATGCCCTAAATACAGGATTTGATTATCCATTACGTAATTCTTTTTAATTGGAGGATGTCATCTAGTCGCACATTTAAATGCTGTCGTGAAACAGAAATTAATTCACTTGTAAATTGACTGACAGCTAAACCTTTACTTAAATTGGTATTAAGTGTGGTACCTGATAATAGAATATGACTGGACTGATTCAAATGACATCGAAAAAAATATTCGCGAGTTTTAAAATTGCAAAAAAATATTGCTCGAGACTTTTGTTTTGTCATTCCCGCGCTCTAATTTAGCAAAAGTTTAGCCCTTTAATCCCATGTTAATAAAAGTAAAAGGTAGTGTATAGTTTTACAAATAAACTCAGAAAATGTGTCGTTAAACACTAGATGATTTTACTTCCTGTTATTTTGAAAACATTTGTCTAATTTTATTTGATGGAACATAACGGAAAGACCCAGATTATGCGTAACTCCGGAAATTTTGCGTGAGATGTATGCGTTTTCACGTTTTGATTAATTAAATAATAGCGTCACAGCGTAATTTCCCACTTACCTGCGTATACAGTACAATAGCTTCTTCGCATGTTAAGCTTTTACCATTTCCCCCCTTTATATCGCTTGTTAGTTCCCCAAATGACAGGTCTCTTTGTAGCTAATTCATTTTACGTACGTATTTGTCCTATTAGTCTTGATATACGTTCGTTTGAACTGAGTAGCGTTCAGTTCAGTATCAACCAATCCATAATAGTACCGAGGAATCTTATTCAAAGATAGTAGAAGGGATCACAGAACACGAATAAACAGACTATGATTAATTTAAAATAAATTAAATGACCCATGTATTACACAAAGTGAAAATATTTACACAAGATGTACAGAGGCATATTCCAGACGGCCGAAAATATTAATTGCTATGATGCTTGCAGTTATTGTTAAAATGTGTGTATCATTGTACAATGTACTGTAGTCAAACTGTAATACTCATACTGTGTTCATAGATAACAGAAAAAAAAACAGCACAAAGGCTAGAGTAATTAAGAATGTGTTATTTTTATTTAAAGCAGACTTTTTATAATTTCCAGAATGCTGCTGAATTTCATTTATGTTTAATACATCCGAGGAGATTAATGTCTTGTGCTGAGTGATTGGTTAAGCATTTAAAGACATTAACTGTTTAATCACGGCTTATAGTTTTGTTCTTATACTGTAGTCACAGCAGGTCAAAGCTCATCATGTTCCTATAGAAATCTGGAGGAACACTTGGAAAGAATTGAGTGACATTTGCATTTCATCTCCCAAACCTACTCAACGCTTTGGATCACCTGCCCCTGTACTGTGGATGATTACTGACAGTTTTTCAAGCTTCATATACTTTCTTTAAAAAAAAAGATTTAAAGGAATTTTCAATGAAAGTTTTTTGAAAGGAATGACAGCCATTACTCTGACTCTCTTTGACGTCACTTCCTAACAAATGTTAATACCACCAGATGAGCCTGGCTGAATTTCTCTCTCTGTGCGAGGGCCTGACTTCTTCGTCCTACAGCCAGGAGACCGGCCCTCAAACAAGCAGGTTAAAACCAAAGCCTCTTATGGCTGAACACCTCAATACATTTCTCCTAAACATGTTATTCCTTGTGAATATTGACACCCATGAGAAAAATGTGAGAACATAATAAATAAATACCTAAGTTTCATCTTCAGAGTTCACAGTCATATCTATATCCAACAGGTGACAGCAGAGAAGATTGGATAATTTCCATCCATCCATTTTCCAACCCATTCTTCCAATACATGGCCGCATGAGTCTATCCCAGCAGGCAACAAGTGCAAGGAAAGATGCAGTCTGGATCGGCTGCTGTTCCATCGCTGGCCACACACAGACACAAACATGCTCACACTCGCACCAAGGCCAGTTTTTCCACAAGCCAATCAATCTACCTTTATGTCTTTGGACTGTGGGAGAAAACCTGAGCAGACAGAGGAAACCCGTGCAAACATGTAGAGAACATACAAACTCCGTGCAAATAACACCCCAGGTCCAAAAAATGAGTAAAAAGATTCCTCCTTATCTCGGTTTTAAATGCGCTTTCATGTGCAATCCTGCACCAAATATAACCTATAACTTATATGCACTGATCAGGAATTCTGTAAAAAAAAACAATATTTAACAAAAATAAGATATAAGACATCAATGGGAATTTACTGTTTTTCATTAACAGAGTAATAAATATGTGTTTTTTAAAAATACTGAAGAAATATAATTTTTCACTCATAGGACTCAGAGTCATTTAGAACTGAAACTGACGGCTGATTTCCCTCTGTGTCCATAATTTTGTTGCAATTCTTAAGGCCACAAATCCAACGACAGCTCAGTTTGATCTCTGGAAGCTTACTTTTAAGCTCCTTGCTTCTTAGTCCAAAAACAATAGGACTTAAGGCCTGCGCTACAGAGAACACCAAAAAGCTGAGCAATTTAACCTCAAAGGGTTTCCTCACAGTTGCTAGGATGATAAAGGTAGGGATGATGTGCAAACTCATTTGCAGGCTGTGAATGAGAATGGTTTTTCTCCCCCTGATGTTAGACCTGCTGAAGTGCCCAGCCCTTTTGCCCTCCCTGTAGATCAGGCAGTAGCTGAAGATGATGAGCAGGGAAAGCAGAGAAAGGAAAACTATGGCAGCGATCCGCGAGTCTGTCCCATGAAGGGCAGTTGGGCATGTGGGGTCTCTTTCTGTCAAGTAGGTCAGCTGCACAGTGCAACTTGCTTGAATTGTGGACCAGACTGGGTTGAGTGTTGCCAATATCCAAGTAATAATAATTACTTTGCCCTTTAGAGAGTGGATGATGGACAGGTACCGCAGAGGAGCGCAGACAGACAAGCATGTGTTGAGAGCCATCAGTGTCAAAGTCAAGATGATCCCCCTCCCTAATGTTACCTGGATGTCAAATATAATCCAGCAGACAATCCTGGGAACAGCCACCCTAAACATCCGTAGGCCATGGAACAAAATGCCTACTCCAAAGAAAGCCACAACGCAGATGAGATGGTGGCAGAGAAGAATGTACCGGACCTGATTCCTCAGAGCTGCTTCTTTCCTGATGGTCCGCATGATGCAATAGCTGAAAACAAAGGTGAAGATAAAAGCCAGCAGGTGTACATAGGTCTTCATTGTTTCTTCAGTATTATGTTTGTCATCTGTGCTGTTGGATATGTTCATGCTTCCTAAAAAAGAAAAGAATACTGCAGTTGAACTTGTATGTAAACTGACATTTTTTATTATTTGAGGTAATGTAGGTACAGGAAACTCTCCCAACACAAATTTCGTAAGACTGAGCAGTCAATGAAAGACAGAGGCCTCTGAGGATGATTTTTATAGAGTTCACTTATAAATTATGAAGGCTGTTGCAGGAAGCCCGTATTTTCTCATATACCCAAGTTTCAGAGTGACTGTTTCTTTCATCAGGTTGAAAGATCAAAGCAATAAGGAAACAACAACTAAAAAGATCGTGAACAGGAAATTAATCTAAACAGTAGGAATCCAGTTGTCATAATTATATTAAAAACAGGTTTCATTGTAAAATTAGCATTGTGAGGAAGCAGGAATACAAGGCCTCAGACCTTTATGTCAAATGTCCTACATCCAAAACTGCATCAATTTCCATGTCGAAGATCTCTTTTAAAAACATGACAAATCCTTAAAGAATTTGTCTACAACCCTGTGTTGATATATGGATTTCAATTCAAAACACTTGTTCTTGATATCACTTTTACTTAAACCGTTTTACACAACAAACCCAGGCTGGTTGGGCTGCAGATGAAGCCTGGAAAATGGGATTTTAAAGAGAGATGGGTACAGATTACATTCCAACTCAAAGCATTTTTGTGATTGAAGACTTTGTTGTATTCAACAAGTGTGTGTTTTATGAGTCTGAATCTTTATTCTTGTGTAAATTAGCAAATTTAGTAAATTTAATCTAATGACTACAGAGTTTCCATGCTTATATAGAGTGTGTTGTCCAGTATTATACTGATAGGATAACAGAATTTTTGAAGTTTCAAAATCAAAAGGTCATACTATGCAGAGGCTTGGCCCGTGACATGCATAGAGAATAAACACTGTCCGAGACTGTTTTGAATAAACATTCTGAACATAAGTGAATAAAATCCACATAAAGTCATGCAGCAAGCACATGGAAATCAATTACAGCTTTTTTCATGGTATATTTAAATGAAGGCCCAGTATTTGAAGCTGCTAAATTTAAAGTAATTATACAATACCGTTAGCTCTAAATTGCTTCAGATCTTTGTTGTTTGCAGAAACTGTATCTTCCCAAGATCAGAATGGCACTGGGAGTTCCGATGTGTGCTTATAGCCATTGGTATTCTAGATTAAAGAAATTAAGATTAGCAAAATCAGTGCAAGGCCAACAATATTCCTATAATAAATGAAGCACCGGTTCTTCGATTGTTGTGTCCACATACGGTGTATGACACTACTAATGCAGCACATCTTTTCATAAAAAAGTTTACCCACCTTTCCATGGATCTCATTTAACAAGCTCTGAGCAGAGGCTGCCTGGTAGCTGAAGTAAAACACTCGTGATAACGGTCCACTCACTGCAGAAATTCCCCAAACCAGTGGCAGGAGGGACTCCATTTAGAGCTCTGTGCTGCTTTGAACACTATGTAGTGGTTCCTCTGAAGGGTTAGCAAGAAGTAGGAGTGGTCTCAAATCAGAAAAACCCCGTGCCCTGCTCAGGCTTCCCATCTCCACATGAAAAGGAGAAATTAAATCTGTCGTAACAAACAGAGGAATTAATATGATTCTAAAGCTTGTTTACTTAGCTACCATGTATGCCATTTTAACAGGTAATCACGACTGTTTATCTTTTTCTTTCGAAAAAGTGAGTAACAGCCATATAAATATATTAAATGGAAAGCAACAAAGGCATTTCAGAAATAATTGCATGTTGGCCTTCTAATCTATGTGTGTTTTTTGTCAAAATGCCTCATATACAACTTAACCATGACCTACATTAAAATATACAGATGCTTTGTAGAGATAAAACATGTTGCTGAAGTGTCTTATTGCTTTCTTATGAGCTAGGTAGAGTCATCTTATTGTAGAATGCATTAAAAGGGCTGGTGCTACAGTAGTTATTACTATTTTGATTTACTGTGTGAACTGCTTGGTGAGTGTAGCTACAGTTTGTATTCCTTGCAAAATCAATATTATTTTTGTCTCGGTAAACACAACGCTATACTCTCGTGCAATCTGCGTCTAATCTTTCTGTTTATTTTTCCACTCCTGTCAAGACTGATGTAGGGAGAAACCTGCAGAAAGCACATCAATTGTTACTGTATTGCTTGTTTTAGTTTTGCAAATGTAGACAAACACAATCAGCACAACATTTAAATTGTATGTAAAACGTACATTAACTTTTATTTTTACTGCAAATCAATGACTTGTAATAACAAGTGATAATAGGTTTAAAATGGTTTATTTTTGCATAGCAATATCTTTCTTGAGATGAATTTCAAATAAAGAAATGTTTATTGAGAGGGTAGAAATATTTTCATTCTTTAGAGTCTTGATTATAAAGTTGTATTTATGATGTTGTTAATGAAAATCGGTCATTAGGGTTAGGATCGTGGTTCCGGCTCTGGTCAGGATTAGGTTTTTGAGATTCCGGCTCTGGTCAGGATTAGGTTTTTGAGATATCCTTTTTGAGACATTACTTAGAGGCATCCCTTCCTCACACATTTTTGCTAGAATTTACACATTCCATTTTTTCACTTAGTCGGAGCTCTTTACTGAAGAACTTGCTGACTACAATCATATTCATGAGCAGTCGGGACTGAGGCATGTTTTGGCAGTAAAGAATGGACTGGATAAGGATACAGTAAAAGTGTCTCTCCCCATACTGTAAAAAGAGCAGAAATCCTGCCATTTCCTCCAGTGACTACTTCATCCAATTCAGGGACACAAGGGAGCCAGAACCTATACCTTCAAGCATTGAGATCAAAGCAGAGTACACCCTGGACAGGACGACAGTCCATCGTAGCACACACTCAGACACAAACACAGACAAATCCACACCAGGGCCAATTTTTCCCAGAAGCCAGTTAACCTACCTGTTTGTCTTTGGACTGTGAGAGGAAACCAGAGCGCCTACAGGTGACCAACACAAGCACGAGGAGAACATATAAACTCAAACAAGCTGTGCTGTACTGTGCTGCCCAAAAGAGGTGTAATGAAATGTATAAAATGACATGCTCTTTCAGTCCAGAGAATGGCATACTGTCATGAGCAAGTGTGCTTCCAATTTCTGAGGCGTCTGAGGAAATGCAGGGTGAGTAAGTGGGCATTCTTGAGTTCTATCATTGCACCACAGAGAGTGTCCTGACTGGTGGCATCACTACTATAGAACTGCAACACAGCCACGCAGGACAAGAAGGCCATACAGAGAGTTGTGACATCAGCGAAAACCTCACAGGATCTGACTCACCAACGATTGAAGACTTCTGTATGAACTGGTGCCGAAATAAGGCCTGTGCCATAATACAGTATTATAACCACTCCAAACCCAAAGCTGTTTTCAACTCTTCAGTCTGAAAGGAGGTACTGTACTATGGCATCAAAACACAGACCACCAGGTTCAGAAATACATTAATACATCATCTTCAATTACTAATAGCTAATTGCAAGTTGACTAACTTGACTACAACACACTACCACTGACTTATAAATGTTACATTTTTTGCACTGCATACTGCACACTGGTGTTCACTATTTATATTGTTAATTGTAGATTGTTTTCTATACAATACGTATGTTGAATTGTATTGTATACTGGATGATACTGTCTTTTTGCATTACCCATTTCCCATTTTTATTAATTGCTATCTTCCCCATGTCTGTGCACTCAGAGAACAAGTGCGTGTGAAAATTTAAATGTACTCGTTACAAATGGCAAATAAACTTTGAACTTGGATTAACATGAAATTATCTGTGCAGTATTCTTCATGGTTTTACCATTGACATGACATCGACATCTGGAGGGAAATGGTTTGTGAAGAATGTGTAACTCTCTTACAACCCAGTCGAGTGGCAAAAATGAACAGTACATATTGCTAGAGCAGCATGATTGCATCACCTTATTTTTGGGTTTGAAACACGTAGGCCTGACCATTTTTGTATTAGGGAGAGCATTAATAAAACATGTACAGTATATACAGTATTTTAAAACTGTAGGGTTATACAATTCCTAAATGTATTATAATACAATCATGAAGAAAGTTTCTGATAGTTAACAATACACTACAGACATTATAAAATCAATAGGAATGCCAATTTACATAAGTACGTTTTATGGCAAGATCTGAAAATATCAAAATTCCCATTTCAGTGTGATGAATATTGAACAGTTTTCATGCATGACAGGAGGATTCTCTCAACCAAAGTTTGGAATCTTGTTGTACAAGCAAACAAAGAGACCAGTTTCAGAAAACCAGAGTGTTCAGCTAAGCATGGAGTTCCTCAGTGAGTTCGAAATATAAGGAAGGAAAAAATATTTTTAAAGCGCTTAAATGGCATGTGGAAAGTCCTGACTATCATCTGTACAAACTTAAACCAAAAGCAAACTTCAGGATTTCAAATCAAATGTTCCTGTATAAGGTAGCAGCAACATGAACATGAATTATCAGAATTAGCTGAGTTTTGAACATACTGTAACTAAATATTCTGTAAGGTATTCCTTGACCATCCTGCAAGTAAGGCATTGCAGTACTCAACTCTGCACAAAGCCAAAGCATATAATGGTCTGTCCACAGCAGGCACAAACAGAACTGAATGTAACCCAGCAATGTTTCTAAAAAGAGAGAAAAACAACTTCCTGATGAGCTTGAAAGATAGTTGACCCCCATCTTTTTTTTGTTTTGACACAGAACTTCATTTGAACACCTTTGACCACCATGCTTGGACATGACTAAAGAGCCGATGCAGAGAACCTAGCAACATGACTTTGGTCTATTAATGTTATCACCTGCTCCAAAACCTGAAACAGCAAGGATCATCACTTCCATGTCAGGTACATCCTTTAAAAGTTCTCATAGAGTCACCATGCAAACAACCTTGTATCACCCTCATACCGCAAAGAGTTCTAGAATTGTCGCTCTTTTTCATTATTTCATGCTGTTTATTTGCCCAGCAGTGTGATTTGTTCCTGTCCATGTGTGCTCCTGCCAGTTACTCTCATGAAACAGGGTAACTGATGAGTCTTGGGAAACAGGGTGCCAGTGAGTCTTGGAGGTGCTGTTGCTGTCTGGAGAGATTGTAAGCCTTATCTGTGGATTCTGTGCTTTTATCGCTTTTTGTATTTATGTATTTATGTAATAAATATGGCTGAGCACAAAACCATTGCGTGTTTTTTGCTCTTACCACTGGTTGCACTTGGAAGACAGTAGTGGTCTTTTGTCTTTGGAAAAATGCATTTATCTCAGATACACATGTACAGTACATGAATCATACAAACTTCTCAAAGTGGGTATTTTGAGTTGCCAGATGACCTACAAAACTACAAATGCACTTAGATAGAGGACATCATGGAAGAAAAACCAGAGGGGTTGTTTATTGATACCAAGCCTAAAAATACACATTTATGTTTTGAAGCTTAGGTGATGGAAATTCTCCAAAATCAAAGGTGAATACCTTTGCTAGAATTAATACCAAATTTAAAAAACCTAACTTATATTAGGTGTTTAAAGGAAATGCAAGAATTGTGTTACAAAACATTCAGACACTGCAAGGCACTTGGCCTGCCTGTTCTCGGAATGCAGCCAAACTCCTGCTACCTGGAAACCACAAGCTCATATTATGGCTTTTTCTTCCGAGGTGAGAAGACAATTGCAGCAGGTCAAAACAGGATGTCTGCAGGTTGTACCAAAGATGTGGCTTCTGCTGCTAAAAATCTTCTGTATGTCCGAAATAAAAATGAAAAAACTCTCCTTAACATTACCTTGTGTCTCTTGCTTATAATTTTACACTTTTACTGATATGGATGTTATCAGGCTTCTCGCCTATTTCAAAATAAATACAAATCTATTTAAAACAAGTTTCCAAAAAGTGCTTAAAAGTCAAGACTTGCCGCTGTCTTTAAATTTTAAATCGTCAGAAAACTGACAAGGTTAGACTGTGTTAGCTCTCAGTCTGCAAAGGAACACATAGAGGTGATTTCCACCCTGAAGAGTAAAAAGAAAGGAAGACAACACACTCTTCAAGTGTTTGTGAGGGCAAGGTCGAGACAGTCATCAGTCATGCTCCACTACAGCTTACTGACTGGGAAGGAGTTTGTCTAGTTTTACTGAAAACTTAACAAGGTTGTAGAGTTCTGCTTGCTTTTTATGTGATATTACCAGAATATTAACCACTACAGTGTGGTTAACAAAATTACTTTGTCAAAGCTTTGCTCCCATTTGATACTTTGCTAAAACTAACACAGCATTTTAAACATAGACCCACAAAAAGTAAATACCTAATAATGCACTTGGCGCCCAGTAAATTGCTCCAAGCTTTTGGAGCAAAATGGACAGAATCCAGTCCATTTCTGACATCACTGCAAGCCTGCTGGCACCCAGGACATCAGGGTTGTATTCTACATTCTTTGCAGTCTCTTCACAATAATCTCCATAATCATTCCTCAAAAGGACATCAAGAGGAAGTGTGGGCACAAGCTGAAATGGCAGCGTGAGAGCTGATAGCAGATGGCCAAGCCAACATACTTCAGCACACTGCTCTTCCAAGATGACTGTCTATATCCATTCAACCATTTTTTAATCACTTCATCTAATTCAGGGTCACAGGAGTGCTGGAGCGTGCAAGCAACAGGTGCAAGGCAGGGTACACTCTGAATGAGAGGAAACCCATGTGAAAACAGGGAGGACATACAAACTCCACATAGATAGTAACCCAAGTCCAGAATTTAACCCAGGGCCCCAGAGCTGTGAGGCAGTGATGTTTAACACTAGCGCCACCCTGACTTGCTATATTTTAAAACAAAAACACCAATGGGCAATCTATTTGAGCTTTGTCTAAAACGTTAAAAATAATTCACTAGGAATAACAACACCCAAGCATAAAGTGTCCTGAGAGGATTATGGAGTGTTTAGTGAAACAGGGTGCGGTGGCTGGGTGCAGAGTGAGGAGTGACCAAGGGGCAGCTACAGAGGTGGAGGTGGGATGCAACAGATGTGTTTGCTGGAGAAAAGAGGATCACATACAGAGTTAATAGTGTTTCAGCAGAGGAAATGACGTCAGGAGTGATTGATAAACTGACAGCCAAGTCTGATTGAACTTGGTTATTGTCATCCTTCCTGAACCTTTATTACAAACTCCATAAAAAAAGCAAGCTACATCATCTTCTGAAAACAAAAAGTAAGTAAAGGTCAGTATTACTTTCTAGGTAGAAGGTGCTGCAGTTCATCTGACAAGAGTTTCCCAAAGTTTTTGGACTGTGAGCATCTTTGTCCTAAACTTTGTTTTCTGCAAGATAAACAAGCAAGTGTGCAAGTAATTCTTAAAACATTTGAGTCTTCTGTCAATTGAAAAATGACAGTAATCATTACAACAGTTTGTGTGCACTGATAAAAGTCTTAATTGGCACAGTTATATCATAGGCTGCAGTTCAGCATTTATCACTGGCCAAAATATTTTGAATCCCCATGTGGGAGGGCAAGTTTTCCTCAAGGTTGTGAAATATGTGCACCCTAAGCTGAGGCTGTGAGGAGGACAATTCTGTTTGGAGCTGAACTGCACATTCAGGGGACAATCTGGGCATTGTTTTGTCCTGGGACAGTAATGGAAATGCAGTATCTCTCAGATATGACTCTTCAAGTCAATCCCAGAATCATCTGCTCTGAGAGCAGTGGGGATTGGAGGCCGGCAGAGAGGCCTTAATATTTTTCCTAGTTATGTAAGTTAAGCCAGTTTTCTTTTTCAAAAAGGAGAGACATGCACACCCTTTTATTCATCCAAAATTGATTGGCAACGATCACAAGTGTTTAATCTGTGCAACATTCTATGGATTTTTTAATCAAAGGAACAAGACTCAAACACAGTGACATCTGGGACCAACTGTTTGTAAAGAAAGGTTGACTCACACACTCTTATTTTTTGTCAAAATTAATTAACAGGACATGTTGCCATGGTGAGCATATAGCCTTATCTCTGATTTCAGCAGCTTCAACTACACAGAGAGGTGTGTACTAAATAAATATTTAGAATAAATAGAATGCTCTTCACTATGCCAATAAGCCCTTGATTCTTCACCAATACCAGTTTTTGTTGTTACCCTATCACTTCAGTGGGTTATTGATTCCCTGATAACAACTTGCACATAATAAAACAAATGAAGCTCATGTATATATTTGTATTTTTGTTCATATTCAATGAACAGAGCATTTTAAAAGAATCTTTCTAATGTATTTTATTTTATTTTCATATCCTCCTCTGTCTACCACAGAGCTTTCCTGTGTGTCTCAATGTTTTTTCTAGAAATGTCTATGCAAAAACTAAAGGGGCTATACGAAGAAGTGAAACTTTTTCAAAAACTGCCATTAAAGGGAAGAAACAAGTATTTAGTATGAAATGACTTCATTGTTACAGGAAACTTCGGAGATTGTTCAGATTACAGCAATGCGTTTTTTCCAGAATAAGTAAGTCAGTATTTTATAATAATATTATTATATTGTAATGAGGGAGTATTACTTGTCATGCAGATGGTAGCAAAAACAAATAATATACAGTAAGTAAGCAGTGTAAGAGGTATAAACCACAATCTCTCAATTAGGGGAAACGGATATCGAGATGTTACACGTAAGCAGAACTGATATGCCAAATAAGGAATATTTGCCATCTCTGAGAGAAAATCTAATTACATGCATGCTCTCAGTAGGGCAGCCCATAGCCTGAGGTTTAGCACTGTTGCTTTGTAGCTCTGGAGGCCCCAGATTGGCCCCGCACACCCTTCAGTGTGGAGTCTGCATGTTCTTCCTGTGCTGTTGTAGGGGCTGGCTAGGGACGTCCAGTTGCCCTGTCCCCTTCTTGTGGACTTGTCCCCCCAGAGGAAGAGGGCTGGTCTTCCTGGCTCATTACCGAGCCCTGAGTGAAGAGCTCTGCCTCTCCTACATCCTGTTTGCAGGTTATGGGACTGTACAGACGCACACAATATCTAACTGCAGGAAAGGAAATGTTGCCCCCTGTCTGCAACTTAGTAAAGCCGCAACTCGTTTTTTTTTCTTGGTATTTATTTACTTGAGTCCTGGGCTTTTTATTTTTACTAGCAAAGTTTCTAAATGAATATTATAAAAGGACAGTAATCGATTACACTGGGCTTTAAGGAGAGTTCACTTTGTCAGGTAACAGAAACAGAGGAAGAAGGCACTAATCTAAGACTGGAGCTACCTCCATAATATGGATAATCACTCAATAGTGGGTATGCAGCCATTGCCAATACACCATTATGTGTCACTCAATAGCACTCTGTTAATATCCTCTTAGTTTAAACACTAGATCCCTGACAGATTATATATACAGTACCTGACACATTCCCCCCTTCCATCAATGACAAGTGTGAATGCTCTGCTGTACTTGCCCTTTTATACTGTATCTACATATTTCAAATAGAGCTTTTTCACTAAATATCATTTTCCCCATTACTACATTTCAGCAAAGGTAACATTTAATTTGGTGTTGAGGTGGAATTTTTTTTTAAACTTCTCCTCAGCCTGAGTGTTGAAAGTTACAGCTTTTCACAACCATTTACACACAGTTTCTGTAATTTGAATCCATGCACTCTAAACTATAAACACAAAAAGCAAAATCCATGCCAAACTGACCAAGCCGCAGAAGACTAAAAAAACGTAAACATTCTATTCAAAAACATCTTCCATCTGAATGAAACTTTGCATTCAAGACATACACAGCCCATTGAATAAATAGACCCCACAGAGTACCTACTAAACACTGGTGAGATCAATTAAAAACACAATTAACATTTCCAGTACTACCACTACAGTATAACTCTTGCACTTGCAAGAATACTACAGTGCTACAGTGCTACTGTATTGTGCACATTCTGTTACTAGAAAACACACAGAAACAGATTGTATTTGTTAATTTTTTATTTTGGAATTTGATTTGACATTCACAAAACAATTACACATACCACATACCACAGGTAGCCCACATACTGTTCAGTACAGTACACAACAATACTTGTATGGCAATCTAACTAAGAACTAAGAATTATACAGTAACAAAAAAAAAGAACGTTTATTCAGCTTCAGCATCCTACCTCTGACCTGGGTTAGGCTAGGGATTTTCATCAACATCACCACATGTACTTTCAGTTTTGTAAATTGTACTTATAAAACCAGTTTCAGTGCATAGATCATTGTGAAAAACTGTAATAAAGCAACCAGTGTTGTTCTGCAGAAACACTAGAGGACATTCCAATAAGACTGTGTTTATACTCTGCCTCAGGTAATCTTTATGAAAAGGAACAATAATTAATTTTGCACCATTGGAATACCCTTTGAAAACCTCAGATCTATGTTCAATCTATCACATTTTTATTATTGTTGTTTATTCCTAAGCTGTGCTGTGCAGTATAATTCAGATTCAGGCAGGTCTCTTCCAACGTGAAAGGCAACTTAAGTGAAAAATATGCCTACAAGACCCATTCCTTGCTAACTGAAAAAAAGCAACATGACTTATAAATTATTATTTGCTTAATTTTAAAATTCAAGAGATTCTGCCAAAAAGCATTTCCACGTTGTTTGACAAAAATGTTTTGTTCATTCAAGGAACTTTCCATAATTATCTTCCACTGAAAATCAAACAATATTTTTTTTCATTCTCACTCAAAAAAGGTCTTGTCAGTACTACTCATAATACATTTTAAATACATCTTTGCAAAAAAACTGCAAAATAAATATCTAACAGTAACATTTTAATGTTTTCTTTCAGCTCACGTCAAACAGTAATGTTTATTAAATGTAGCCTAAATGAATTAAATTATCTACTTAATCTATCCTTTTACATCATTATGTACAGTAGGACTTTAACAACATTGACTTTGTAAAGACCTGAACATACTGTAGAAACAGGCACTAATTGCCTGTGGAAATAATCACAAGAGAATAAATACAAAGAGATAATAAGCTTTTTATCATGGACCATAAATTATATTAACACCTCCCCATAAGCAATTCGAAGAACACAAAAATCATTAAATTATTTTTAATGAAACCGTATTTTATAAACATCTTGTTGCCTAAATCTAAAATCTAAATGCTTGGCTAGATCACATTTTCATTCTGTAGTCACAAAAGGCTTGATTTCCTTAATAGCCCACCTACCCATTATCAAAAAGCTGTTTACTCCTGCAAGGGACAGAATAATGTGGAGCTGTGACCTATACTGTACGCACAGGGTGCTAAGCAGCACCATTCCTTGAATGTGATGCCAATCCATCACAAGGCACAAGGCAAGTCTTCTGCGGGAAACAGGGAGAGCACGCAAACTCCACACAGAGAGTGCTCCAGTTCATAATGGAACTCAGAACTCAACAGCTGTGAAGGGCCAGCGCTTACCACAAATTTACCGATGCCCCCCCCAAATATTCTGATCTTCAAAAGACACATCAGTTCTGCATCATGTTCATCTTCACAAAATGTATTATCAGGGAAATTACCATTTTTATCTAGTACTGTAGGTGCTCTTGCACGTTGAATGAACGTGGCACAAGATAAATGCATCATGCTTTGTCATCCACAGGGCAGATGAAAAGAGGTGCTGCTATGAAAGTCAGGGGCTAGTGACATGCGTGGCCACCATTAAAGGGATCAGCTGCCGCACATCTGCAACACTTCCAGAAGCGGTCTTGTTGGATTTAATCCCATTCAGCTCACAGAGCCTGCACAAGCATGTGTCTGGTCACTAGATGCCACGCGTTGTCACAGCTCCTCTGTCAAATGTTCAGTGGCGCTCAAGTCTGACAGTCACTGTAAGTTGACATTTCATGAGAAGCATTTGGACAAGTGGTCCTGCGTGAATGTTGTCATATCAAGATGAGCTTTCAGCAAGGCCTAGGTCTAGGTCAATATAGCGCCATGCAGCCACGCTGCCCTCAGTTGCTACAAGTGGAGTCATGTACTGTAGCAAATAGACATTCCTGTTCCAATAACCCAGGCGTGGTGTTGTAACTCTTGGTCTCCTACAGTATATCCTGGCTGATCTTGAATAGACTAAAATCACATATTTTTATTAGTAGTAATTTTATTGTTATTATTATTAAAGATAGTCATATTCCATTAAATTAATGACAATTCAATATTTTAAGTGTTGACTTATTTACAGTAAAACTCCACTTTATGACAATGGTGATGATACCATATTTTGGCAAATGCCATGCATTTTAATTCTACAATTACATCTGCCTGCTATTGCAACATAACATAACCTTGCATCGTGTCATGCATACAGTAAATCATTATTAAGGTGGCGCGGAATACACTATCTCTAACAAGCAATTTTACTTTTTTCGTTAAGACAACGGAAAATGAGGTTTTCACTTGTCGAACTGGCGTAGTGCTATTGTAGACAAGTAAGAATCCATCCAACCACACGAGCTACAGCTTGCTGTGTGCGATACAACTGCAATGTCCTCACCCAAACCAGACATAGCCGGTACGGCAATGAATGGGAACGAAGCATCAGAAAATGCATAGTAACAACGAGAAACACGGTTGCAACGCAAAAGCTTTGGGGAAAATATTTCTGCCGTCAAGCTAAAGATACCAGAAAATTACGGGAAAAAATAGGAAATGGTCGTGTGACAAAACAGTCCAAATACCAGGAGGAAATCTGGAAATCCAAAGTTTACGCATCTAAACATTGCAAGGGCGACGCTTTGAAGACGAGCGAGGTAAGATGCTGCTGACTGAGACATAGGAGTATGCAAATTAAAGAAGACGCTATGATGTATTATATAGTTATAGATTTCACCGGGAACTGGATTCCAATCACGTTACACCTTTTTGAAAATGTATGTAGAAAAAACATTCCTTAATCAGAGCAGACCTGCAGCGAAGGACTAGATGTGGCATTTTGCAAAGGTAATCTAGGTTCACTTGGCGTCTTCAGCAGAGCCTCCTCGAAAGTCGAGGGGTGCCTATTTTCCCCCCGTACCTGTTTCAGTTTGAAGAACGGGGATCTAATGAATAGTTTTATTGTAATTAAAATACATGGTTTCTCAGGATGCCTGTGATCTAGACTGCCTAAAAAACTATGTTGATATGTTGCAATGTAACCGCATTATTAAAGCATAACAGATAATGCGACCCCCACCACGACAAGCTGATTGAAAATGGATGGACAATTCAATATTATTATCATCATTATAATATGCTATCTCATAGAATTAATATCGTTTGTGTTTTTACACACACAATTGCTGACTTAATAAATTGCTGGTATAAGAAAAACTATAGTATAAATTATGTATTATATTACATATCAATTAAACTTGTGAATGTCTTCATTTACTTATCAATCTAAATACAAAATATACAGAACTACAATTTATCACTTTAAGGAAATGTATACAATATTTCTAAACTCTAGAGTATTTGACAGTACGTAACAGCAGAATTGCACTTATGTGTAATTACCGATGTGAGGAAGTTTTAAAAGTGCTTTCGAAAGCTTGTATAAAAGAGCTATGAAGTACAGTCATACAGAGCTACAGTATGTTTCTCAAGCACCATTCCAAAATACCTCTCCCTGCTGTGACCTGCTGTTACAGACAGCAGCCAGAGAGGCACAGTTACGATGGATGAAGTCTTCAACTGAGGGAGCTGATCCATAGAACAAGAAAGGTAGATAGATAAGACTTTATTTATCCCGAAGGGAAATTGTAGAGAAGGTAGAGAAACACTGATACAGAGCACATGATTCTGAATTGATTAAACAATTGTTTCCCCTGTGCATCAGTGGTGTGAGTCATGTACTAAAACAGACAGGTGCAAAGTTTGGCCTTTTACAGTAAGTACCTGTGGTGTTGCATCTTCTTCTTCCACCTCAAAAGATACAGTTGAAATTTTGCCAGGACAGGCAGGGTTGAAAATCACCACAAGGTGATGGACTGTGCAGTTAAATCCTAACACTAAACGGGCTGTGGAGTTTTACATTTAACTCCATAACCGCAACTCCCATGGAAATGTTAACTCATGTTTTACCACATTGCCGTAACTCGAAAAGCACAACAATTTGTTGGACCACAGATTTTATGACCTCAAGTTGATCTCCGCCTTATCTCCCCAAACCCCTGTTGTATAGCAGCCACTGAGATAATATTACTCTCTCAAGACTTGTATCAGCCTGCTGATGCCTCTCTAATGAATTATTTTACCATTGCTTGCATTTCACTGGGGGCTCAGGTGCAGCAAACAGATTATGAAAGTCCAGCATTTCTTTTATCAAGTAGTTAAAACATCAATAACTGCAGAAGACCAGCAACTCATTGACAGGGAGGTGCTGTACACCAGACCACAACGAAGATGAAATGAGCATTTTCTGTTTTCAAATGTGAGCACAACCCAATTACTGGCTTAAAAGGGGAGGGGAAGTATGCTACAGGAACGATTCCTGGCTTTGAGCCCCTCTGTCCCCTTCAGTCTCCGATGACGCTGACACACCAGTGCAGGGGACGGTGCGAGGTGTCCAGCCATCCTGCGGAGTGAAAGCGAGTAGTGGTGCATTGGTGGCAGGGTTAGGAAAGACAAACAAAAGACAAAGAGAAAGGCGAGGCCAGATTGTCTCCTGGGATGCAGAGAACTTTAGAAACGTGAGCTCGGGCTGGCTTCATAAGGAGTTGTTTTTTAGTGCCTTTGAGACACATAGTCTTTGGTTGACAAAAAGTTGAAAATACATAAATCCACTTAAAAATCACATTTGAATCCACTCAGATTAAGTATTTTGATGGCACACTTTCTCTTTCTAGATAAAATGATGCTTCTTCATCAAAAAATCATACTAAATATGAATATATTCATTTATATACTGTATTTATAAATAAATACTCATTCTAAATATTCACCCTTTAATCGGGGACTTATCCTGTCCCCACTATATAATAGCTGTATCCACTATTTGTCTTGGAAGATAGTGCATAGTGCATCCACAGAAATGAAGGATAGTGATCTATTTAAAGTATATTTGCAAGAGCTTCTCAGGCTATAACACTAGACGATAATAGCACATTTGTCCTTGCTTGCACATCCTCTTGTGAGCTTCACTGTCATCCTTCAATTGTCTCTTTTCTTCTCAAACCTGACCATTAGAAAACAGCTCAGTGAAATCATGGTAAAATGAAGGTAAAACAGAGGTAAAATGCTTAGGTCACAGGATGATACAAATGGGGGAGATAAGAATAGCAAAGTAAAAAAATAATATTATAAGCAGGGAAAGACCATGGAACAACTGTGAAATGTGCAGTTTTACTCTATTAACCTCCATAATGATAGCAGGAAAGCAAAGGACAAAAATTCAATTGTATTTATTACAGTATCTCAAACTAATTCCTACTTCTTATTGGCTATGTAGAAATAATGACATCACAGGTTTCTGTAAACAGATCAGGAAGTGGATCAGGCATTTCTCAATAGGACTTTTTTTTAGCATTTAAACAATGATGCTAGTATACAGTATGAGCCATTTACAACATGTGAAACTAGCATTACTTGGTTGCATTTGTGTTTTGTTATTGAAAAACATCACAAAAACATTTGTGTCCCTGCTTTATATGGATTAACCAAGTAGCTTTGCTGCAGAAGTGTAGAAGAACAAATAGTGCATGTGTAGTAACAATGTGTTTTATGAATGTGTGCTGTTGTGTAGGTTTGTTCCACAAGCTTTACCTTGTGAAATGGAGACTAATGAAGGAGAGATTGACTCTAAGACAGAGGACGCAACTGAACAGGAGTCTGGACTGAAATCTCACCCAGATATTGATGGAGGCTGGGGATGGATGATTGTTCTGGCTTCCTTTGTGTCCCATGTGCTCATCATGGGCTCCCACATGGCTCTGGGAATTCTCTATGTGGAATGGCTGGAAGAGTTTAAGGAGAGCAGGGGGCTCACAGCTTGGGTGGGGTCTCTAACCATTGGGATAACTCTGATCGTGGGTACGTATCTCGCCTTTCTTAATTCTTCTGCTATTAGCATTGCAAAGTGTAGCAAATATTACTGAATGGTACTGTAACGCTTATGGCCAACAGGTTATATCTATATATATATGATCATTCACTTCACTGAACATAAACAGAATTCTTAACACTACATACAATACAGTAGATAGTGAACTACTGGAGGTAGTAACACTGCAATCTGGAGTAGTTTTCTCATCTTTCAGCAATGATGTGGTGAAACTTAAGATAAAAAAAAAACAATTCAAGCTAATTGCATTTGTTCTAAAAAATACTCATCACAATTCATTCATTTTACATTTTACAGTTTTTGGAAAGAAGATAATAGCAAACCTGAGAGTTCATTTGTGAGAGTAAGAAAATGTGTGTCACCTTAATGTTACACAAGCAGAGATAAGATGGTCTATCAGACTGCTTCAGAACTCCTGCACCTAAAATACACGCACCCACGGATATACAAATTCTAAGACAAAAACATGAAAATCTGTGATTGTTTCTTACTGTTTTTTTATTTTATTTTGTGCTATGTATCTGAAAAGTGACCATTTTTTTTAACCATTTCCAAAATATTGACTTATTTTCTTAGCTTCCAGGTCATGCTGTAACAACATGTATAGTACTGTATGTGAAGTAGCTTATAATGATCACAGCAGGCTGGGTTCCTGTTGAGTGATGCGGGAGTCCTGGGTTCGAGCCCCCGACGGTGGGGGGACGACCTAATGCGGCAAGGGCGCCTGCCTGAACCCCCATTGTGTTACAGTACTTTATACCAGACAATTCCAGAATAATTTCAGGTTGTCTTTCATTGTTAAGTTGAAATGTAGCCTCACTTATTTGTTTAGCCACAGGCAAAAGTCTTTTTGGGAGTACTGTAGGTTCTTTTTCTAATTACTTGGTAGTACATAATCTGGCATTGCAAAATAACTTGTTATTTTCTCTTTCAGCTCTTATTTCAGTGCAGAGCACTGACAGCAAGAATGCAGTAGTAGATGTTCAAATTTGAAACATATTGTGTCTTAAAGCAAAGGTGTCTAATCAAGTTAATTCTATAGTATACAACTGTATTTATTTCTTATAAGTGACTGAAAGGTAGAATTACTAGCCTTTTGATTTAGAGTTTATGTAATGTTTTGTAGAAAAAGGTCTACCATCAATGGGTACAGGGTCAAAGCCCATCTATTAACTGCTGTTAAATGATGTATCATAGTAAGCAATGATGCATTTCCAATGCATGTAGAATTCTTAATGTATTGTATGATAATAATGTATTATATTAAGGATATTATATAATGGATACTTTAGATTAGTATCAACCCTGCCAACATTTTTAAGGTGAAAAATAGCAGGTATTCACAAAGACCTAGTCTGAAAACACACGTTTTCCTCGAAACAACCTGTAAGAAAGACACATGCACAAATTCACATAAATACAAAATTGACCTTAAACAGTCTATTACAAAAAAATTACCAAAAGAAAAGCATCAGTGATTAATTCAGATCAGGAAGTCTTTGACAAAATGGAGGAAAAAATGAAAAGGAAGCAGAAGAGAGTGCACACTTCCATCAAACTCTCAAATGCAAAAGTTTGCAATGTTGTTGTTACTAGCATTTCACGTGCAGTGCCAGTGCGAAAGTGAAATCATTCTGTATGCAAATTCAAGTATTTTAGAAATAAATACATTTTGGAAAAGCACCCTCCAAGGATTTTTTTTCCAACCTGGATGGTACAGTATACCATATACTGTAGCAACAGTTGGATTTAAGGAGCTAATGAGATGTAATTGGTCAGAATAGGGTCCAGTAGATATCAGTGCTCATGGAAATAACCATAGCAGACTCTGGGCTTTCACTGTTTCTTTGCTGTCATCTCAAAGCCACAGCTGTCAACACAGAACTCATTCATTGACCTTGTCCTAGTCTGCTAGAGCCCCTGCTTGTGAGCTTCATTTTCATTCAACATTTTTTTTTAAATAGCATAAACAATGAGGAATCCCAAAGTCCCCATTGCAATGTTTCGGATATGTTTTCTAAAGCAGAAATAAATATGGCGTCTTCTATTTTATCTATTTTAACTCTACGCTACATTCAGGACTGTAATTTCTCTTGTATTCCCTGAATCCAAGTATTATTACAGTCCATTTTGTCTGTCATAGCAGTTCATTTCAATAGTTTTAAAAAATAACACACTATAAGAACAGATTTATTTGAAATCAGACCTTAGAAAAGGACATAATTTCATAAAGGACATAATTTTAACTTCCATACCTCTTCCACATTCTACATAAATACAAATATTATACCAGTTCTGTGAAATGAACAACTATTGGTCAAATACAGTGAACTGAAATCTATGCACTATTTCATTTCTCCGGTTAACCAAGTTTAATGTTTTGCCACAGGACCGGTTATCGGACTTTTTGTTAGCACGTGTGGCTGCCGAAAGACAACAATAATAGGAGGAGTTGTGACAGCTTTGGGCTGGATGCTCAGCGCATATGCCTCAAACATTTACTTTCTTTTTATATCCTTTGGCCTGACAGCGGGTGAGTCTTCTAAATTGCTACCTTTTTAAATACTTTCCTACTGGTCTGCCATCACACACACACTGCGATAGCCTTTGTCTTTTTCTTAGTCCATCAAATTATTATTTATTATGGGTTAACTTAACTGTCTTTCACAAAACATGATTCTTTCTCACTGCTAGCACTGCATGAAGTTCAGCTTGGGTTCAGTTAGCCTTTTCTCATCGAAGACATTTAGAAACCCAGCACAGAAAAATAAAAATCTTGGATAAATCCTGAAATGGGTGAAACTCCCAAGTTTTTGCATGGTTTATCGTTTCAACTTGAAGATGGGAAAGTCAAATTAAAACTGGATTACTGGAAATTAGTGAATTCCAGAAACATCACAATGGAGATTTTGTAACAAAATTTAAAATATGTGATTTCTAATTTCAAATGGGGGTGGGTGAATATTAGTACTCATGTTATTGGTTAGAGAAAAAATGTGTATAAAATTTGTTACTTAATAGGCTAAGAGGAAATCACCGTGTCTCAAACGAAGATCAGCACATTGGCAAAACCAGGTGAAAAAGATCAATGTTATCTGTTAAAAGGATTTGGATTTGAAGTGAGACTGGCTGTGTATAGGAGCATATAGGAGGTACAGACAAGACAGAGATTCACCGACCAATTGCCTTGGACCAATCAGTCATGTGACTGAGGGCAGCGGCTCATAACCCACAGCATTCTGGGTAACGTAGTCCAGGCTAGAATCTCCATCTTGTCTGAACCTCCTATATGCTCCAAGGGTGGCTCAGCAGTAATCAACACCCCTCACATAATGTCATCTTTCTCTGTTTTGTTCCTGTCAGGTGTAGGCAGTGGGATGGCTTACCTGCCTGCGGTGGTCATGGTGGGGCGTTACTTTCAGAGGAGGCGGGCCCTTGCGCAAGGATTGAGCACCACAGGGACAGGGTTCGGCACCTTCATCATGACCCTACTTTTGAAGCACCTCTGCACGGAGTACGGCTGGAGGAATGCCATGCTGATCCACGGGGCGGTCAACCTCAACCTCTGTGTCTGTGGAGCCCTCATGAGGCCTCCTCCGTCAGGCAGCGGGCAACGGAAGGCCCCCGATCCTCTGGAGCCGCAGGGCCAGCGGCAAAGGGGTATGCAACACGAGCCAGGCGGCTGCTCCATGAGACTCGACTGGTCAGAGGATCAAGGCACCAGCCGAGAGGGGGAATTGAAGAGTCTGTCCCCAGAAGACGCCGGCGTCCAGCAGCAGGAACCAGAAAACAAAGACAGAGGCCCAGTGGAGATCATTTTTAAAGAAAAATATCCCCTTCGCATGGTGAAGACACTAAGCCAGATGACCAACAGTATGAAAATGGGATTCTGGAAGTGGCATTCCAGTTACATTGGGGATGGATCCCTTTTCTCCAATAAGGTGTTCATCTGCTTCGTCTTATGGGCGATGTTTGCATACTGCAGCTTTGTCATTCCTTTCATACACCTGCCAGAGATTGTCAAGCTATATGGCTTTGATGAGGAAAACAACAAGATCCCCTTGACCTCCATTATAGCAATTCTTCATATTTTTGGGAAAATTTTCCTGGGTTTGGTTAGTGACCTTCCCTACGTCAGTGCTTGGAACGTGTTTTTCGTTGCGAATCTGGCAATGTGCGTGTGCGTATTTGTGCTGCCTCTCATGCACACATTTGCTGGCTTGGCAATAGTGTGTGCCATGATGGGGTTCTCGAGTGGCTATTTTTCTGTGATGCCGGTTGTGACCGAGGATTTAGTTGGGCTGAATAATCTTGCAAACGCCTATGGTGTTATAATCTGTGCAAACGGCATCTCTGCTTTGTTGGGACCACCAGTTGCAGGTAATGATGTCTCTCTTGTGTTTTCATGCTCCCAGGGGTTTGAAGATCTGTAGAGAGTGGATCCAGTATATACAGTACTGTATAGGTGTGAAATAAACTTGCAAATATTTCCTGGAACCACTACAAAGGAGACAGAAGCATAATAATGGTAGTCTAATAACAAGCACACAATGGCTACATGGATGTTTTCATTTATGGAGTTGTTGAACAGGGGTTAAACAGCTCTAAACCTACAGCCAGGTCCAGTTTTCCTCAGCCAGGCAGATTAACACCAAACGCCAGAGTGTGAAGTGCGCTGTCCCTTTGTATTCATTGCCCGTTTTGTCGGAATTGAATGTGAATTGAACAAGTGCAGGGGGCGGCAGATTGGCCCAGTGGTTAGCATTGCTTCCTTGCAGTGGTGGGGGCCTGTGTTCAATGCCTGGCCTGTGGTGCTATCTGTGTGGAGTTTAGACGTTCTCCCTGTGTTTATGTGGTTTTCCTCAGGGTGCTCCAGCTGTTTGTGTCTGTGTCTCTGCCTTGTGTACCCTGCCTAGCGCCTGCTGAGATGGGCTCCAGCCCCCCTGTGACAATGAACTGGATATAGCAGTTAAACCATGGCTAATAGGGTACACCCTGGACAGGGCGCCAGTCCATCGCAGGGCACACACACACTCACACAAGGGTCAGATTTCCCAAAATCTTCTGATGGAATCTGGGAATGCTTTAATAATCTATACAGTATTAATAATTAATTTTTTTTATTATTTTAAAATAAAATTATTTTTTCATTTGCAAGGTTTTAGATTGGAACATGACTGCTGAATAACAACCATCCTTTCCCCTTCCACCACCTGTCTTAAGCTACTTTGCATAATCAATGCATTAAACTCATTGCAACCATCTGAGACAAATGCTATAGGGAGCTACTTTCCAAAAAATAGTTTGAAAATGAAGGTTTATAGAAATAAGCTTGCTTTCCAAAAGTCCTTATTAAACACTATGCAAAAGTTTACTCACAAATATACTGTATATATCAAGTCAAGGCACAAAGACATATTTTAATGAGAGCAGGATGTATTTACTGTAAATGACTCAGACGCTAACTTGCACATACAGCAATATCTGAAAACAAATTAAATGAAATACTGTAGAAATATCTATAAAAACAAATCTTGTTTCACATTAGAAAGGAAAATCCATCAATAGTCAGAAGGCTAAGCTGTTCAACTCTTAGACATGAGAGTTTTCAATTTTTAAATTATATTTAGAATTTGTACAGGTCAGAATGGAAAGAAAGTACAGTAGCTGTGAACTTGTAACACAGGAGTGAGTGGGGCAGAGTGCAACTAGGAAAAATCAAGCTTGAATTGAAACTTGAATTGTAATTAATATTGTACATTTTCTTCTTTTCTCAGGCTGGATCTATGATGTGTCAGGGACGTATGATTATTCCTTCTACCTCTCTGGCGTTCTGTACATGGTTGGTATCAGCTTCCTGATGCTGAAACCCTGTCTGCAGAAAACAAGCACCGCTGAAGAAAGGAAACAAGGCACTAAAGCTTCATGTTCATCATGAGTTCTCTCACTGAACCCTGAAGTACACCCTCATGTCTTTATTCAAAATGTGAAAGAACAGTTATATTGTAATGTATGTTATATGTAAGCTTAGTTTTACAAAGTGTGAATGTTTATGTCCTAACATAAACACAGGGCATGTCTTTAAAATGTCAGCGTATTGGATAATATAATTGAACTGTGAAATTTATACTGTGTGTTGAAAGACAGACAAATCTACCTGCAGCCAACACAATATAAACTCAGCTCCTATTGCAGAAGGGGACAGAGACATTAAATGAAACGTGCCTTTAAAATGTGACATTAGGTCCAGTTACAAATGTTATTTTTTCAGAGAGCTGGGGAAGTGCAACAGGATTTAGTCTTTCAGCGTTGAACGCTGACATAAGAGCTAGATTCTGAACCTCAACTTTTTCAGAGACTCCTGCCTTTGTCCAGATTTAATATGGGACATATGCGTACAAATCTTCAGGATTTTACCAAATAATTTTAGTCACAGAGTTGTTTTCAGATTGCAATCTCAAAACTCATCAAGCGTTTTCTTTGTCAAAGGCTACTCACGTTATGTAGGTCTTTAAGAACTTTACTGTAACTTATCCAATGGATGTGAACCACGTTAGGTAATACAACGTACAGTATATTTTTGTTTTTGAGCTTAAATGTTTTAGATCGATTCGTGAAATCTCATGTACAACATTTAGGCATTTTAATTTATTATTGTGGACTTCATGGGTTTTTGTATTATAGGATTGGAATGGGAATTGTGAAAAATATTTCAGAAGAATATCTGTACTAGTAGGGAGGTGGGGTAGTGTGTTAGAACAGCTGCCTGATAGCTTTTAGATCCTGGGCTCAGTTCTGGACTGGGGTGCCTTCCGTTTGGAGCTTGCATGTTCTCATGTTTACTGTGGTTGGCTCCAGGTGCTCTGATTTTGTCTTTTGTTCTGAAGAAATGTTGGCTAGGTTGATGTCTTTAACTAGTGGGTATGCCCTACAATGAATGGACATCCCATCCAGCATGTAGTTCCTCTTTGTATCCTATGCTTCCAGGAAAGGCTCTGGATAGCTATGATCCATTCCAGGAATAAACATTTTATTTTGATGATGGATGTATCCTTATACAAAAGCAATAACAAGACAGTTGTTTTCTTCCTTAATAACACTTGACTGTTTGGTGTAGTTCACAGGTGCTGAAGAATTTTGAACCACGAGATTGTGGACAGAGCACAGATTGTAAAAAAAAAACAACCCACATACATTTCAATTTCAAGGTTGCCATCTTATAACCATGGGTGTCAGACTCAAATTCCTAAAGAAACTCAGTGTTTTCAATTTACCTGCATTGAGTTACTCAGTTGGTTTAATAATTATATCAATTGGATAATTATAATACTCCTCTTCAAGCCCAGAGCTGTTTAAAGTACCTGGAATGCAATGCACATTTGAAATGGCAAATTCAGGGAAAAAAATATTTATTTAGTCACATGTTTGTGAACATGAGAAGATATTTAGATTAATAAACTAATTTGTTGCATAGGAACAAGAATTAATCTCAAGTGTTTGAGATCCCTTCCCTTACCAAAACACATTTCCGCTGTAGTAAGAGCTACTTAAAAAAATCTCAGTACCCCTTTACAGTCATGAAAAATATAGAAAGTTTCCATTTTTATTTTACCCTGACTCTGTACATAACAACAAATTTTAAATGCAAAAAATAAAAAATTTGTACAAACAATAAATAAGCATGACAAAATTCTTAATTCTTGTGTAAGGGCTTCCAAATTCAAGTTTTCTTTGTGCCAGTTTGACTTCCAGCTGAACTGCTGCACAACTGAACACTTAGTTGAGTTACTAATGTGTTTATTGTTTTCAGGTCTTAAACACATTAGAGGTCTCCTTTTATCTATTACATTTTCCAAGTTGAAATTTAGTTCTCCGCTATTCCACTAGGTAAAAACCTTTAACTTTGTCCACTTTAGAATCTAATTAGTTCAATTAAAAAACTGAACCTCTGGCTGGAACAAAAAGTAGAGTGTGCAGGTTTCCTGAGGATCTGGAATCCAGTTTTACGTATGTGTTTTGTGAAACACCAATAGTAAAAAATGAGGCTGAAAAGCAGTAACGACTGAAATTATGAAAATCAACAAATTCAAAATCATCTCCAGAAGTTAAGCAGATCATAAAACGTGGGTTTTGCAGATTGTAACTGATGGGACAGTGAATAGCTGATCTCACCTTGATGAATTGACCTGACAATTAGCTGAACAATGTTTGCAAATGCATTGTAATTAAAATCTAATAACATTTTAATATAAAGAACTAATACTTCTCATTTTTATGAGACAGCAGTAGTTCTTAATAAAATCCTACAGAAAACATTTTACACTAGCATTATTGTGTAGATTATTAAAAGATTATAGACTCATACACCAATAGTATATTTTTAGAAGATACTCAGGAATGGTGACACATACAACATTTTAATAAAGAAAAAATATTAACTCACAATCTACTACAAAATACAAACTGATTTCATCATATACAAAGATATTTCAGTGTCATGGATTATGGCACACAACATTTCAACTGCTTTACCTGAAAAATGTTCTAACATCATCTAATCACAGTAAAAAAACAAATACTGTCATTCAATCCTCTAAACATATGCAGTAAGACAAATATAAATTGCCCTTATTTGGATTGCAGAAAATAATGGAATTTAAATGGCATACACTATTAGATTTTAGGCAGTTGTTTCATTCATCTAGAGTCTTAGTAAATCACTAAAAACTTTTTGAAATTAGAGGTTAAAAGCCCCTACAGTTGGAAGGTTTGTCTAGGTTGAATATATACAGTACTGAAAACTTAGTTTATTAACTAAAATTCAATTAAGAGACAAGAAAACTTACAATGCAAGAAAGTCAATGTACTGTAGTAATAATACGAACATTCCTGTAACATTTACTTTTTGTAACATTTTAATTCATAAAGCTTGTGTGATATCCAAATCAATGCAAGATTGTTCTTTACTCAGTTGATGTGTTAGGATCTGACTTCTGTCTTCGTCGTCTAATCTGCATCTGGAGCTGCAGTTTATTGGTGAAGAAAATCTGCTTCCAGCCCACCTCTCTGGCCAAGGCTTTCATCTCAGGAGTGACTGTATCACAGTAACTCTCCAGTATTTGCTCCCAAAGTTCATCAGAGTTACAGAGCTACAAAGGTACACAAAAAGCAGACAAAAATGACATCAGAAACACCCACTTAATAGCCCATGGAGAATAACTGACTATTAAAACAGGTTTGTAATTATTTGCATCTGAATAATACTTAAACATGATTTGCATTTAATATTGGTTGACGGGACACTGTGTTAAATTTCATAATAACATATAACAAATACCAGTGTGTGCAATTCACCTCCCACCACCACTGTAAACAGATGAAAGAAATTCTGAACAAGAAACTTCCCTAAGCCAGGCTTTGTCTGATTAAAACATTTTACACAAGATCTCCCTGGGCATCAATACATTATGGATGAATAGACTTGACCAGGCCTCTTTATAGACTGCTCTAAGATGTTCCACCACTGGTCTGGTGCAGCTGTATCAGCTGGCGAAGGCTGGGTGATTGTGGTCATTCCCAGTTGATGGCACTTGCAAGTTCATTTTGTGGATATTCTAAAAAATGATTTTTTGCAAGATCTTGTGATTATGCCCCAAACACTGAGTAGTTTTGAATTGGCTTACAGGAAAATCATTGTCTCAAGAAAATGGGTCGCTGAGCAATCCAATTACCCTCAAACTATGGCCATACTGTTGATGGGCATTTCTTCCTCGATTTTATTGTGCAAAAGTCACTGCAATTCTGAAACCAATTTTGTTCAAGGATCAGATAGATGCACTGTCCTCTGCTTTCTAGGAAGTGGCCTCTGTCCCTTACAGAGTTTCCTGGTTTCTCTGGATTAGACTGCTGATTATTGAAGCAGAACATCTCATTATCTGTGCAACGTCTTGCAGACAGACTGCCTTCAATCATGCAAACAGCAGCCAGGCAGTCTTCATTACTCAACGGTGCATGGTCATATATTTTGCTCTTCTTGAATTAATTAAAACCATGTCTCTTTGAACATCTATTTATACAGGTTTTTAATCTGTTAATATCACAAAAGCACACAAATCATTTTAATTTTTTTTAATTAAACTTGCCCAGTAAATACAGAGCTTCTGACATTTTTATGAAATCACATGGCTTCTGACAGTACTTTGTTATTCCAGGGAAAAATACTACATAATTAACAAAAAATACATTATTGTAGAATTGTATAGTTAAAATGTAAGTAACATTATGACTGTGCATAAAAAGAATAATAGGCTTCCTGATAATGGATGAATGGATGGTAGTGTTTATTGAGCTATTGATATAAAACCCCGGCTTTTACATTTTCATTGTGCCTCAGTATATAAATCTAGTAAAATCCATGTTAAATCTTGTCCTGATGTACTGTTCCTCACAACATTCTTTCTACACATATACGTATACAAATACCGTTGTGCTCTGACTAGACCTTTTCGGATTTGACCAGTCATGTGAGACAATTCTTAAATAAACCACATCAGTTTACAATCTATGGGAAGTTTAAAGTAGAAACCTAAATGGCCATTAAGCATAAATGGTTGTGTGGTTGTGGAAGGCTCATTACCAAAGTATTTGCAACTCGTCTCACTTGGGGTTACCATGGGGACCTAGTCATTGTTCTTTAATCCCATCTGCCTCCTTGTTTTAGGGCAGCCCCAGAGAGACAACCTATCTTGTGCCTTTCAGGTTCCTGGCACACAGCCAGCCTCCGCTGGGCACTGGCAGATTTTCGTATGTCTATTTACTGGGTTACAGTTGGATAGGCTGATGCCTTCTTGGCTCTCAAGTCACAAATCCCAGCTGATACATTATCTTCTATATTAAGGAGAGCCTTAGTTGTCATTTTAGATTCCTGGCCCAATCACGGTGACCAGGAATGTAAAAATCGCATTCATATTTCTTAAATAGTAGAATCGTATGTTTTGTACAATTTGGTTAAAATCACACTTATGCATCTTTTGTCTCATATGTACAGAGATTGTGGAAAGGTGGCAAAATATGTAATATAATTCAGAGTGCATTTTATCAACCTCAATTTTTTAATGTTCTGTGAAAAGCTAGGAGTGGAAAAAAGTGGATGGAAAAGAACACAATGCCCTGATGTGCTAGACAATATTGTATTACAAAAAATAATTAATGAAATCAAACAATTAATTAAATCTTACTTGTTTTGGCACTTAATATGTGAAAAGAAAATTAAAAGAATTGTTAAATTTAAAGTAATCGTTACCTTTGTAGAGATCTCTCGATACATAACAATATCTGCTCTATTGTAAAGCAATGTTCTGAACTAACAAGCATACAAGAATAAAACAACCAAATTCAAGTACAGGAAAAAGCAGTTTAATGCAGCTGACAATACAGTTTAAATACTGTTGTCTCCAAAATGTAACCTACGTAGTAGGTTTTTGTTTTCACTACAAATTAAAGACAAGTGCTCCCTCTACTGAAAATTTACTGATATTATCACTTCTATGCAGCACAGCACCAATACAGTTTTACAAGGGACTTTAATAATAATAATTCCTTACACTTATATAGCGCTTTTCTGGACACTCCACTCAAAGCGCTTTACAGGTAATGGGGATCCCCTCCACCACCACCAATGTGCAGCATCCACCTGGATGATGCGACGGCAACCATAGTGCACCAGAACGCTCACCACACATCAGTTATCAGTGGGGAGGAGAGCAGATTAATGAAGCCAATTCATAGAGGGGGATTATTAGGAGGCCATGACTGGTAAGGGCTAATGGGAAATTTGGCCAGGATGCTGGGGTTACACCCCTACTCTTTCGAGAAACGCCCTGGGATTTTTAATGACCACAGAGAGTCAGGACCTCATTTTTAGGTCTCATCCGAAGGACAGTATAGTGTCCCCGTCACTTTACCGGGGCCTTAGGATCCACATGGACCTCAGGGTGAGCGCCCCCTGCTGGTCCTTCTGACACCGCTTCCAGCAGCAACCTCAGTTTTTCCCAGGAGGTCTCCCATCCAGGTACTTACCAGGCTCACACCTGCTTAGCTTCATTGGGCTTTAAATAGTGCCAATTTAATAGACAACATTCAAAAGAAGAAAATCTATTTTCAAAAGTGATATTTTTCTTCCTGATGTCTTACATACAATTGTGTTATTTAAAATGGAATCTAGATCTATCTGTGCAGGAAATATATTCAGATTTATTGATAAATTTGTAACCTTTCATATGTTCAGAAAAGCTTTCTGTTTATCAAGGGCTTACCCTTTTAAATTTTGATGAAGTCTGAGAAAGTTGAGCCACATCTTCCAGGTCCAGAAATGAAATAATACGTAGAAGCAAGTGATCAGGAAGACGATCCAGATAGTCAAACTGACCCTGACACAGATTCCGTGTGTACTCCAGAATATTGTTACCAAAAACCATGGCTACCTGAACTGAGAAATTAAGTTAAATATATTCAAATTTCAAAACTGCTCACAATACACACAAGGTAAGAAAAAAAATGAACCCCAGTTATTAACAAAGAAAATATCAAATCAATGGACTAACTAATTTGATCAATTAATTAAGTATGCAATATGATGTCCGTCACTAGTGGAAATTCAAAAATACCTTTCTGTGGAAATGTTCATGTACACATGCTATACACAAGAAGAAACAATGACTAAACATGTACTACACAGAATCCAATAAAGTAATAACAGAAATAAGAAGAGCACTTAGTATAATCTGAGCAGATATTTTATAAAACATCCTTACCCTGAAGACTGGAGTCATCTAAATAATACTGGTGGGATTCCTTAAGTTCCCCTGGTTTTGCATTCCGAAATTCACTTCGGAGAGAGATTTTCCACCACCTCCAGATTACCTCAAATTGAGAGAAAATAAGATAGACATAAAATACAAGCTCAGACATAATGATACAAATGCACACAGAGGAGTCTAAAGTACCTGTAAGTACCCAATACTCTATACCACATTGTTAAGGCCAGAGATTCTCCTTTAAAATGTGAATACATATAGGTTTTTTAGGTAAATAATTGTTCAAGCAAGCATTATTGTGCCCCCCCAGTAAAAAGTAAAACATACAAAAAAAAGTAGAGATATTCTCCATTTATCTTATTTCATATTCATTCAATATTGTCAAAGCGGACTATGACCTGTCATTAGCATTTCCCCATGTACTGGTTGCCATAGACACATTTCATCCTATATTTCAGCGGCTGTCACATGTTATTATAGTAAAAAGGGATTCTAAGATGAACAAAGACTGTCTACTGCCTCTTCTCTGGAGATTTAACCCTTTAATCATGACACTAGCCATATACCATTTACCACAATTGACCCTTTTGCTAATTAATGACAGATTTATACTGAGACTAAATATTCTTGATTTCAACTCATGCATATTTATTTCCGAACATGCCAATTAAGGGATAGAATTTCCTTTATATAGAATTTATATATGCAATTTCCAGTATAATGAAAAGCTTGAGAACAATACATTGCAGATGTCTACACACTGATATATATTGTACAAAACATACTGTACATCAAGAACATTTAAGATTTTTACCCAGATACAATCTCCCACAAATTCCAGAAACTGTCAGCAATCAATCCAGAATAAAGAAGATACTGAGTTATATAGCAAATGAAAAATATCAATTCAATATTCTTATAAAATAACAACATATATCAAAAACACATTGTTTTGGAGGATATCACTGCAGAAAGATGTATTAAAATGTATTAAAAATAAAGACCATTTATTTCATTAATATTCTCTCAAATAAGGTGTCTTTGATGGCACGAATCAATCTAAAATCATTCAAATTTGAAATACAGAGGAAACATGATTCTTAAATTTAAACGTGCTGGCTATTTCAGGGAAAAATGTAAAATCCAAAAAACTAAGCATTAACTTGGCTGAATAATTATGTTGTAGAGGAAAAAAAACTGCTGTAAAATGGGAAGATTAAACACTAAACTTGGTGAACAATGCTGAAGACAGATATTTGTGGAAGAAACTAGATGTCCATCCCTATGGACAGTAAATGAGAACTTTTTGAAGGACCTAAAAGACACTCTGGGACAATGAAAGAAGCAGTAATTTAGGAGTCTGTATCCTTCTATGTTCACTGCACAAGGTTTTCTCTTAAGTGTTTCTTTAGATGATCTAGCAGAGACTTAGCAGGGTGCACTTTGTGCTGTTAATTTTGTATGAAAACAGAAATGCATAAGAAATCCTAGAGGATGAGGTGAAAGAGGTCATTGGGCCCATGTTGAACATCATGTGATGTCTCAAATAGAATAGATATCTTAAAATAGAACAGATGTCTAAAATAGAATCAATAGTGTATTCGAGAGGGCTAAACTACAAATTTCCACAGCTATTCCATTCACTGTTCATGAGAAGAAGAGTTCTGAAAAGCTTCCAAAATTCACAAAATCCAACATGGCAGCCAACATAACCACATTTCCCCAATATCACTCCCTTCACACAGCTATAGCCCCACTAAGGTTAGAAAAGTTCTTTTGATGTGGAAAGTGATTAGTCCACATCACCCTTCATTTGTTGAAAATGCATAGAAATACCACAATTGAATGAGCTCATGTTTATTGAGAAACCCACCAAAGTTCAATTGGTCTAATGCTTATAGAGGAGTTGCATTTGAAGGTGAAGGTGTATCATGAGACAATAATGTTAAACTTTATTTTACATAGCGCTTTTAAAGGTGGCTTCTCAAAACGCTTTACAGAATGACAAAAACAATACACAAGATAAAACACAATTACGATTTACAGAGGAGACTTTGGATGGTGGTTCTAAGTATAGTAGGATACTTACTTATATATATATACTATAGTAGTATATAGGATGGAACCTCTTAAGTAAAGGCTCTTCTAAAGAAGAGGGTTTTGAGTCTGGATTTGAAGGAGTTTAGAGAAGGTGACTCTCTGATATCCTTGGAGAGAGTTTTCCAGAGCTTGGGGGCATAACAGGAGAAGGCCCTGTCACCCATAGAATGTAGACAGACTTGGGGAACAGATAGGAAAAAAGAATTAAAAGAGCGAAGGTTGCAAGGTGGGGAGTAGGGCGATAATAGTTCAGACTATTAGGTACTGAGGTGCCAAGCCATGCAGAGCCTTATAGGTGAGCATGAGGCTTTTAAAGTCCACACAGAATTTGACAGGAAGCCAGTGCAAGGACTGGCTTTCAGGCATAGCACTGATCTGTTGCATGCAAACATCCCCTAACAGTAGTTCATTGCAGTGCTTCACCACATTTGTGAAGATTGATGGAAATAACTGCAATGATGTTGGTAATGTTTAAAACGTCAGAGACATTTACAATTTTGCCTATTCTACTGTTGGTAGAAGAAACAAAAACAGGCTTCTAGTCATTCCAGCTTGGAAACTAAGATACACCTGGTTTCAAGTGGATGTGAAATGTAGACATACTATATACAGTAGGAATATAATGTCGTTAGTGTTGGATGAAAATGGAAATTGTTCAGGTGGTTCATTCAAGGCTGCAAATCTTAAAAACTATCAACAGTTAACCCAAGGGGTTACATCCAGCTCAGCAATAAATCAGGACAGAAGATGTATATTTAAAGAATGAAAAAGAAAGCACCATTTTTACACTGATGTGGCCTGTCTTCACATCTCAGTCAAGATGTTGAAGCCAATTCCATGGACCCTTCAAAACATGTTTCAAACTTCGATAAGATTCTGTGATCCAGCTGGTTTTACTATAGGAACCAAACTAGTAGAAATGGTCAAATTGACAGCGCCTTTTCAAAGTAATTAACTACATGAATCTGAAAGATAAGGTTTAAGTTAATAAAATATACAGACAAACACATTCATACAACCCAATAGAAGCAAACTGTACAGATGTTTATTTACCTTCCTCATCTCAATGTTTTGTTTTTAAACGTTAAGTGCAAGATAAGCAACAAAATACACTACAGTGCGATAACTTTCTTTGCGAGTCACATTTATATTACTTACATCAGTCTTTGTTACAAGCAACTGGTAAAAGTCTTTGTTAGGTGCAGGACCCTGGCCGCTCGTTTCAAACACGGTTTCTCCCAGCAATGACGCCATGTTTAGACGCTTTGTCGTTACCACGGCAACGAAAGGGACAACGGACCACTCTTTTTAGAATTCTAAAATAAAAAACAAATAAAATAAAAAATAAACATTTGTTGGATTTTTATAGAAAAGGCATGCATTTACGGGGTATCTAATTAAACGTAAATGATCTCACTGACAAGGTGTAAAAAAACCGCAGAAAGCAAATAAACAGTTTGTTAATATTACAGGGTCATGACCCTGCGGAGGGATATTTCTCAGACACTTTAAGCGCAGATTAAAAGGAATAATAGATCTGTTATCTTTAATTAAAGAGGCCAAAGATGGACTCTCATACTTACATTTTTAATGTTAAACGCCCTTAAACGTTGAATAAAAGTTGCCTTTCTCCTTGTTAAGTTAAAGTAGTTCCTGGCGGAAGAAGGGGGGCCGCTTCAGCGGAGGTATACTGCAGTTGCAGGTCCCTCAGCTGATGTGAAGGTAAGAGCTGAGAGAGTGGAGCTGCTGCACTGTCTGTAACAACAACTACAACACTGGAACAAATAGGTAATACCAATCGTCTATCAAGCCTTCACTAACGTTGGTGTAGTGTATTTACGGGATCGTTTGAAGGCGAGGACCTTGAAATATAAAGGTGGGGAGGTGATACAGTTTCGCGAAAAATATGGATTCCAATTGTCATCTCGAATCCTGTTCCTGCTTTCCTGTTTTTTTCTTCTTGTGATGCAAGCAGTGAAAACGGGGTTCAGAGGCCATTTCGTTTTGTAATTGTACAAATTGCCATTTTTTGTTTAAAAAAGCCAGCCATGCCCTTTCCTCTTTGTGCGAGAGAAGCGCAAAATGAATGTTTGAGATCTAGTGAGTGAATACAACGCATACTACGATGTGTTAATTATAAATATTTACGTGTCACTTTTTTTACAATTAAAAATTCGTGTGGTCTATTCAGCCGACTTCTCCGTCATAGCGATCGCGAGAAAAAAATGAAACTTTGCATTGCAACACAATGTCACCTCACTGGGTGTAAAACATTTGTTTACGTAGCTTCTTCTCTCTGAAAATACGTCTGTTCAAGCAAACTGTCCTGACAAGAAAGCTTTATAGAGGTGCAGACATGATCAAGATATATGATACGAGACGCGTTCTTAGTAAAGCTGAGGACGTTGTAGATCTAGTTAAACTGGACCGACAGAATTCCTTCTTAAACGACCCAGATTTAATTAATTCCTTGCGTATGGAAGATCACTCAACAGCTTTTTAAACCTACGTATACAGATAAAGGCCATTACGCTTTAGGTGGCTGCTCACCTTTTATTAATCTCATTTGTTGTTTTACAACCATGATTTGTATTTTAAATTGTATGATTTAAATCTATGCATCACTTTATCTAGGGCTCACTCGGGTTGTGTAAACGTCAGTGAAAGCGTTGCACAACATACAAAGATGCCGTGCTCAGTCTAGATCCTGAATCTGGATTAAGAGCCCTTTCCTGGCCATATCTGTTCAATCGAGACCGAGGCTGTTCGTAAGCGGCAAGGCCTCGGCCAGGAAAAGAAAGAAATTAAAAACTCTTGTGTAGGTTGTCTGGACAAGTAACATTTACGTGGGTGCGAATGGGTTTGAATGAACAAAAACCAGAGTTATAAAGAAATATACTTAACTCCGAGATCGTCTGGACATATTACTAACATAAACAAAAGACGAGGAACGATCTGGCGGCCTACGTAGGGCCTTAATAATTGTCGTATTTTCAGAGTATTTTTTTCTTTGAGACCACTGGTTATTACAGTGTAAATTTATAGTTCTGTACATTAGTAAAACGTTTTTAATGAATTATAGCCTGGAGTCGAACAATGTTTTTTCTTTACGTGTGGTTGAATCTCGCGTAATCATCTTTCTGGGTTTTAATGTAAGCATTTCGTAATGCTGACCTGCCTCGGATATCATGGATTAAAACAGTATTTTTACTCATGACACATGTTCTTTTTCCAGAGCTTTTATCCCCCCCCTCCCCACAAAGACGCCTCTGACCCACACATTGTATTTACAGTTTGATCTACTGTTATTGCACTGTAAATCAGTTTCTCTTACATGTGCTTTTAAGGAACACTGGTAATACTGGGATATTTCTGAAGTTGTCAGACTAGTTCCATGTACTGGTTTAACTGTCCGAGTGGTCTCATCAGTTTAGAATTTGCATGTATACTTCTTAAGGGGTTGGGTACTGTATATACTGTTTAGTTTCTATCTTGAAAATTATGAAATCAATTATAACATTCAAAAGAATGATAATCAAAAACACTGAGTGGCTGAACAAAACCACATCTGCAAGATCAAAATATTCCCCGTTAGAGTGTTAAACAGCTACTTCATAGCTCTGCAGAACAATCCAGTTTAGCTAAACTTAGACTTATTATAAGTTAATCTTCTAAACAAGGAAGCTTATTATTACATGTGAGATCTTCCTTTATTATTCTCATAGGGCAGTTGAGGAAGTTCTTCTGGAGGTGTTGGTGGGCCTCCACTCATAGAGCAAACTTAGCTCTCTCTAACTCAGTTGACTATAGGCGGCATCACAGACTGTCCACCCTGACTATTTCTGATAGGAACTTATGAGTCATGGTGAGAATGGGCTTCATTGCTATGCAATTTGCACCAGAAGCCCCAACGAAAAGTACATTAATCATTAGAAGGATACCATATTGGTTCCTCGGAACAATAGTGCTGCTTCATGAACAGTATGAGTAGATCAGTGTGTTAATTGAGATAATTTTATGAAGCCCTCTGTGAAAATTTTACCCTGCCATGTCATCACCAAATGTTTCTGAGACCAAAGATTGAAAGTAGTGTTCATGGGGGTCAGCATACACATCCATCCAGCCATTTTTAACCTCTTTATTCAATACAGAGTCATATGGCAGCCGGAGCCTATGTTGGCAAGCAAACGGTGGAAGGCAGGATATACCCTGGATGGGACGCCAGTCCATCACAAGACACACACACAGACACAAACACTCACTCACACCAGGGCCAGCTTTTATCCCCAGGATCTCGTTAACCTACATTGTCTTTGGTCTGTGGGAGGAAACTTATGGGAACATTGGGGAACACATACAAACTCCACGCAGCTACCATCCCAGAAATTGAAGCCAGGGGCCCTAGTGCTATGAGGTAGCAATGTTAACCACTGCGCTACAGTGCCTTCCTAGTGTACGTGTGTTTTGCAACTTATATTTGGACTCAAAATCCCTTAGCATCTTACTTCCATGTTGCATGGAGGACACACAGGTCTATCCTTTTAATGCTCTGTTCTCAAAGTGACACAGCTAATCAGTTGTCTGGCTTTGTTGCAAAGTAACATATAGTTGCAATTTTATTTTGGCTACTTTTTATTGGGTCACATACAGGGTATCTTGATGTAGTCAACAGTTAACGATGCTCATTGATGTCTGTGATGATTTCTGATCTCTTTGAAATACTGCAGTTTGTAGCTTGCACTTTTGCAGACAGACAATTTCATAAGTTACAGACCCTTCACAGTTAATAGAAAAACATTATTTATGTCATCCCAAATGATTGTTTTATGACAAAGGGAATTTATTACATTTTAGGTACAGAACATCTTTAAATTTAATTATGTCGTACACCTGGTTATGTTGTGAGTTTAAATCACAAAGTGACTTCTGTACCCCGGTAATCCTCAAGTTAGGTTTGTCTTTGTTGAGTGTTTTGAATTTCTTCAAACAAAACCGTTTTTTATTAAAAATTAAAAATGAAAATATGAAAAACTAAATTTGTAAGGCCGTTAACATACAAAGACCTTGTAGAATTAATCTATTTTTTTTAATGGAAAGGGTTGTACTGTTTGAAAAGGTTTAGCATTTCTGAGTTAACAGGAATTTTATTCTGATGTCGTATGGGGGAAAGGGATGATTGTGCTTTTGTGTGTTAGCTGTGGTTACCAGCTAGCCACCAGTGGCTTGTTTTTTAGGAGTATTGAGAAGTGGCTGTTTTGTAAAATGAAAAACATTGAGAGCAGCGAAAGTTAATAGTAAAACGTAGCAACATATCAGTGAATTTCAAACTGGAGTTATAATGTAATAACAAGTGCATTCAAATCCCCATGTCAACTGAATGATGTATGGCTGAAGATGCATATTGCTGTTTTGAGAGATGACTCTTAAAGTTCAGCTATTAAACTTAATGTAATGAAATCAGAGACTATATGTCTTGGTTCCTGTAAAGTGCATAGTAGATTGTTTTTTGTTTACTTGGATTTTGTACATATTGAACTTCATCAGTCATCATGATCAGCATTTAAAGTACAAAAAGCATTAACTTTGCCCTGTGTAAGTGCTACTAAATATTCATCCAGATTTAGGTAAAACAATTAGCTTGTCAAGCAGGAAAATTACATTTCAGTGATTGTCTACTAGCTGTGAGTTAAAAGGTAAGTTGCTTCTTGTACTTGATTTATTTATAGCCTGTCTTCCACACTTGGGGCAGGAATGTGAACAAAAATATGCTAATGCAACAAATTATATATTTGTGAGTCACCACAGCGTCTCTGTCTGTGTTTTTAGCAGATTGACAAAAACATAATTCATAACGGTTTCAACAATTCTTTAATTTATCTAGGTATATTAAAAAGGTATCAATAGCTTATCCATTATCTGCCTGAAGCTTTGGAAATATCAGTTAGTGTGCACTTTCCACATTATTCAGTTGGCAGACAGAACAGATTTGTGCTCACATTTCAAGTCAGTGGTAAGAGCCAAGGACTTGTTCTAATTATTTCCAGCAACATGGGTGCTGCATTTTGGGTAAGTGTTGATGGAGAGGAAATGGAACTGTTATTCTACTGCAAAAAAAGTTCACTGCTTGAAATCTGAAAACTTTACTGTTAGCGTTGTGGCCCTGCTGTGGAAACTGTTGGTCTTCTCTGGAGTAAAATTAATTATTTGAATTCATAGATTTATTATTTACTCTTTCATTGTTATGATCACTTAAAGTTGTGAAATTGGGAGAAACTTATAATCTGTGGGGCTGTCTTGTCTTTGGATGTTAAAAGCCATTCAATACGAGTTCTTTTTGGGATGAGCTGCATTTGAAAGTGAGTACTCTCTCCAGTGTAGGAAGTACCGCCATGGTACTTCCGACATTGGTGTTACAGGGGCACAAGGAAAAGACATGCTGCTATGTACTATAGCATGTTCTGAAAGTTTGCCCATCTTATCCATTGATGTAGCAGCAACAGCCATTTTTAACCTGTTCGTGTGTGTAGTTGCTTCAGTAAACGTGCTTTGTTGTTCTCTTTCAATGTCTTCATGCTCTTTCTTGTGATAATGTTCACTGGAAGCTGAAAATACACAGATTGTCCTAGCAACATCTTCACCAAGATGGTGTCAGGATGTTTTGTTTATATTTCTTACTGAGCAGAACAAATGCAAAAAGGACTTGGTCAACACAAATGCGGAATTGAATCTGTGGAAGATGAACTTTACAGCAGTAGAAACATGAAAGGAACCAAGTCCTTTGCTGTTTTTTTACTCTAGAAAGTATCCTCCTGAATTGAGTTTGTTTTTGTTAGAAAACAAAACATTAGTGAAAAGACTTTTGGTGTTAAGTTGGATAGAATTTTTGTTTGTTAGAAAAAATTAAGGTCAAAGCCTTGAATAGCTACTGCAGTAGTTTGTGATGTGTCTTTATGCATTCATGATTTTTCCAGATCATTATCATGTTGTGCATATAACATCAAATTTATAAAAATATATATCAAATAATCTTAACAGGCTGTAAAACCATTTTGTTCTATTGTTCAATTTGCAATAATCCACTCGGCCCATGTACTACAACATTGTAATCACACTATGATAAAGCAGAATTGGTTTTCTTGCATGTCAGAACATGTCCTCTGTGAAACCATCATTTTCTGGGACTTCTACAGCGTTTCAGAAATAACTGCATCTTGTTTCTTTAATTCTCTGCATATTATAACTGCAGCTAGATAGGTTGAATGCTTGTCCAATGAAATCAGAAGAGATCATTGTCTGCTAAGTGTAGTTTACCAGATATTACATTACAGTAAATCAATGAATAACAGAGACATCAAACAATATATCTGAAAGGGTGGATTAACACACAAAGGATCATTTTGCAGATTTATTTAGAGTCCTTTCATTAAATATAAGTGGTAAAATGTTTATTTTTATGGACTTAGCAGTCTAAAGTACTGGTGTGGATGGGGGATAACTTTAAAGAATGATTGACTGTGTTAGTTATGTCATTGAAATTGCTTAGAAAGCAGTTGCTCATGAAAGTTCTCAGTCTAAAATGCAAATTATTTTGGGTTTTTTTATTTTGGCATTTAAATCAGTTAATCTATAAGACACTTAGTTACCAACAAGTTAGCGTGTACAGATTTAATCAGTGTGTATCACAGAAACAATTAGTTGATCATCAAGTTGAGCAGAAGTACTATGTAGTCAGCCCACATGTGGTGTGATGTGGCTGGGAATAAAAATGCAAAGCTAATGCTCTTATTAGAGCTTGCTATTCAATAACCATGGAAATGTAATTTTATAAAATCCTCTTATAGCTGTGAAATATGTAGCTCTACTATTGTAATATTGGCTATTGTAGATCTAAAGTTTTTTTTATGTGTATACAAAATAATTAATTTCTTATTGAAAAGGGAAGAGATGTTTCTTGTTGGTTGATTTGAAAATCTGAACTATGGTAGCAGTTTGGATTTAACTTATTAAATTATGATATACTTTAAAATCTGAATATTAGTATGGAACTATCCATAGCAAAGTTCATTAAGAGAGGCCTCAATTGGGTTTAGAAATGTAGAGGTTTGCACAAATGCTTATATTACTGCAATTTAAGTGTTAAAGGGCATTTGAGATGATGCTGATTGATAATTGAGTTACTGAAATATTAAAGTAAGTCTTATCGCAGGTTTATAGCTATGTGAGCATGTTGTGTGTTTCTGTGCATGTTTGCTGAAGAAGTGTTACTCGATTCATGTTTGAAATTGTTTATGTACTCTAAGGGTAGCTACTTGCACAAAAGTTATTTGAATTTCCGATGAAATTGTGAAAGTGCAAATCTTGAGGGGAGAAAAAAGGACTACATACTGTATGTAGGTAAGTGGGTTTATTGATTGCGGAAAAGGCATAATTGTTTTTGCGTCAGCTGTATCATTTGTGAGTCATAGGGGCTTTCAGCTCTTCTAGAAAAAAGAGAGCATTTCAGTTTTCTTTTTAAAAGTCTGTTATTGTATGTACTGGGAACATCCCATGAATGGGAAGAAGCTACTCTTGGTAGACGCGTTGGATTGTGGCTGTAGTAGGTGTTGTTCCGAATAGTTAGGAGGAACTACTGGTCTGAGGTACATTTGTTAAATTATCAGTCTCAGGGTTTGTGAATGTCTGCACTCCGCTATTCCCACAGATTATTACAGTGCTCTAATTCTGTTTTGAATAAAGGTGTTAAAGTGTCACTGATGAAAACTGCATTGTTGTGTTCAAATGCAGCTGCTATTGAAAACTTGAGAAAAAGTCATTTTGACTGAAATCTAGAATGGAACAAACAGTTCTCCTAGGGCCTGAAGATGTCCTTGTAGGAAGAGGTGAAATGTGCAGCAGTTTTGGAATGAAGCATTCTCCCATCAGGGACTCGGATCCTCAGAGTAAAATATTATACAGTTAGACTGGTGCACTGCAAAACAAGCCTTGCGCACGATGGGACGAAATATTTTTTTTATGCTGCGTGCTGGTATCAAGATGCAGTGATAGACGTCTCTTGCAAAGTGTCAGCTCCTACATGTTCAGTGTTTTACATCGCTTGTGGCAGAGGGCTGCTGTACATCTGTCGAGGGTGTGATTGTGCAGACTGAAGGAATATTTGATTTTGTAATTTTGGAGTGGCGTGCTGCTGTTGGATCATGTTTCTATAATGTTTATTGCCTGCCAGCCTTTGAGAGTAAGCAGGTTGGACATTAACTTTTGCATAAACTAGATTTATTAGCAATTCTTAATGCTGGTAGATAGTTGACGTTTTACTGCTTTGATACCTTTTATGAACGGCCAGTAAATCTTAAAATGTAGATTGGCTGTTGCCTGCAGTTTTTTTTCCAGGATGTTTCGTTTACCTTACTGATATTTTTTTCATGTGCAATATTTTTCATGTATTTGGCTGTGTGCTTTGGTTGTCATTTGGCATAGTGAAATAGGCTGATTCCGTCATAAACTGGCTACAAGTTGTGATTTCTTAAATATTCTCCAAGTTGATTTTTTTCTAAAGACATCTAAAACTGCTTGTGTCAAGTGCTTTGAAAGTTCCTTGAATATTGTGATAAAAATTGCCTGTGGTAAAATTGAGCCTGATTTTTAAGGATTGTTTTTAAGGGTTTTTTAAGGTTCTCGCCATCAGTGTTTTTATGGTGAATCAACTGAATTGGCTGCTGAATGGCTTTTGAGTGCCGATTGCATTTTTATTATCAAATTTTGTGGTGCTGTGAAACAGTACTGGGCATTCAGGAAAGCAGTGCATGGCTGCTTTCTTCATTTTTCTTGAGGTGCAGTACAAATTGATGTAGTGTTTTCCTTTAAGCACTGATGTACAAAGGTCTGGTTTTCCATTAACCTTGAGATATGGTGGCAACTGTAGACATACCTCTCAGCTGTTGGGTGTGCAAAACACACTGGTTTTGCAAAAGCAATTGGAATGTGTTGATGTTCTGCATGAGCATGATCTTTAATGATTGATTGAGGATGAACCAGTCAGGAACTTGGTTTTGAGAAGATGGTAAATATGCCTCAGCCAGTTGAAATGGGGTTGAGTGATGAGACATATCATGATAGGGTTAAAATGTTTTAAGAGGAGGAGTGTACGGAACATAGATTGCAAATTGGCTGTAGTTAGATAAATTCATCCCATATAACCTTAAATGTTCATTCTGTTCACAAATTTTGCTAATACAAAAAGAGGGCTATTATTTTCTTCAAGATGGGATATTCTTGTAATTTTTTAGTGTGATAAGGCAGTTTGAGGTGGGAATAGGACAGTTTTTAGTTAAAGGTGTGGGATTATGAAGCAAAATATGGGACCCCTTCTTCTGTGTTTAGATTTTGAATGGTACATTTGGTCAATTCTACCAAAATCAGGTAGTGGAAATATCTGTAAAATGGCCTTCAGAGATTTCAATCTATCCTCTTGAAATTCTTCACCGTTTTGACCTTTTAACTTGAAAGTAATTTTTACTTTTCTGAAATGTGTTAATCTGCAATAGTTTTATTTTCATAACATTTCAGAAATAAACTAAATTGTTGTTGCCTTTTAGGTTGAGGTTAGATTAGCTTCTGTTGTTTTTAGTCTTAGGCTGTGTTTTTGTGATGCATTTAATGACTGATTTTTTATTGTAGTGCCCAGGTCTTTAAACAGTTTTAAGATATCTTAATGAAGATCTGCTTGGTTTTGCCTTAATCCTTTCTTTTTTTAAATATCAATCTGCATCTTTCACTGTATTTTAGCGGGTTGTCTTTTTGTAATCATTTCAGATCTCTAAATTCTGTCAATGAGAAGTATTGAAGTAGTCATGCGTTGTAATATTTGTACGGATGACTTGAGTACCTAGTAATTGAATCTGTTGCAGGTTCTGTGACCTTGATTACTCTTTTGTGTTTGATTAACGAGTCTGTACATCTCCAGAATTATATGCAACAGCCACCTAAAAGGAACATTTGCACCTTATGCAGTACTAAGGCGTATTGATTTTTTTTTATCTTTGTATTAATAAAAAATGTTTTCAAGGAGCCTTGACATTGATTTTTGTGAAACACTGTTGTAATGTATAATAAGTAATTTATAATAAGGACACAAAATGGGGTCAGTGCCGTAAATGACTGGAGGTTTAAGTATTGGATTGGGAGAATGTGATGGCTTTTTTTCATCCATGCCTATGTTGTTGCTCTTAGGGAAAAAATGCAAACATTTTGTGCAAGTCTGAGTACCTAGTATAGTAGGACCAAAGAGTTCTCTTGGAATAAAAATGGTTAATGAACCCTACAGGGAAAATGAGAATGCTATGAATGTTTATGAACTCCAGGATGGATGTCCTGTGATTATAAGCCTTATCCTGAATATTTTAACGCTGTATCTGTTTTTCTTTACCTTCCAGTGAATGGTAGTGTCTAGAAAGGGTATGTCCCTTCAGGAGAGAGGTGCCAATGTCCAACCGGCCTAATAACAATCCAGGGGGGTCACTGCGACGTTCACAGAGGAACACTGCTGCGGCCCAGCCACAAGACGAAGCAGTCGGAGGAAGGTGAGTGCACTCTCGCCTTCTGTTCTCGTCTTCCTATGGGCTTATGTGGAGGAAACTAGGGGCTGTGTCTTCTCAGTTTAATAATCCTCTATTTCAATTCTTTTCACAAGAAAAAGAAGGGCGAGCTGCACAGAATAGATGCCACACAGTAATTTTAGAAAATGGTAATGTGGTGCAGTTGAACAGAAAGTGTTTCTCATCTGTCTATGCAACCTGATCTTGGAATGTTTTTACTTAGCAACCACTAATTAAGCGAGTTTAAGTCTTGGTGGTGATGAAGGGAGGGGGGGTTGATTGCCATTATTAACAGTTCAATACATTTTGGGATTGTGTCCTTACCACCAACTATGCTTTTTACAAATTCTAAAAACTGGACATTGAGGGGGAATGTTAGTAGTGTGGTTGCAGTATTTTTGTTCTCTTTGAGGCATTAATTTGCCCTCTTGTTACCTGGTCTTCAATTTTCAACCTTACAGGTTGCAGTCAGAGCAGGTAAATCATAAAGCAAATACCCCTCCTGAGAATAGAAGACCTATTTCTAAGGCTTCAAAAGTGCAATCCAACACTGTCTCTGGAAAATCCAGAGGGCACAGCTCTAGAAGGTACAGCACCTTTGTCATTGTTTCAGAAATGTGTTTTGAAACTCGGATGTAGCTCTCTAGTGTTGCCTAATCTACTCAGAAGTAACTCTCTAGATAAACTGCATAATGTATATTGTACTTTTTAATAACCTTTTACAGCTAAATGAGTATATGTGGTTTCATTTAAGAAGACAGCTCTGTTGAAAATTAACATTTATACTCCTTTCTTCTTTCTAGAAGCGGTATTTCGTCGTCGGCACCATTAGTGCAGCAAGAAGACCCAGATACAGCTAGTACTTCAGAGAGAGACAAAACAGGACAGACGTCCAAGAGAGACGGGTCCCGTGGATTTAAACGTAGTTCAGGTCCAGAAAATAAGGGTTCATACTCTCCCAGCCCTGCCAAAAAGCCCAAAGCACTTCAGCCCCCTGAGAGCTCTTCAGAGGCGAAGAGAGGACAAGCTAAATCTAAGAAAAGACAGTTGGCGCAAGACCAGCAGCTGAAACCTGAGCAGTCTGCATCAACGAGCAAGGCCCACAGCAGAAAGAGTGGAGCTACTGGGGGATCCCCGTCTCAGAAAAGAAAAAAGATTGATATTTCCTCCAATTTAAATAGTGGTTCTGGGGCTCATTCAACCCGTCCTGAGGAGAGGCCTGCAAAACCCACCAAGCTGGCTTCAAAATCAGTGACCTCAGCCAAAGCTGGGTGTAGCACTGTCACGGATTCTTCCTCTTCAGCCTCCACTTCCTCTTCTTCCTCCACTGCTGCCTCCACAGCCGTACCTCAGGGCGCCCGGGTGAAACAAGGGAAAGACCAGAACAAGGCCCGGAGGTCCCGGTCCGCCTCCAGCCCCAGCCCGCGCAGGAGCAGTCGCGAGAAGGAGCAGAACAAAACTGCTGGCTCCTCCAAGTTCGAGTGGGCTGCCCGCTTCAGCCCGAAAGTCAATTTGCCCAAACCAAAACTGTCTCTGCCGGGCTCTTCTAAGTCAGAGACTGCAAAGCCTGGGCCTTCGGGACTTCAAGCCAAACTAGCAAGTAAGTTTTTGCTTTCAGCAGTTCTCACTATCAACTGTACATGTGGTGTCTAGCCACAGCACAAAACATCCAGGTGGTCTGAACACTGTGTTATGGCTCAGTGTCAATATACAGAATGTTTATATTTGTGTTTTTGGATTTGAGACCCGTCTTTTTGTTCAGGTTATACACTTGGCATGCAGAAAGGACCACTGCATTGAGTGTAGCACTGGTGTACTCAAATAGGTTTTTTGATTACATGAATTGCTGTGTGTGGCTGGAAGCAGTGCTTAGCCATATCTGCCACAGCCACTGAAGGAGAACTTGGCTTTATGGAAATTGCCATCAGCTGAAAGCTAGCTTGAGTTTCACTTCTCAATATCACTGATTAATCTTTTCTTAGCAGGCTGGCTGGGAGCAGTGATCTAAAAATAAGGGGATCTGGCAGGCTTACAGTAATGTATAGATCACAACATTGGGTGCATCGGCGTAAAAAGGGTATTTTTTGACTGGGACATGTGTTTTTGATAAAAGATATGGGTAGAGTAATATATGTTAGCAACAAAATTGAGGATGTATATAAAAGTCAAGGAACTGGAAGAAATATTACTGCATTTCAGAGGGTGTGCCATTTCAGTATGCACTTCTAATAAAAAATCTGCCTTATCACTGACCCACAAACCAAATATTACTTTTAATATTGCTTTTATTCAACAGTAAGCAATATTAAAGGTTCTTCTCAAAAGACCTGAGCTGGTAGACTTTATCATTAGAAATGAGTAAAAACTAGTAGTTGCTTTATAGTTATTTTCTTTTGCTCTTCCCAAAGTTGAGAAGACTGGGCTATGGTATGCTTGTTCCAATTGAGGTTTAGCTAAAATGTTTCTGGCTCTACTGTTACTTGTTTTTCTTACAATAGGTTTTATTCAGAATGTAGCACAATTGTGATTTGTTGACTGAGAACTCTCACAAGGTTTTGAAAGTTGACTTAAAATTTCTATTTTGAAGAACTTGTAGTTGCAGGAATGTAAACTGGGTCTTTTATGACAAGTAGATGTGGGTGAGTGTCTCTTATTTAATTAAGTAAATGCCAAAAATAGTCTGTTAGTGTTGCTGTACCATTTGTCTCGGATTAATTTCATCACCTTATTGTGAGTGCATTTCATTAGCTGTCTTCTATTTTGGGGACTTAAGGTCTTGATTTAGGATATAAGATTATTTTATTACAGATATAAAAATCCCACAAATCCTGTAAAAACAGTTTTTATTTAGTTCTGGTTTATCCTTCACTTGTTTACACAGGCAGGATAAGATGCAGACTTTGGGTTCATGAGGGTTATATGTATATTATGCATCACTGAATGCTTATGTTGCTCCCTGAAATTCTCAGTCTGTTTGGTTCTTGCTCCTGTTGTGTGTTTTAAGTAGTCACATTTGGGCATCTCATTACTAACACTTGTCTAAATTTTTGCATACTTATGCATTATAAAGGCTTCACATTTGAGATGTTCTGTTAGCTTGTCAAGCTGTTTGCAGAGTTAAATAGCATACATAGCATAGTCAGGATAATCACATACTTCAAAAAGTGATGATTGCTTTGTGGTTCGTATTTACACTCTGTACATTCACAATTATGCATTTTTTATTGTGTATTTCTACTTACTATTATTAGTTCCTGCCTAGCGCGCCTTTCTTGCTGGGATAGGATCTGGCTTTCTCACAACCCTGTATTGGCTAAAGTGGTTAGAAAATGGATAGATTATTTTAAGTACAATCATTTCAGTGTTTTAAAAAAGAAACTTGTCTGCTGGAAAAACAGCTGTCTGTATGAATTGGCCACTCCTGTGAAAGCACTGGAGCCATTTACATTTCAAAAGGATATGCTTCCGTGTGCAGCTTTCCTAATCTGATCAGTCTTCAGAAGGGTTAGGGATGATATTTATTTTAAAAAAATGGACATTTAATTTCAAGTAGCACTCAAGTTGTAGCTCATCCTGCTAAAATGTGACATTTGGGTTGCTACTTAATGTCCTGCTTTTCAAAGATCTTTCACTGACCCTAAAAGTATAAAATATTTAGTAAAAGATTTTGGAAAATATATTTTCATTGTATTTCTTCTGAGAAATCTAGATTGAAAAATATTTTTAATCCATTGATTTAAATTGCAATTTAAAATGCGTCCTGCTTTGTCTTTGTTCCATAGATGTTGTAGCTGACAGCTGAATTATATATCCTGATGATGGTTACTTGTGATGTGAAGAGACCATTTTAGACTGTAACATACTTTGCTTGTGTAGTCATAATATTTGGGAAACGTTTGTGCAAAACTGGATTAATACGTAATTAAGCAATGATGTATACAGGCATTTGAGGAGTAGTATGTGCCAATGGGTGTCTCTTAAATGTGTCATATGTTTTGCAGAAGTGAACAGTCCAGATTTCACTGGCTTTTCTTCAAGTTTTTTTTTGTCGTCTTGAGGCTGTCATGCAAGATAGAAGAAATTCCTTAATTGGAGGGTAAATCCCCCATTTCTCTAGTGGTGTACACCTGGCTAGAATTGTTGTTCTCCCAACTGTGCCTGTGTTACTTAATTTTGAGCAGCTCACATCTGATCTGATCTTTTATTGAGCAATGCTTTAAATTTATCTGAGATTTCTTTCAGCAGTCTGGGATCTGCAGCACATTACAGATGATTCATGAGCATGTAGCTTTAATGAATATAGCTGTATTAAGTGATGCCTTCCTCATCTTAAGGGTCCAATGGTGTTAGCTTGCCTATGTAAATAGATTCTTAGACTGATAGTGTTTAGAATGTTTAATAGTGAATGATTTTAAAAATAATACTTTTATATTGCTTCCCAAGGGAAGTACGTAACAGTTACTAAAAAATGGTTTAAGGCAAAACCCCAAGCTTCTGCAGTTCAAAGCAAAACGTACTGATAGGATATAATGGCAGTACTAGCATCCCTCTGAAATGAACCTTTCCCAATGGCAGTATGCATCACTTCAAATAGAAGGCAACCCAATTGGGGCCAAAAAGTCACACACAAATCAGCTGAAATGCTATCAGTGCCTGGTGATTTACCCCTTGTCCCTTCTAGAACCATCTTCTTTAGCTCAAAAGAGAAAATAGGGACTTGCAGTATAGCCACCTCTGCAGGAGAAATACTAGATGGATGATCAGAGAAACACAATACAATTTTCCTGGTCATTTTACATGTCTGAATTATTAAAAAACAGGTCGAATTTGGACTTTAGCTGCATAGAACCAGACAGCTATAATTCATGTGCTGTTCGATTGGTAGGAAGTATCTGTTTAAATGCGTGTATTGCTGCTGACTCTCAAAGCTAATGTTAGGTTTGACGGGCGTTAAGATGTAGAAATTGAGCAATCAATATCAAACAGTTCTCTTCTTAGATAAGTTTATTTTGTGATACAGTAGCTTCAGAAACTGTTGTGTTTAGTAATTTTATAGAGAGGATTTATGCAGTTGAGACAAATACTGTAAAATTATCTAATTTGATGATGATCCTTTAGAATTGTGGGGGTTGTTAACCCAACCATTTTTAAAATCAGGTAATTTCTTCAGTTTAGCTTGAAACTGTCTGACGTGGTACATTTTATAAAACTGTGGTATTGAACAGTAGAGTGGCACAGATCTACAGAAACTGGCATGGTGGTCTGATGGTGACAAGGGTGTAGTTTCAGATTTTTATGTTAGAGCTTGAGAGGTAAAAAATATGGCTAGTAACCGAAATAACCGAAAAAAACTTGACATAATAAATTTCCCAAATCACGCACCCAGCCACACAGATCACACAGATAACACCCAGTTCAAACACTCCGATTACACATTCTGTTTTTCAGCGCTGTAGATGATACAAGTTGGGCATTTGTATCTTCAGCTTTGAATTGTGAACTATGTGATTCATGAAAGCATTAATATCTGCGCCCAGAATCACATGGAAATTCACCAGTTCTAACAGCAAATTGACTACTGTTAGGAAAATCTGGTTTGAATTTTGTAGAGGCATACATTGAAACAAACATTTCTATTAAATGTTCGTTTACAAATGTGTTGATGTACAGACAAAATGTGAACCTTGAGTTTTATTGATTTTATTAGTTTTAAAAGTATACCTTCTAGTTTAGTTTTATAAAGTATATAAAACAAACATGTGACTTAAAGAAAACATTACCCACTGTCTGTAAATGTTTTTAACTTCAAGACCAGTAACAATTTTGGCATCAAGCACGCACAGACCTGATCTGCCTCTGAGTAGACTGCTTTCAGACGGTTTACCAGCTCACTGGTAAAGATTGGACAGTTGAGTTGACTCAACTCGGTAGACACAAGACCCCGAATGGAAGTTGTGCCATTACAGGTTTAGCATTCTGTGGTCCTGAATTACCTTGCAGGCAGATGGATTGTAGGACAAGGAAAGTGGTTGGCTCAGGGATGACCCTTGCTGAGCAGTAAAGATGCCTTATGTCATTTTTGCATCCATAGCTTTCAACTTCAGCTCTCACTGATACCCCTGAACACTCTCCTCGCATGTAAATCCGCTTATTGGTGGCAACAAGCTAGAGTCTGCTGATGCGTGGGTTCTGTCTTTCTGGAATTCCCTGTGGTGCAGCCGGTGCAGTCCGGAAATAGTGACATCAGGTGGGGGTGACGGTCCTTGTCCAGTGTGGCAAACCTCTGCGTGATCCTCACAGAGATGTTATACTAGTTTCTCTGCATTGTTTAAATGAAATCATGTCTTTTAATGACTATATATTGAATGACTTAACAGCTCAATTATGATCATTTAAACTTAGCTCAAAGTCCAAACACTAAGCACCTGGCTTTATGAAAACACATGGTAAAGAATTTGTATTGATATTCCGTTCTAATGCAGTAGTTGGGGTCCATTTGTAGGAGATTGTTTGGGGGGTTGTTTGTGTTTAACATTGTAATGACGTTTGGCATTGCTGTTCCCTGAAGTGCTTTACACTGCTCACAAGCTAAATTAATAAAAAAATAATAAATTAAATGTAATTTAAACCACAGTTACACAAGCGTTTTTAGCCTTTAACCCCTATAAAACCAATGCATAGTAGTAATGCTTCACATTTCTTTGTGTAACTGTTTCTGCAGTTAGGAAACAATATGGTACAAGCATTAACAAATGCTGTATATTCTAGTTTCAATTTGTTTACATGCAACAGTGTTAAAATGACAATAAAACAATGCTGTAGGTTTTTTCAAACTGATATGGGCACCCACTAATAGCTTTGTCTGACTGCAAGTTGGGGAGCCTCTGCTTAATGATTGCATTTACTGTTTTTCCTTATATTAATCCTAAAACTAAAGGTGCCATCTTCTTGTTTTATAAAACAAAAATCCTGAACATTTTCATGGTGAGCTGAACTTCAAAGCAGGACCATTTTAAAGAAAATGGAATTGTAAATCCTTCTGCATGGTGTAGACCAGGGGGGGTCTGCAATCTTTGTCCCTATCCGGCAGATCTTATAAATTACCATTTTCTTGGAACAATATTTTTGTGATCTGTAAAGCAGATTTGTTAATTTACATAATTTAGGGATTGTAGCCTTCATCTTCCAATTAGCAGGGTTCTCTTAATTGGACAGATTAGGTCCCTAATTTGTTACATAGAAGTGTACCTGATCTTTAGAAACCAATGGACTGGTGCTGTCCTTGACTTACGTTGGTGACTTGTTGCAGTCTACACAAGATGTATCTGGTTGGAAAATGCTGCTTGGCTTTCAACTGTTGTCATTCTGTGTACCACTCCTAGTTTCATTTTGACCAATGTTTTAGGTTTCTGTTGTGCGAGGCGCCTCATGCAGTTTATCTGAAGTGAATGAATGGCATAGTCACAGCTGTGCATTCTGCTGGAAATGGAAGCCACAACCCTACTGTTGTAACTAGTCCCACACTATAAAAGCTCACATTACGAATTTATATATATAAATTCACATCTGAAGAAGGCTCCACAGCCGAAACGTTGTGTTCTCTTTCTTCTTTTTTTCACCATGGAATAAACCTATTACTTGTTCCTTAATAATTTATATGGCAACTATCCAATGTTCTGGTAATATAGTAACTGTTGTAGACGAATTCATGAAAAATGTTTTTTTTAAGTTTCTTAGTTTATGTGAAACTAATATCTTTTGTGGAACTGTTCATATTTTACTTTATACTGCTACAACGTACATATTATTTTGTGCACAAGGCCAGATTGAGTAAAAGGCTTGCATCAGCTAGATGAGATATTAGCCTATAAATCTTACCAGAAGCTATACGGATACTACTCGCATGCATGAATCTCAACTGGCATAACAGTTACATAGGTTACAAAACAGCTTTCATAAACTTCCTTTCCACTTCAGTGCAGTGTAGTGATACGAAGTACAGGATTAAGAATTGTAAACTACAGGACAATTTTAACCATAACAAGAATATTATTAGTGTTGATCTAGATTTTGTTCTCCTTTAGATAAAAAATCAAATATGTGCATTGAGCACATTAGTTTTGAAAAAGATTAAAATATTACTTCTTCGGCAGGATAGTAAAGGCTTCTTGCTTTCGTCAAGATTTATATAGCTTTATTGTAGTTGTAAATCTTCAGTATTCAATGTGGGGCCAAATTGAGGACTGCCAGAAAAACATAGGCCTTTTTTAAATGAATGACTTTTACTTTATTTTATTAACTGCAGTACGAACTCAGTTTAAACATCGGCCTATATTAGACATTTTTAGTTGACCACTTAAGATATCAAATTTTTTATAGATCTGATGCATGAAATGCATTTGCATACTGTATGGGCTAACTTAACACGTGCTTTTGTGTGAAATCTATTTGGGATCTATCTAATTTTGGGATTTTCACAAATATTAGGCTTACTGTGGGAGATGCTTTTAGGTACAATGCAATACCAGCTTATAAAAAAGCTCTAAGTTTTATGAACAGGTACTGTGCGATTATACAGTATGTTGCAGAATGAGAAACCTGATATGCATACAGCAGTCTGCTGAAGTTGCTTAATCTCTGGGCTTTATTTTTTTTCCTCAGGCTTAAGAAAGTCTACAAAGAAGCGCAGCGAGTCCCCACCAGCAGAGCTCCCCAGTTTAAGGCGGAGCACACGCCAAAAGACCACGGGCTCCTGTGCTAGTACCAGGTACAAATTTGGTGATTATACAGCGTTGCAGTGCCTTGATAACATTAATAAACAACTTCATTTCTTAAACTTCACAAAGCATTTTAAGTTGGTCAAAGTTTGCGGCCCTGCTAACTGTATTAGCACTTGTACTGGAAGAAATTATTACTATTGCCATGCAGAAAAGTCAGCATAACCCACACAAATGGTTCAAATTTACTGTGTAGGTACCTCAAAAAGAGCCCTTATTTGAAGCTGTTTTTTACTTGCTCTTTCAGCAAATTAAGAAAACAATAAAAAATGCCCTTGTTTGTACAGTATGGCTCTAGTTTCCTAAGTGAGATGTAGCTTGTGCTGCTAGCCTTGCACATTGTTAAATTATTCTTTGACGCAAACATTTGTTAGAGGATGTGGTCGGACCCAAGAGATTCAGTTTTGTCTGCCTTACATACGCAGTTACCTTATTATGAAGTAAACTTTGTATTTAATAACATGTGCACTGTGTGTATTAAGCAGCTTGAATCATACTGTGCCATGAAGAGCAGAATAAGGTTATGCTTTACAGGTTACTGTTAAAGGATGCACTTGTGTATGTAATGGGAGGAATTTTAATGGGGCAATTGGAAAAGATGTCGCAGTGTCCTCTTCCTTTGTTAAACTCTTGGCGATCGTTATGTACCCTGTTTCAGTCGGCGAGGCTCTGGCCTGGGCAAACGCGGGGCAGCTGAAGCCCGCCGACAGGAGAAAATGGCAGATTCTGACAACAACCAGGATGGAGCCAATCCTTCAGCTGCACGCACAGATGAGGCACCTCAAGGAGCAGCAGGTAGTTTTAGTGCACGCCCTTTCTGTAAACGTTACGCCTGTTATGGCGTCTTAGGAGTGGAATGGAGTATTGTCTTTACCATGTAGTGTTATTTTCAGGTTTCATATGAACAAGTGGCTTTTCCTCTTATGCAGGCCTGATAGTTTTCAGTGGCTGAATACCCAGGTGATTTTAATTCAGCACATGTTTTCACTGGTTCTTTAATTGTGAGGTTTTATGATTGAAATAAGCTGAAAACCAACACTTTAAACATCTTATTGTCTTATGTCTAATGACAGTCTTGGTTTGTGGAATCTGAAATATGAAGACTTGTTCTTGTCAGGGCTAGCATGGTAAAAACCTTACTTAGACTGGATTCTTTAATTATGGTCCAGTCACTCTTCTTTATATTGTACTACAAGTCATCCCAGTTTTTGTAATTTGCTGAGATAGTTATGGATGTGCTGTGTATTATGACTGATTTTAGCTTATGTCAGTCCAACAGAAATAGCTGAGACTCGGCCTGTGCTTCTGGAAACCCATAAATAAATCTCATACGCTGTGGCTGGACAAGTGGCTTGTCACATTCTACAATCACAAAACCTTTCTTCTTAACTTTCAGCTTCTAGCTCTGTGGCTGGGGCTGTGGGAATGACAACATCTGGAGAGAGCGAATCGGATGACTCAGAAATGGGCAGACTACAAGGTAGAAACAGTAACCTAATTTCTAATTTATTAGCATATAACTTGTGTTTTAATATTTTAAAACCATATAAATCAACCAAGGTATTTCCTAATTTTTTGAAAGTGGATTTCTTCATGATTGTCGGTGGTGTCAATTTGTGCAACCTATACCTTCTTGAATTTACGTAATATTTTCCCCAGCTCTCCTTGAGGCACGGGGTCTTCCTCCTCATCTGTTTGGTCCTCTGGGTCCTCGGATGTCCCAGCTATTCCACAGAACGATAGGAAGTGGGGCGAGTAAGTACTGTCTTCTTCTCTGAACTACTAAGACATTGATGATGAAAACCCACAATGATCAGGACGTGTACTGTCAGAACTGTCAACCTTATTGGGCTAGAAAAAATCTATCTGTTTTAATTATACAGTTGCCTCCCTATACTATCTGTACAGTTTTTACTTGAGCCCCATTTTAAACAATGAAACAGCATGCTGTTTGTAGTATAGAGGTAAGATAATAAGTTCTGCATCATGCTAGCATATATCATTAGAGCTGCTAAGTTTAGTATGTGTCTAAATAGCAGGTAACTTAACTGTCTTGCAGGTTCCAAGGCTCAGCAGCTCCTTCAGGGCCTGCAGGCTACAGGTGATGAGTCTCAGCAGCTCCAGGCAGTCATTGAGATGTGCCAGCTACTGGTGATGGGCAATGAGGAAACGTTGGGTGGATTTCCAGTGAAGAGTGTTGTACCAGCATTGGTAAGAAAATGTACCATTTTGGTAAATAATGCTATGCAGAGAAAACAAAAGAAGTGCAAACTAAGAATGATAGTTTTAATTAAAAAAAATGTAAACTAGGGAGTTTGAAATGAAGAACATAACACTTGCTAGTAATAGTCTGAGGAAAGTATGTGTATTTAGTGCTGTTTTGCCTTTTGTTCTCTTTTTTTAAATGATTTACAATGTTTTTACGATTTTGATTACGATGATTTACGATGTTGTTTTTTCACAGATAACCTTGTTGCAAATGGAGCATAATTTTGACATTGTAAGTTTTCTTCCATAACATCTTTTGAATGTGTAGCTTTAAATACATTTTAAGAGAAAGCTAAAAAAGCTTCAATACATATCATGTAAAATAAAATTAAGAAATGCTGTGCTTTGTTCTTTGCAGATGAACCATGCATCCAGAGCTTTGACTTACATGATGGAAGCGCTGCCCAGATCATCAGCTGTGGTGGTTGATGCTATTCCAGTCTTCCTGGAAAAGGTTAAAAAAGTAAAATTTGTGATTAATATGTTTGGTATTCAGCTAATTGAGCTGTATGAATATTGCTCTTGGGTCCAACTCCTACAATGTCTGGATCAGTTTGACCCTTGATCAGTTTATAAGTGTTTTTCAGTTCCATCTGATACTATGTTCTGCACTTATTAATCTTTATTTCCTTGAATTATTTAAGCTTTAAGTAGTTTTTGTGGTAAGTCTTTTCCACTACCAGTCCTGGTAACATTCTTCACATACATTTAATTCAAAATCCTTTATTAAGTTTGAGCTGGCCTTAGTCGTAATCCATAGTTTAGTTTTCTTATTTTACAAAGTTACTGTTGAGGACTTGGGCAAAGAAGAAACTAGAACTCTGTGGGTCTCCACGACTAGATTTAGGTAATGCTTGTTTAACATACCAGTGTTTGTTGTCTCTCCTCAGCTCCAAGTCATACAGTTTATTGATGTAGCTGAGCAGGCCCTAACAGCTCTGGAAATGTTGTCACGTAGACATAGCAAGGCCATTCTGCAAGCTGTAAGTATATTTAAAGAATTGATTCCGAGCTGGACAATCTATACTGTTCTTCACACAAAATATGATGTGCTAAAGTATTTCACTATGTATGTGTAGAGCCCTGCGGCATCAAAACAAGAAGTTTCCAGTGTCCACACAGAAATTAGTGCACCAGTGGTCCAAATGTGACGGGCTTTCCAAGTTGCATTGTGTCAAGCTTCCAGATGTAGTTGTTTGGGAGGTCATCTTTTGTTCAGAGGTGTTCAGAATTTGTTAGTAATCACGACTGCCATAACATCACTTTAAATATAAACGTTTTAAATTTAAATTTGGTAGCAAAACAATGTTTTTGTCTTGAGGAGCGATGTCTTAAAGAAAGCAGTACATAAAAATGGTTTTAAGTGGACAGGACCAAAGTTTTCAATCCTTATAGCACAGAAGTGCATAATAAACTTTAAATAGGTGACCGCAAACCTTCAGAGGCAATCGGCAGAAAGGCTAGTTTAGGTGTTTAATTCATCCTCCTGCCAGTGTAGAGTTCAGTGTATACTATAAAAGGTATAAAGTGAAGCTTTGAGCAGAGATTTGGGATTTGTGCTAGTTCCTGCCTTTAAAGAAGTGTCAGACTCTGGTCTCTCTCTCTAGTCCTCAATTAAGAAGTTACTTGATTTTTTGTGTTGTATATTGTCTTGTCATAGTAAACTTTCTCATGAACTATATCAAATATCAATAAATATAAAGAAAGAGAAGACAAGTGAACACTAAAAGCAGATCTGTTTAGTAGTTATTCTGGAAATAACTATTGATAGTGCTTTAGACTAACTGTAGTAACCTTAAAATATAACTTCGTCTTAATTATTATAAATCTGTTAAAACCAAAAAATATAAGATGCTATGATGAACTTTATCTTTCTTAATCTTAAGTCTGTTTGTATTAATAAAGCATGTTCATGTACATTATCTTCCTTTTTTCTTTATTGTAGGGAGGGTTGGCAGACTGTTTGCTTTACCTTGAGTTCTTCAGCATTAATGCACAACGAAATGCTCTGGCTATTGCTGCCAATTGCTGCCAGAGTATCACTCCTGATGAGTTTCACTTTGTTTCGGATTCACTGCCCTTACTAACACAAAGGCTAACCCATCAGGTAGGAAAAATCTTGGGGCCTATTGCACAATTTAGCTTACTTTTGATCCACTGTACAAGTCAAGGACATATATGGATATTCATATCCAATATCTTCATGGTCAGCATTGTAAATTTCTGAGCACTACAATAATAGGAAAGATATATTTACTCAGATTAGCTCTAGCTCTTTTTTAGCTTTTTTTTTCTGGTGTGTGGATTGCTTATTATCAGTTTTTCAAACTAGTCTTCATTATGACCATAATTACATTAAAAGATGCAGAGCAGAAAGTTTCATTACCTTATGTGAATAACTTTGTTTTACAGGATAAAAAATCAGTTGAAAGCACTTGTCTCTGTTTTGCCCGGCTTGTAGACAACTTTCAGCACGAAGAGGTAAGTTGGATTTGTATTGGTTTTTGAAATTCTGATTAAGATGTTAACTGTTAGTGTATGCCACCTTCGGTAAATTAAATTTTGTGCCTGAGATTATAATTTCTCATTTAACAGAACCTGCTGCAACAGGTAGCATCTAAGGATCTGCTGACTAACATCCAGCAGCTCTTGGTTGTGACTCCTCCTATCTTGAGCTCAGGAATGTTCATTATGGTGGTACGGATGTTCTCCTTGATGTGTTCCAATTGCCCCAGCCTGGCTGTGCAGCTCATGAAACAGAGTAAGTGCTTTTGTGAGTGAATGGTAGCATTGGATTATCGTGCCATCGCTGTTAAATGTCATTACTTTCTGCTCTTTAGAGGTATTATTTATATGCTGTTCTTAGTTTATAATAAACATTACAATGCAAGAATGTTAAAAGTGTTGATTTACTTCCAGATATAGCAGAAACTCTGCGCTTTCTCCTCTGTGGTGCTTCAAATGGCAGTTGTCAGGAGCAGATTGACCTGGTTCCAAGGAGTCCCCAGGAACTTTACGAGCTGACGTCTCTTATTTGGTAAATTACCCAGTAGAGAAAAAAATTAAGCTGCGGCATATTTTAAGATCTGTAATGTTATCTTCAAGTCACATATATACTGAGAATAACATTGTTTAGCTGCTTAACATTTCACATTTTAGCACACAATGAGAATTAAACCTATTCACGGAAAATGTAATAATTATTTTGTATGTTTATTGTGCGTCATCATATTTTAATACACTATTGGTTAAATGTGACTGTGCTGGCAGAGCTATCTGTAAGAGTAACATTATTACTTTAAAAGAAATGTGAATAATATAAAATATAAGTTCTATGTATTAGGACTTGTGCTGCCAGTACTAACTTCAGTCTCTTATTTCAGTGAGCTCATGCCATGCCTTCCCAGAGAGGGCATCTTTGCAGTAGACACAATGCTGAAAAAAGGAAACACTCAAAACACAGACGGTGCTATCTGGCAGTGGAGAGATGACAGAGGCTTGTGGCATCCTTATAACAGAATTGACAGTCGGATAATAGAGGTACATTTTATATTGAATAAACAAAAGGCTGGTTTGCATTTACTGTGTATGCAGTTGATTTTAGAATACCTATCTTAGAGGTCTGTGCTAGCTTAGATGAGAATTAGTTGGTTAGAGAAAATATTATTAAAGAAATGGGGACACTTCACGAATCTAGGCAATCACACCTTTTGTTTTTGTGCTTGTAATTGATGGTACGTTTACCGAATCTCGATTGCAAGCCATCCCTTTAACACTTTTCATCATGTGTAAGGCAGGATTTGCTGGTTATTCTTTAAATTCATAGGCACAGGCTTAATTTAGCAAACCTTCTCTTCTGGTCTTGTTGGGTGACTTTCAGGTACTTAGCAGTATTGAGATGGCAAATGCAATTACTTATATACAAGATGAAGGTTCTGTTTTAGAACACTATCTTTGTATATGTTTCACATACATTAGGTATGGCCTTAGTAGGTTTTTATTTCTAAATTGTTTTTGAGTCGGCACACATACCCTACTGTTTATACATTGCTTTATAGACATTCACTGTCCCAGGATGTACGTTATAATACAATACTGGAGTTTCAGCAAAGTCTGAGTATCAAAACCTCTTAAGCACAAAATGGAGCCCCAGGTTCTGCATTGCCATATTCTTTAGATCAGCAATGGTTTTTAATTACAAGTAATGCAAAAGTAAAATATTTAAATGAAAAAAATTAATGACACGGAATCAGGGTTTTTATTACTTTTCCGATTGGAGAAATGTTTTGTGATGTAGTATGCAGGTATGCATACTAACATATTTAAAGGGTTCATATTGAGTTAGAGTTGCCATGAAAGACATTTATTTGAGTAAATCTTCTGTGATTCTAAAGAGTTCTTACTAAAGTTTCCCAGCTAGATTCTCGGTGCTTGTATTTCATAGATGAATTGACCCTTTCTCTTATCTTTCTGCTCGCAGACAGCTCATCAGAATGGTGAAGACGAAATTAGCTTGTCCACACTCGGACGTGTTTATACTATTGATTTTAATTCTATGCAGCAGATCAATGAGGATACAGGAACGGCGCGAGCCATTCAGAGAAAACCTAACCCTTTAGCCAACCCCAACACTAGTAAGTTTCAACAAATGTAATACTGTTACATTGATCAGTACCTAATAAATAAATTAAGTAAGAATGTCGTTTATCAGCTGTTCATATGGTCTTATTGCTGGCAAGGTTAGTAAAGCGGTGATGGTTTAATCCCAGCAGAGGTGCAATGCTGAAAATAATTTTCATATTTAAGTTTCAAAGCTTTTTCTTGCCATGATATGCTGTGGATATTCACCAAATATGCTTGTATTGTCTGGTTTGTAATAGAGCACATTCTTTTTATCTTTATTGAAAGTATTCTTGGGATTTGACATCTCCAGGTTTTAGTATTATAAATCCAATGAAGGAACTACCTCTTGTTACCCGTCACCCGAGAGGGGTAGGTTGTTGTGCTGTAGCAAATTTATTGGGATTTGATTGAGCACTTCATTATTTAAAAAAAATTAAGTGCATTACACTCTCATAAATATTACATGCCATATTTAATCAGGTAGTGGAAATCTTCTTTTCATGCTGGATTTTCGGATGGTGACACCACCTTTAATTTTTGTTTTGGTTTTTCCTCCTAAGGTGGACATTTGGAAGTGAAGAAGGAAGATGCTAGGGCACAGCTGATGAAAGAAGACCCCGAACTGGCAAAATGCTTTATAAAGACTTTGTTTGGTGTCCTTTATGAAGTGTACAGCTCCTCAGCTGGGCCTGCGGTCAGACACAAGTGCCTTAGAGCAATTCTTAGGATTATTTATTTTGCAGATGCAGAACTCCTAAAAGATGTGCTAAAAAACCATGCTGTATCTAGGTGTGTATCTAATGTTCTAGTTTGAGCAGCAAACTTTAAAAGGTTTAGAATAAGTATTTTTGTTTAGTTCATTAGAAATCATTTCACCACATTACACCATAAAAAAAAATCCATTCGAAAATGAACTATAGTGAAGGGAAGAACCACTGTATATCTCTTCTCAAATGTCAGAGGTGACACTTGCATGTGTCAAAAAGTGAATTCCATATATAAATAGGAATGAGGACATGGCCATGTTTAGCCATTTATCACTGTGTATACATATTAACTTTTTTTTTCTTCTGTATTTCAGTCACATTGCTTCCATGCTGTCAAGTCAAGATCTGAAGATAGTTGTTGGAGCCCTTCAAATGGCAGAAATTTTAATGCAAAAGTTGCCCGATATTTTCAGTGTTTACTTTAGAAGAGAAGGTAATAAAAAAAAAAATACAGGTGTATCTAGCAAATGTGTTTGAAGTATGTTCTTCCAAGTATTGCACACGTTTGTCTGTAGTGTGGGACAGAATTCATATTTTAATTAAGATGTGATGCTAGCTCAAATTCTAGTTGAGGTATTTTACCCTGCTTCAGTAGACCTGTCTACAGCACGAATTCTAGGAAGCCGATATTAATTGTAACAACTTCTGAATCTTAACCTTTTAGTTTATTTCTTAATCTACAGCAGTAGGTTTAATTGGCTGAAACACTGTTAATGTTAATTTAACACTGTAAACTTACTATGTTAAATCATGGTGAGAAATGTGGCTTTTTCTTCTGACTCGGATGTGGTTTTTTTTTGTTTACAAGGTGTAATGCACCAAGTAAAGAATCTGGCAGAGTCGGAGACTTTCCTCACTAGTCCTCCGAAGGCTTGTACGAGTGGTTCTGGAAGTCTTTGTACGACGACAATTAGCACAGCAGCGACTACTGCTGCCACCAATGTGGCTCCTGACCTGGGCTCTCCGAGCTTCCAGCACAGCATGGATGATTCTCTGGACCTGAGTCCCCAGGGGTGAGCAATCTATAGATATACTGAAAAAAATGTCAGAAGATTTTGTTCTAATAATACACTGAAAGTTGTTAAACTAGTGTTTGGCATTTGGTTTTACATAAGGGCATTGTGCTTTGTATTAAACATTTTCTTAACAAGTGTCCAGAAATGAAATTCCCTTTTTTTGTTGTAGCCGGTTAAGTGATGTTTTGAAGAGAAAACGTCTACCAAAGCGAGGGCCAAGAAGGCCCAAGTATTCACCACCAAGGGATGATGACAAAGTTGACAATCAAGGTAAATGTATCTATTAACAAGGGGTAATTAAATGTAAGACTTTCAAATGCTTATCTAAGTTTATCTCACTATTCAAGAAAAGGCTTTGAAACCAAAACAAGAATTTTACTAAACTATGTTTTAATTTTTCAGTAGCTTTAACACGTGTACATTGTACATCATTTAAATTTTAAAGCTAATTTCATGTACTTTTTTGTGCTGTCTTGTAACTATTTTAATGTTTCCTTGACATACTGTTAATTTGGCATAATTAACTGGTGTACAGTCCTGACAACATCTAGACAGCTTTTTAGACTGATATAGTATTTCTTTTGAATTAAAAAAAAATCGCATTTTGTCATTATTATTGTCTTTACAGCTAAAAGTCCTACTACTACACAGTCCCCCAAATCGTCTTTCTTGGCAAGCTTAAACCCGAAAACATGGGGTAAATTAAGTACTCAAACTAACAGCACCAACTCTGAGCCGGCACGCACAGCTGGTGTCAGTGGGCTTGCCCGGGCTCCTCCTAAGGACTCCATTTCTAATAACAGGTACAAGAATGGGTGACATTCAAAAGTATTTTTATGCAGTCAGCTCTCCCCCAAATATTTTCCTTGCATTGAGATTTGTGTAAAGAAGTTTTATTTGCAAAAGACTTATTGTAACAGTGCAGGATGTACTATAGTCTGCTTATTTTGATTCTGTGGTACACCTGAAGTTTTTAAATACTTGATTTATACTGCAAAATAAGTGGAGGTGACTTTTTAAATTAGTTGTTAGACTCAAATGTAAAAAGGGATGACATTCTAGTTTAAAATGTCATGGATTATAATGGCTGCTATAAACACAAGTTAAAAATTATAAGCATGTTTGCAAATATATGCAATAACATTTATAAAGCAGGTGTATCTGACTGAGATATGTGAAAACGTGGATTTTCATTGCTTTTTATTTCCAAGCAAGCTGTGCTTTTAATTTTCTGATAATGAACCTACAAACTAGAGGCACTAGTCAGGTAGAAGTGACTGTAGAGAGAAGAGTAGCTTCAGTAATTTTCAGAATTGAGGAAGTCTGCCATATATGAAGATGTCATGAGTGTAGAACAAATTCCGCATTGTAGGAGACCGCTTTTGAATTTGGTGCTATAATATGAGGAAATAATAGATTATGAATTTAATATTATTTTACTTTCATCTCTGTTTTAATATAAAACCCCTTGCTGTTATCCAGGGATAAGATCAAGGCTTGGATAAAGGAACAGGCCAGTAAATTTGTCGAGCGCTATTTCAACTCTGAGAATGTGGATGCAAGCAATCCTGCATTGAATGTACTACAGAGGCTTTGCACTGCTACTGAACAGCTCAACCTGCAGGTATATTTTTCTAGTCTCATACATGTATAAATATATCCTTAAAAACTGCTGCTGGGATTTACTTTATATTTTCTGTGTCCTGACATGAACTAAATAAGATCATTATTATCCTAGGTGGATGGTGGGATCGAGTGCCTTGTAGAAATCCGGAGTATAGTCTCAGAGTCTGATGTGTCCTCCTTTGAAATCCAGCACAGTGGATTTGTGAAACAGCTGCTGCTTTACTTAACCTCTAACAATGACAAAGATGCTGTCAGTCGAGATGTTCGGTTAAAGAGATTTCTACATGTTTTTTTTGGCTGTCCGGTAAGTCAGTACAGTGTTTACAAGTTCATTCCAATACCAATAAATCTGAATATATTTGAAAAGGCTTAAGGATTGCATCCAGGTATGGTTGGCAGGTCTTTAATGCTAGAAATAAATGTAAATGTTTTTTTTAATGCATACAAAGAGCCCTTCCAATTGTTTAAAATTGCAGCTTTATTTTTCCCCTTGTAGGTGATTTGATTAGTTGAGAATGCTAGTTCAATTAAAAAAACTTCAGAATCTTTTAATCCAGATTTACATGAGTGCTCTACTGAATTTGTATTGTGTTGTTGAGAAGAGCTTGACCTTGTAATGTGTATGCAAAGCATAGTAACTCTCGTATGAGTGAAAACATTTAAGGGTGTCGTGTTCATAGGTTCATGGTAATTAACTTTGCCTGGTTTTGGTAAAGTTTGCAAGGCTATGCTGTAGCTTACATTGTTCAGTTTCTTACTGGACCAGGCAGTTGTCCATGGCTTTTCAAGAGGTCTTCTTTGATATACTTATTCAAATCTATTTTTTACCCACTTGATATTTTGTCTTTCTCTTTGAACTTAGCAATCAGCATGCTTTTTCTGTGTCAGTTATCTTCCTTTCAGAGGAGGGCAGTTGTACTTGGAGAATGAATACTATTGAGGATGAAGCTACTTCCTACAACAGCTGAGTCCAGACAATGTTAATGTTTCAAAATATATAGAGTTTTTTTTAATTGTTTTAACATAGCTGCAGCCAACATTGCAGCTAAATAGCAAACAGTTATGTTAAAAATAAGCTTAAGATAAACATGTTTTCAGGTTCCTGGCACAGAGTCTCCCGGACGAACAGATCCCACAGAAAATGGACCTCTTTTGGCTCTTGTGCACAAAATGAACAATTGTTTAAGTCAAATGGAACAGTTTCCAGTTAAAGTACATGACTTCCCCAGTGGCAATGGAACTGGGAGCAGGTATGTATTATAATAATGGCAAATAAATATGCTATAAATGCATTTGTAGTAATATATATGCACACATTTTTAAGTTCCTCTGTTTACTGGTTTACTAATAAAGTGGATACCTCTAAATATCTGTGTTAAGAATATTTCTACATAATACATAATAATTGATTAAACAGTTATTTATTTTCTTATTTTGAGTAGGTTTTAGTATAATTGTCTGTTACAGCTACTACTTGATGGTTGTACTGGTCCAATAGAGTAAAGTCTCTCTTTTCAAGCTCACCCTCATATCTGTAGTGTTAAGTGAACTGGAGAGCATGCGACTCCACCCATGGATGGGATGACCCCCCCCCCCCCCATACAACAAGGCTGATCCCTACTTGTACTGCTGGTTGGACTTGACTTGAGTAACTAGGATAAAAAAACCCTCACAGGGCTCAGGGGTACAGAAGCAGTATCTGCACAGGCATCTTAAACCCCAAAGTCCAAAGGCTTACCCCAAGTGCTGTGCCACTCCTCACTGGTCCAAACATTAGAAGCAAAAGACTTTATTTTGCACATGATCTCCACATGCGTTTTTAAAGCCCTCTGAAGTTTTACTGTTGTTTTATCCCTTTAAACACGAGTTAATTTAATTTCTTTAATGTTTTTTTTAAACAGAGGATCTCAGGCTCTGAAGTTCTTTAACACCCATCAGCTGAAATGTCAGCTGCAGAGACATCCAGACTGTACCAATGTGAAGCAGTGGAAGGGAGGTCCAGTGAAGATTGATCCATTGGCTTTGGTACAAGCTATTGAACGATACCTTGTTGTTAGAGGTTTGAGCTATTTTGATCTCTTCAAAACATGAGTTCAGATTTTATTTTGTTGTTTGTGTCATGGTGTCTTTAAAAATACTGTTATCTGTTAAGGCTACGGACGAATTCGAGAGGAAGATGAAGACAGTGATGATGATGGTTCAGATGATGAAATTGATGAGTCACTGGTATGTTACAGTTCTTTGCTTTCTTCTGAGGGGTTTAAATGACTCGCTTGTTACAATGTGATGCCTGTTTTTTTTCTCTTGCTTTTACAGGCTGCACAGTTTCTGAATTCTGGAAATGTGAGGCACAGACTCCAGTTTTACATTGGAGACCACTTACTGCCATACAACATGACTGTATACCAGGCTGTCAGACAGTTCAGTATACAGGCTGAAGAGGAGCGGGAGTCCACAGATGATGAGAGCAACCCCTTAGGAAGAGCAGGAATTTGGACAAAGACTCACACAATATGGTATTTTTCTGGGACTTGTATTAAAATATTGAGGTTCATGTGAAAACGAAAAACGCAAGATATGTGGAGGTGATGCTCAGGTCACTTAGCATAATAACATCCATACGTCCACATATGTCCATATATATATATATATGATAGCATCCTTAAACTGGTTAATTCCTTGTAAATTCTCATGTTACTATCATCTTGATTATTTCTGTGCATGAACCTCATATGTAATGTATACAGCAGGATCTAAATCAGGTGGGTTTGTAAAGCCTGTGACATATGAATTGTTTCTCTGTCAGGTATAAACCTGTGAGAGAAGATGAAGATGGCAATAAGGACGTAGTTGGTGGAAAGAGAGGCCGTGCACAAACTGCCCCAACAAAAACTTCACCTCGCAATGCAAAAAAACACGATGAACTGTGGCATGGTAAGAGCTGCCGTAGTGAATGAGTCACGTCTGGTTGACCTCCTCTTTCAATGCTTGAACATAAGATGGGCTGTCTTTTTGTTTTCCAGATGGTGTTTGTCCTTCAGTTACAAACCCGTTAGAAGTTTACCTCATTTCCGAACCTCCTGAATCCATAACTTTTGATGACCCTTCACTTGATGTGATCCTCCTGTTAAGAGTTCTCCATTCAATAAGCAGATACTGGTTTTACCTGTATGATGTGCGTAACAATTGTTTGCTGTAAAGTTCTATAAATGTTATGGATAAAAAGAAAAAAAAGATCCCAGGTCTATTGTACTCAGAAAGCTAGTTTATATGCAGTGCTGATTCAGTTGTGGTCTGTGCTTTATTTGCAGAATGCTGTATGCAAAGAGATTATTCCCACCAGTGAGTTTATCAACAGCAAGCTCACAGCAAAAGCAAATCGGCAGCTTCAGGATCCCTTGGTTATAATGACAGGGAATATACCCTCTTGGCTGACAGAGCTTGGAAAAACCTGGTATGCATGAAAAGCTGTCTCAAACACTGCGTTTGTAAAATTGTTGATATAATCATAATGGTCATAATTCTTTTTTTTCTTTCATTTGTGCTGTTTTTGAGTTTAGGACCTCATTAAGATATTTTTGGTCTTTGTGTAGCGTAGTATGAATGATATTACTGAAATTATACAGCAAAATTAAACTATTGCTAAATTATCCAATCAGATGGACAGTGAGTGATTGTGATGACTGTATCAAAAGTGCTTCCTTAATGGCTTCTAATGATTTTGTTTTTCTTTCAGCCCTTTCTTCTTCCCATTTGACACCAGACAAATGCTATTCTACGTGACAGCTTTTGATAGGGACCGAGCCATGCAGAGATTATTGGACACAAATCCAGAAATTAATCAGTCTGATTCCCAAGACAGCAGAGTTGCACCAAGACTGGATAGAAAAAAGGTTAGATGTTTATTTGGGCAAACACTTAATATTGATCGCAATTGATAGGTGTGCTTTTACTAGGTGTACTTTGCATGTGACCTTGTTCCGGTGGGTTAAATCCTGTTTTATTAAAATTTTAAGCCTGTTTTCTGATGTTTTTTTTTGTCCCACAGCGCACTATAAACCGCGAGGAATTACTGAAACAAGCTGAATCAGTAATGCAGGATCTTGGCAGCTCCAGAGCGATGCTGGAAATTCAGTATGAAAATGAAGTATGTTTGTGGATTTATGTGTTTTCATACAAAAAACTTTTATGTATTGAACCATAAACTAGTTATCTAGTTTAAAATAGAGATGTATTCCAAAAACATTCAGGTTTTTTACATTGCTTACCAAGACTGCCACCCTTCAACACCCAATAAAGGTTTTCAGAAAAATCTAGCAGTGTACCACCTATTCATACAGCCATTGAAGCACAGTACCTACATACATTTTTTCCTCTTTAGTCTTTCTAGAATAGCTGAAATGAGCATTCCAGGTCACTGTACTTAGGGCACCATAGAAGCTGTTCTAAAAATGTCATATGGTAACACCTTAGGCAAAGGGAGGTGTGTAAATAGCTATATATTTTTATAGCCCTGATAATTAATTTTTTAGTACTGTACTTGTGACCTATCTTTCAAATTATCCATGAGATCCATGAGGATGGTTATGTCCAAATCAGCAGAAGTGCTAACAAAATTGGTTTGGTTTTCTAGGTTGGAACTGGCCTGGGCCCAACATTAGAGTTTTATGCACTTGTATCTCAGGAACTGCAAAGAGCTGATCTTGGTTTGTGGAGAGGAGAAGAAGTCACCTTATCAAACCCAAAAGGTATGCTACTGCAGTATTACTGGCCTCACAATACATTCTTTAATACATCAGTGATATCAGTAATGCATCCATATAGATGTAGTGTTATCAAGAGCATCTAGAAGACATTCCCTGTGAATATATAACCTCTATCTACAGGGTGATATATAGAAAAGCTCTTTCGCAAGCTTTCTTTTTGATCATTTTGGACTTCAAGTTTTGCTGTGAAATATTGTATCCTTTTTTCTGAATACTTATAATCTTATACTCAAAGGTTTTGACATGCCTAAGTAAAATTGTCATGAGTTACTTTATATAGACTTGTCAGTAGGTGAATTAATTTGATCCACACTTACCCATATATATCTGTGCCCAACAGGAAACCAAGAGGGGACCAAGTATATCTTTAGCTCTCGGGGTCTGTTTGCTGTTCCTTTCGGAAGGACGACCAAACCAGCACACATAGCCAAGGTCAAGATGAAATTCCGGTTTCTGGGAAAACTGATGGCAAAAGCCATAATGGACTTCAGATTGGTAAATTAACATTTCATAAAATTCTGTATCAAATATCCAGTAGTCTTTGTCATTGCAGTATGTGCACTCTATCTGATATGTGCTTCTGAGTTTTTTGTGTTAGGTATTTTTCTTGGAATTTATTTTTGTAAGCTGTGTTACATTAAGTGCCACAGTGTCTATATGCTGCCTGTTGTGTTCAGATTGCTTTGAAAGTAGTTTATGGTGCAACTTCCGTTTTTCTCTTTAAGTTGGACCTTCCTCTGGGACTGCCTTTTTACAAGTGGATGCTGCGTCATGAATCCTCTATTACCTCCCATGACCTCGTAAACATTGATCCTGGCGTAGCTAAATCGATCCATCACCTTGAGGATATCATCAGACAGAAAAAGAAACTGGAGCAGGATAGGTCACATGTAAGGGCACCTTTCCCAGTTGGAATTGACATGTCTCCTTTTTTGTGTTATATGGCTTTTATAAGGCATGAAATTTGTGTGGTTGTTTGGAAAAGCACGGTAGTTTTTCTACATTCCATTTTCTCTTGACACTTCTCCATTGAAACACCAGGTGGCATCCTTTCATTACTGTTGCTGCAAATCTACCATTCCTTTCCTTTTAGAAGTGGAATCCATATATTAAATCCATGAATAATTTGAAGTTCCTAATTTAAACATCCTTTTATTTCATTTTGTAAAGCTTGTTTAGTTTGATTAGCATTCAGGCATTTCTAACTACCTCTTGTGTAGACGAGGGAGACCCTGCAGCAAGCGCTGGAAAGCCTGACAATGAATGGCTGCTCAGTGGAAGACCTGGGACTTGATTTCACTCTGCCTGGTTTTCCCAACGTTGAGTTAAAGAAAGGAGGCAAGGATATTCCAGTCAACATCCACAATCTGGAGGAATATCTGAGAGTAAGTATCCAGAAATACTCACATTGGTGACAGCATTATAACCCTTTTTTTGTGGAATTAGAGAAAACTGTTTCACCCAAGTAATAGTGCTTTACAGTAGTGATGACTAGGTCCCGAATTCTACCACAAACATTAAAAATTAGAAGTTCACATTTTTGATGTTGAGATACAAGTGAATGTGCAAAAGCATTATTGCCAGCAACTGTTGCCCTGATGCCTTAAATTCTGATATGAGTTTCCCCCTAGTTTGTGTAACCAGCACTTGAAGAGTTTGATTACAGAAAAATGAAGTGTGCTTTACATTAGATAGCATACTGTCTAGCAGTTTGCTTTCAGTTATAGGATTTTTAAACCTTGGTAACTTACTGGACAGAAACACCTTGATTCTGATTCATTATATATATATAAAAGATACAAAAAAGATATGGGAGGTTATTGTGCTGTGTGGGAGTTCAGGGATTCTAAATGGAGATTATGGCTTTCAGTGAAGGATTGCTTTCCTCACCTGCTACAAATTTGTCATTGCCATGCAGTTAGTGTGATCTGGAAAGAACTTCAACTCTTACTGAAATAACAGAAGTGTATTTCAACAAATAAATGGAATTACTTAAAGATGCATATATTTTACATACTACTACACAATCATTTCCATAACTGTGCCAGTAACAGCAGCCATATTTATAGTTTTGTTTTGGTTTTATCCCCTTTTGAATTTTACAAGTTGTTGCTATATTTCCCCTTCTCCAAAATGTTGATACTGCTTCCATTAATATCTTTGAAAGTTGGGCCCTGTTACACACACTATTGAGGTCTGTCTGTCTTCTGAGGTTTTTCTTAATTTTGTAATTAATCCATCAAGTCAGTATCTTCGCAGTCTTGGACTTCATTATTTTAGGGATGAATTAATCATCCTTTTGTTGTTTTTTCTTAAAGATTGGTCAATCGTCATGAAATTTCGCATAATCTCAATACATAACCTTTCCTACATGTAAACTGTTTATACTTACGTCTGTATAACTCTCATCTAGTTTTATATCTTTAGCATTCTTTTTTTTCAATCTGTGTAGGTTTTGAACTGTGGGTTATTTTTTATATGTACTCTCATGTCACCACTACTCATATCTAGCCTGCCTTGTTGGAGAAGTGTAACAATTTTGTATTTCTAACTTGTGCTACCATATAAGTTTAATGGGCTTGACTATGGAAAGTCCATCATCATTAGTACATATGCGTATTTGCTTTATATTTTCATTTTGGTTAATACAAGTTAAACAGGTTCAGAGATTGGATCAAAAATGTGTTTTCTTCTTGAATCTCCAGAGTTTAAATATTCTGATTAATGTGATTATAATACTTGGTTCCATTATAATTATAAAACTGTATAATTGTAATTGGTGGTAATGTTGTACAAAGAACCTAGCGAGAACCTAAACCATCAGAAACTGCAAAATACTTAAGAGGAGTAGCAATCATAGAACAATTATTTTACCTTAGAACAGTAATTTATTTTCTGCGTTTTGGACACCAGCGTGAAAATTAAGTCCCACTTCAAGAAAATGAAGTTGATTTTTATCAATATTTGTCAGAGGCATAATTTTAATGTCTGTTCTTTTTCCTCAGTTGGTGGTTTACTGGACTTTGAATGAAGGAGTTTCCAGACAGTTTGAGTCATTCAGGGAAGGATTTGAGTCAGTCTTCCCTCTGCATCACCTGCAGTATTTTTATCCTGAAGAGGTAAACTGAAAACCTAATTTATGTTTTCTTTAAGTCTGAGAAATGGCCAGTTCCCAATTAAGTGAGTTAGGAAGCATTGTTTTATTGCTAAAGCATTTTGAATTTAAATTATGTTGTCCCTATAAAGCAGAGGTTTTGTTCCTATTGGATTAGTCCGTTAACACAATTGTTTTTTCAGGCAAGTAGGATTTTTCTTGATTGTTTTTTACAATTACTCAGAAAATTTGCTTCATTAAAGGTATATTTACCAATTAAGCAGCTCAGAGTCTGGACAGCAGACACTAGGATATCCAGTAAATGAGTTTGTACCTCCTGGGATTAAGAGGAAAGTACAGGCATTTCTGTTTTAATGCAGTAATTTTTCCCATGAAAACACCACATTCTAGAAAATTGTTATAAAAACCATTGGTTCAATGGGAATTAAGGGGTCAGGAGGTAGAGAGTTTGGATTCACAATAATGAAAGTATTTGTTTTATAGTAATTTGTCATATTATTAGTTTGAATGTATTCTATTATTTTTTGTTTTTGATATATTTTAAACAGAAACTGGAAAAAATAGATAATATGTATCATTTCTTACATCAATAAGCATTGAGACATTTTGCAGTGGCGAAGAGTGAGAACTTTTGTGAGAAACTTTAACAGTACACACTACCGTAATTTTTTAACTTACCACAAAGAACATAGAATACATTTGTAAATACAAATTGTTTATCATTCGTCACGAGAAGATATGATTACACAGAAAAAGTGAAAAAAATAATTATGGTAATGAACTTCATTTTATGTAACACCTTTAAAAGTGGAAGAGATGTTCCCTAATAATCTTATCACGTTATAGCCAATTCACATTATAGAAACATGTATTCTAGCAGAAATGGCTGTATTCTATTTTCGTATTAAATGCAGTATATGAATGCTTTGAATTGTACAGAAGACTTAATCGGCAGGACTGTGAGATTGGCCTTCTCTCAATTGCATTCTTTCCGAAACTGGTTCACAACTGTTGTGAACAACAAAACCTTTAAGAAACTAAAGCTTCTTAAATTTGAGTTCATCATTGAACTTTAAATGCTATTCAGTCAACATCTGCAAAGTTAATGGAAAAAACATAAGTTCACTCTAAAACACATTTAAACAAATATTTTAAATAAAACACTTGATCAATCAATCAGATTTGGTACTGTTAACATAGATCTGATCTGTCCAGTAGCTTACTTTATGGAAGGTAATCTACTGGATAGACTGCTTTGGGGTAGGTAGTCGCCCTCGACAATACACTAGTCCAATGCTGGGCAGGAGCACATACACTAAGGCACACATATAGCAGCCAATTTAGAGACTCCAGTTAACTTACACAGCCTTTATTTTACTGTGGGAGAAAACCAAAACACCCAGTGGAAACTCATGCATATTCCACAAAGATGGAGGCACAGGCTAGAGTGGAACACAAGAGTCCAAGTGAGGCAGCAAAGTTAACCATGAGACCTCCTTGCTGTCTGCAGACATTTACACATATACTCAACAGTCAATTAAAACATTTTCTCATTGGTTCTTTAAAAAGTATTTTTTCTGAATAAAGCTTTTTGTTCAAAATGAAAATATCAACGCATTTTATTACTTCATTTCAATTATAGCTGGATCAGTTGCTTTGTGGTAGCAAATCTGAGACTTGGGATGTAAAAACTTTAATGGAGTGCTGTAGACCAGATCATGGATATACACATGACAGGTAGGAGATTTTATCAGTAAAAGATCTTTTAAGCTCTTCAAGATACTTGATGTTTTTACATAGTTTGTATGTATTGTTGAAATCACTGCTATAAAATTCTTTGTAGATTGACTGCTTTTCTGAAATGATTGTTTAAGAAGTCCATAAAGACCATGTGTCGCACATACTATAATGCTGCACTCCTGAGAATTATGTAATGTCTCTTTCTCTGCCACCAGTCGTGCTGTGAAGTTCCTGTTTGAAGTCCTCAGTAGTTTCGATGCAGAACAGCAAAGACTGTTTCTGCAGTTTGTTACCGGTAGCCCAAGACTGCCAGTGGGAGGTAAGCTTTGTTTTGGCATAGAAGAAAATTTTGCTTAATTACACTTGATTTCACTTTCAATTTGTTTTGCTTTAAATGCATTTGAACTTTTTTTCCCCCCGTTTGAAGGCTTCAGGAGCTTGAATCCTCCGCTGACGATTGTGCGCAAGACGTTTGAATCTACAGAGAATCCGGACGATTTTCTGCCCTCTGTAATGACCTGTGTCAACTATCTCAAGCTACCTGACTACTCCAGTATTGAGATAATGCGTGAAAAACTGTTGATAGCTGCCAGAGAAGGGCAGCAGTCATTCCATCTCTCTTGATCTCTTGATCACATTTAAATGCCTTTTACAGCAAAAGAGAAATCATTTTTTTAAAATCACCTACATCGAGGCAATGTGTACAGCCTTCTTGTTGTAGAAAGCAGCTTGCAAACATTAAAGAATTGATATATATATTTGCTGCCCCTTCTCTCCCACAAACTGAAAGACATTACACGTCCCACAGAATTCACGAAGACTAATACCTTTAGTTGAAAAATAATGTTAAAAATGGGTGACATTTTAAACTTGCATTGCCTTGTGATATTTAAAAAGGGATTTTTTTTTCAGAATGGTGGAACAATAAATGTCACTGTGCATACTGGGGTGTGTGTTTCCATATAGCATCTAGATTTATTTTTGCTCCAAAGATTACTTTGTACAGACAAATTTACAAAGTTGCTCATACTTCACATTTGATAGATCAAGCTCCATGTATTCTCATTTCTCCCTGATTAGTTTGTCCATTTTGCATTCTGTTTGTATAATATGCCACCAGTTTGTGTGTTGTATTTTGGTTCTGCTTTTTTGTGTGTTTCTAAATCTTGTGAAAAGAAAGTTACAGTGTGCTGAATGCGGGTAGAAATCATTTTGTAGGGTTTTCCCCAGCAAATGGTGTAATAGCCTACATTTGCAAAGCGTTTCACCTCCGTTATGAACTCAAAACAGTGCTTTGATTAGGTAGTGTTTTCGCTTAATAGTTTCTTAGTGTAGGTACATTCTGCTGAATCCCTGAAAGACACACTAGTTGCTGTGTACTTGATTATTTCTGGCAAGAAATAAACTTGGCTCAATAAATGCTGAGAGAGCTCCAATCATATTTTGTAGCTGGGCAAATTGAGCTGGTGTATCGTTTTTATCATTTAATGGCCAGATAGCATTTCAAGTTAATTTACAGAATAAAGTTTAAATGCAGATTCACACCCAGTTTGTGGTGAGATACCTGCTTTATTTTCTTTTTTAAATTTTCTATTTTTTTCTTGCTGTAGTTTTTTTTTTTATTTTCAGCACTGCTGGCTTGGAACAAACAGCTGAGCACACCAGCAGTGTGTGGACTTGGATAAGGCAAGTGTAAGCCATCCTTTGTCCAGCTTTTCATGTGCTGGTTTCTAAGATCTGCAATAATTTACTGCATCAGGTTCATGTTTTTACCTGAACATAAATAAAGTTAACTGTTTGACTCACATCTTTGTTCATATTTTTCCCTATTTTATTTTACTTATGGTCATAGTAACTAAAACACTGTGGAATTCATACTTAACCTAATCCTTGTAAATTACACGAAACCTCAAAACCTCAGGTGGTAAAGCTGAGCAAGTAAAACAGCATGACTTCCGGGAAGAAAAACAAATTTGTTAGAAGTTTCAAGGTAGAAATGGTTGCTTTTCATAAAATATGAACATTTGGTGCATAAGCCTAAGATTTTATATTTGCAGTGAGAGGAATCCATGTAACCTTATCTGACCTGCAGTCATATACCATTTCATAAAATGAGTGTTTTGTTCTCTGTGCCACCCTTATTTTTCCTTCACATAATGTTTCAACTTTTTTGTCATTGCATTTGAATTAAATCAAGTCATTGCTCAGATTGTTTTTCTCGACTTGCATTGATTGCAAGCATCTGCTAGAATCCTGACCACTTCACCTCAACTACCATCCATGAAGAAGCAAAAATATGGCTATGGAGGGAATCCGTTGAACTTGTAATAATGATGCTTCAAGAACTAATTTAAGATGTGCTTTACATTTTAGAATTAAGTGAATGGGTTTCATATTTCTTATGGAATTGTTATCTTAATAACTTCAAACTGAAATATGAAATATCTTACTGTTGAATAATGATTTGGATCAGTGTTCTACTTCTCTCTCGGTTGCATTATTAATGAATTGAAGCACAATGAATGAAGACGTTGCAGATTTTACATTGTTCCTCCATGGTGATAAGAAGTTGGTCACACAAAAAAGAATTATTATAAGCATAAAACTAAAGTGTGCAAGGTCAGTAAAATTGTGGATTGCTTAAAAAATGTCACAATAGACACTGGCTGTCCCAACTTGCTAGGTTTCAAATAATTAGGGTATAGACAAATTGAGTTGAATTGAATGTTTAGTCCATTCAAAAATGGAAAAACACATTGTTCGTGGAATGGGATTATAAATGATATATTAAAGTGACAAAGTGTGATAACCTTTAAATTTCTAGTATTGGGGAAACAAGGGGCAGGTTGAATTTAAAATATTGCTTTTATTTTATGGAAACAAAAATGAACAGGTCTTCGTGTTGATTAAAGTGGACAGAGGCCAGTTAAAACTAAACAAAACTGAGGTGACCTTTTTTAAAAAAACATCTTTTGGATTAAGGTTTTTTGGCCCTGTTTGTGCTGGGACAAATAGTTGTGTAACCACTACGCATCCAGTTCATCTGTAGGAAAAGTCAGAATTGTTCTTTTCATCACAAACTCTGCAGGCAACCTTGCAATCGCATTCCTAAAGCTGTTTTTTTTTTACTTGTAAAATAAATGTCTCATTTAGTGCTGTATGATGATTGGGTTTTATGTTCAGATGATCAGAGAACACTTACACTGTGATGTTGTTTAGTCTATATAGAACCATTGTGTGTGGCTGGGTAATGTTTTTTGATATACAACACCAACACTTTAACACGTGAAGTGGGTTTATTTATTCGGTATCTAGTATGTTGATTATGCAAATAGGTCCAAAGCAACAAAAACAAGGTAGTAAATTGGAATATGTGCTGCATGGGTTGTGAAAAATCATACTCTTAAATGTAGTGTGCGCTCAGAATGTGACCTTTGAAATATTCCAATTGTACGCTATGGGTAAAATTTCCCAAGTCTGTCAAAGAAATGCACTTCGTGTCTATTTAATTCTACAATGAGAAATGTATAGCCCTGAAGACTAGACGTGCAAAATTCAACAATACAATTTTTTTGTAGTGTTTTGTCATTCAAGCTTACGTTTTTTTGCATTGCGATGCATCAGTTGTTTAAAACCCGTCAGCTGTATTGTACAGCGGTTTTACACCAAGGTACAGAAGAGGGGAGACATCACCACCACCAAATCTGTAACAGTGTCTGTTCATTCAGCCTGATTACCCTACTACAAGTGAAATCCACGTAAGTGTTATTCTAGTCGACCTTGGCTCTTTATTTTGTGTAGATGAGTTTCAGAAGGCTAGCACTGTCCTGCCAAGAGGTTTTTAACCTTAATCATCGCGATTCCCTGAACCTAAGCCAGTAGCTCACAACTGGGGGATTAAAAGCCTGTACGAATCCTGTTTATCCCCTTGATGCTTGTTCTGCCATCAACTGAAAAAGACCTACTATGGCTCTGAGGCAGTATGTTTGAACTGCGTGTCTTTTGTGGGGATCCACCTAAAAAAAGAGCACGAAAAAGTGCATTTCAAATGTATACACTATGAAATGGACATGCTCCAGTGATACTGGTTGCCAGGCAACCTATCCGAAAGTACCGGATCACTTCAAAGGCTATAAACATTTACAGTGCCGCCATTACAGAGATTTATACACATCTGACCTGATGAGATTTGGTCTTTTTTTCTTTCAGCAAAAGTTTAGAAAGAGCTGTTTTTTTCCCCAACTAGGTCCTTATTTGAAAGCATGGACTGTGAGCAGAGAAAAGGCAAACACTTAATAGATGCTTGCAGAAGTTAGCACTGGTGTGGTGTTTCAAGGCCAGGTTGGAACAAGAGCCAGTTGATACAGGGGTCCCCCAGTACTGAGGTTGAGAAACTGGGGTTCCCCTTCCCCCCTTCCTAGCTCTGGGGACCCCTACACCAACTGCTTTTTGTTCCATTTAAGCACTATAATAAATCTTTTAACACGCTGTAAACCTAATAATTTAAACGCTTCATTGTTTTCATTTCCTGAACGTGTAGGATGTTGCATTTAACTACTATATTTTTAATAACTTAAAATTTCCCAGGTTTGAGGAAAAGAAGCTTGCAAAGGTTTTAAGCAGTTATCGTCTAATTCACCCACTGAAGTAAAGAGCTCAGCTTTTATGAATACCAGCAGGTATGAGGATCTCCAGCACTAGAAATAGTATCTGTTTCAAGATCCCCTCTGTTAAATACAGCCCTCAGAAGACCTAAAGCTGGGCTGTGATCTGTCCATGGGGCTATTCTTCATCAGGTAAAGTTATTTTTATGCTGTTCCCATGTGAAATTTGCACATGAACCAAGGGGCATACACTGTATAAAACCCTACAATGACATCCGAGTCTTCTTATGCAGGCCTTGTGGTGGTGTGGCACCTTATGAAGGGTTGCCTGGAAACAAATGACATTGTAGCCTGTAAATATAATACTGTATCAGGTAACATTTCATTCCTTCATAAAAACCATTCATTTTTAATATATGATTTTCCGATTTTTTCCTGTTTCTATACTTGTTTCCTCTATATGTATATTCATTAGTCATTATGACTAACTGGCTAATTATAGCCAGCACCTGCAGTACATCACCCTGCAACTGACAACTGACAACCCACTGATATTAAGCAGGTATGAGCCTGGCTCGTACCTGGATGATAGACCACCTTAGAAAGCTGCTGGCAGAGGTGTAAGTGAAATCAGTAGGGGGCACTCACTCTGCGGTCTGTGTGGATCCTAATGCCCCAGTAGAGTACAAAAAGGCAAAAGACTTCTGCAAGATGAAGAGAAACCGGAGGGCATTGACTCTAACCTATAGAAAGGCGCTGGCTGGATAAAATATAAAACCAAGGTCCCATTGTTCTTTACCAATCATGGCCTCATAATAATCCTCATCTAGGAATTGGCTTCATCATTCTCCTCCTCACTGATAGCTGTTGTGTGGTGAGTATACTGGTGCACTATGGCTGCCATCGCATTATCCAGGTGGTGATGGAGTGGAGTCCCCATTACCTCTAAAGAGCTGGAGAGTCCAGAAAGGAGCTATATAAGTGTAAGGAATGGTGGCGTTATTATTACTAGTTGTAGTTTGTAGCAATACATTTTTCAATATATACATTCACAATTATAAGTAGATCTATATGTAGATATCGCTTATTTGGAAAATGCGGCTGCAACGCTCTGCGTCGACGGAATTTCTTGCCACTCGTTAAGCTGGTTGTCATGTCCGTACAATCATGTCATGTAATGAAACTAAACCAGGTGCAGCTCCTGGTTTAGTTTCATCTCCCCTAGAAATTCGTTTTTCAGTTCTGTCCTGTGAAGCTCCACTCCACAGATTTGGCTTGCCTAGGGATTACAGAAGATGAGTAGGTATTTGAGACGGTGCTGGAGACCTCTCTATCTCTATTGGCAGCACCTTCTCAGTGGTGTGGAACTATTTGCTGCCTCGGGGATTAGTGCATTATGTTCAGTGAATCTTCAGCCATTTGGGCGTTGTTCTGAAGTTTTTACAGCACCATTGAGGAACATACTCCAGTGTTAAAAGGCTGAATAATGCACCTGTATTCTAGAGAAGGAAATATTTGCTCATGCTTCATACTGTAACACAACCTGGGTTCAGGCAGGCGCCCTTGTCGCATTAGGTCGGCCAACCGTCGGGTGCTCGAAGCCGGGACTCCCGCGTCACTCAACAGGGGCCCAGCCCGGTGAGCCAAAGAGAGATCTCTCTACAGCCCAGTAGCTGTAGTCCTGCTATCACAGGGAAGGGCGGCGACGTCACCGCTCTGGAAAGCCGGCTCTTACACACAGTGCTTGTCGGCAGTAAGCGTTACAATACTTTCACGAAGAATTTAGTACCGTAGAGTAAAACATAAAAGGCGAGGTAGGTCCTCAGTATTTTTCGATCTAACAAAAAACCGCTGGTTAGCACTGGAGTGCTTATGAACACGATGAAATATAGTCCTTGAATTCACTCGTAGCTGTGTGACGCATTTAATTCATGCAAACAAAAACGTGGTTGTACTTCCAATGTAATAAAAAAACGTCTGGGTTTTGTGTTAGGAGTGGCCACTAGATGGAGATGTTTACAGTTAGACGTTAAACTCCTGTGAGACCCATTTGGAGCACGAATATGAATCACTTAAGATATGTAGATTGTTTAGCTCTTTAAAAAGCACAATATTACAATATATTGCAGTAGTCTTTGTATAATAAATTTAAAATAAATGTAGAATAATACATTTAAAAATAACCTAGACTGAGCCTTTGTTTAAACTACAGGATGATATGCACTGTCCTAATCAACTAATGTGGTTTGTAATGGATATGAGCTTCTTGTTTATTGAACACAGGCAGAACATACTAACTCCACACAAACAGAACCCCACGTCTAGAATTTAACCCCGGGCCCCAGTGCTGCAAGGTAGCAATGCTGACTACAGCCACCCTTGTAACAATAATGCAAATTATTCATCTTAACTGATGGGTCGCAGTTATCAAAGAGGCGTCTTTCTCCATTATCCTTTTATTGTGTTACGATAAAAGACTCTAGGATTTTTAATGCTGCATTTGGTTTACTGCTGATGGAACGCTAGAATCTTTGGCATTAGCAGAGTATGGTACGGACAGGTGTAGTGCGATAGTGAGATCCCCCACTTCTCTTTGCTAAGAAGTGCTGCTCCATCTTGATCTCGTGCCTCTCCTCCATTCGATGACTCACGTCAGAAAATTACAGACAATGAGGAGGAAATGTATATTCTGATCACAGCATGGAAGCATAGAGGGAGGGTAATGGAGAGAGACAGTTATAATAAATCACAGGGCATTATAAATTATAACGCAGCTTAAGACTGGTTTCAGATATGCACATTTTAGAATATCTGGATGTGAGGAAGATGGGGTGCAGCTGAAAGACATGTTGATACTATATTACTACAAATCTCATCCTTTTTTACTTTTTGGGGTTTAACATTTTTACTTTTTGTTTTGCATATATTCACGACCAAATACATTTCCAAAATGTGTAGAAATGGAATTGGGAAGACTATTTTAAGACACTGGTGAATCAGAACAGAATTACACAGAATGACAGAATGTCCTCGCTGAGCTTTTTTTTTGTTAAGATTTACACTGGATGTGAAGATTTTGTGAGTTCGCAAAAACGTTGCTACTGTCATTTTTTCTTACAATAGTGCTATTTAAAACTTAAGCTTCTGCTACTCTAATTGGATAAAGCGGTTAGGAGATGGATGGATATACAATATGAGCTCAGAAAACAAAATTATACATAAAAACCCACAAAAAATAAATATTAGTGATGTTGTCAGAGCGGCAGCGGCAGTCCATCTTAATCTGTGTGTGTGATCGGGAGTGGTGTTTTTTTTTTAAACTAACATCACTTTATTAACCCTTTACAATTTCTTGCATTAGGAATTATCTTTTCACATACCCCAGCTTGCTCTCCATGAGACACAGACAGGGAGAGAGTCCCTGTCTGTCCCTCCCTGTAAGAGCACAGGGTCTGCCATTGTACAGTGCCCCTGGAGCAGCTGGGGTTAAGGCCTTGCTCAGGGGCCTAACAGAGTAGGATTCCTCTGCCAGCTGTGGGGTTTAAACCGGCAACCTTCCAGCCACAGGTGCAGATCCTTAGCCACAGAGCCACCGCTCCACACTAAGCTTGGTGAATTACTCTACCGTGTACCGTTGGAAGGAGCAAAATCCTTTGCTGTTGCAAAAGCTGCCGGACATTGTGGGTTGTGGTGGACATTGTCCTGTTCAAGGCTTGGGTGGTCAGGCACTTTGGACTAACACAAACCAAACTATAACAGGGCTGAATATGTTAACCCTGTGTTTTCTTTTTCCTTTTAGGTCGATAATCGCTAGCTGTTACAATTACTAGTTTATGCAGCTAGGTTTGTTGGAGCAATCTGGATAAAGGTCCTTGGTGTAATGTGCATCAACAGTATCTGCACTCGGGATTTGAAGTCCAGAGCCCATAATCTCTGTTTCACATTGCCATTTAAGAGATATGCCAGGTTTGCCCGTCATTGTTGACATTGTAACACCTTTGGAAGTACACTAATGGTGTCTGTGTGACATCTGAAGTGATTTAAAGCACACTCGGCTCTTGATAATGCTCATCATTAGACAGCTGTGGTATCAATGTTTATGGGATTGGGGCTCTCCTGATATAAACTGGTGGTTGCTTAACATGTCTTTCTAATTATCTGACTTGTCCAATAAATACATCTGGACTACACCTTGTAAATACAATTCGAACAACCTGTGATATGTTGTGACTCTTGTCAGCAGTTTTCAGGCAATTGATTGTAGTCAATACCATGTGTGAATCACAAAAATCAGATGCTGTGTTTATAAATTCACCCTGTTTGCCATACAGTATATATTTAAAAGAATAACTTTTGCACAAACACAACAACTAATAATGACTTATCGCATAAACTGTCCTCACCTGTTCTACACTGTCCCAAACAAATCAAAGATCTTGTTACACAAAATATAAGAATGTTCCACAGTACTAGTGAATCCAAGGAATATTTTGGAAAGTCTCCAGGCAAGCACAAATGGTTACAAGGGGTTTTCTGGGGAATGCGTCAATATTAATTGGATGCTCAACCATTTAGACATTTGATTAATCTCGAAGAGACGGCTAATTCATTCTGTTACTTTGGACGTTACGAAACGGAGCACAAGCATTCCTAAGGGTGTGTGGAAGCAGTGTGAGAAATGGTATTGATTTTTCTTATTTTTATTTTCCCTTGGATACGAGTTGCACTCGTTCGGTTGCAAAAGTAAAAGATCTGCAGGCTGCTTGATTCATCAACGGCCAGAAAGGAAATGACATTTTCCGAAAGGTATGAGAAGATATAAACAGTACAAATCAAGGAAGAAACAATCTAGGCCTTGGTTTAATTATACCTTTTAACATCACTGTCCAGAGTGAAAACTGTAATCCCAGCAAATCACACTTGCACACAATGATAGATTAACCTCCACTGTAATAGGAAATTATTGTGTGTTAGGCACGTAGTTGCCTCAGGACTGATGTAGATCTTTTGTATGACAACATCTTGTACTGCAAACCAAACTGATTAATACTGAGATTTGAAATGGACATTCATAATGTGAACTCATTTTGTTCTGCTTTGCTTTTTGTTTTACTTCGAATGTAATTTGCTTTTCGTCTGTGCACATTAAGCACAGCAAGATAAAATTGTTTGTTTTAACAATACCCACCACCCCCAATGACTTTCATTGACTTGGACTTCAATACATTTCTGCAGTATAGTTTACATTGCCCATGAAGAACACAAGAGTGTACAATACAAACAAAACTTAGCATGAAATATACATTGTTCTGCCCCACTGACTTTTAAAAAAGTTGTCATTGATATTTCTGACCCATCCATCCATTGTCAGGATTACAATTATACTTAATAAGGGTTAGAGCCATCCAGAGCCCATCTTGGAAACACAGGGTAAAAATAGAATTATACTCTTGACTGTGAATTTGGCCTTATTTATATTGTATACTTCAGTAACACTTTATAATGAGGTCACACCTATTATAAAGGTGCTTATTAAACTATAACATTTAATAAGCAATGTACATAATATTAACAAATAAAGAATAATGACTTATAAAAATGTAGTATTTAGTTATAAATCTAGATAAATGAATACTCTTCCAGGAAAGCAAAAGCTATAGAAAGCAACCTGGTAAATGTAATAATTTTTTATTGTCATCAAACAGTGAGGCTTTTTGATGCTTGGTTATTAACAGCTACAGAAGTAGGAAAAAGCAGAATTGAAAGCTAAGTTACCTTTATCTTTTATTTTTTTGGCAGATGGAGAATTGTAATTTTTTTTGTAATGGTGTATGCTCTTCAATATTTACTATAAAGGAATATATTTACTGTAGAGTTTATAATATAGTGTTGAAACCAAATAGAGAAGGAGTTGTCAAAGGGTTCAGACCTGAGCTGTAATTTTGCATTTTTTTGTTTTTCATTGCTATTCTGCTCCTTAAGGTCTTGCAATGATGCTCAGCTTTCACCTGACTCATGGAAATGTGTTCATGACAGGCAGTAGATTGTAGGAGTCTGGGATTGAAATGATACAGATTAGTCATTGTTGTATACCTCCTCTTCCTGGGATATTACCAAGCAGACTGCAGTCTTTAAAATTCCACCTTCTTAAACCTTCGGGTGTGCTCTAACTGACAAAGGAATGTGTGATCAGCCATGCCTCTGCCATAAAATCTAATAATGAGTAAATGGTTTTAATCTCATTTCAAAAAGCTGATCTGGATTAGAGAAGTCCAGACAATCTGTTTTGCCCACAGGATCCTTGCCCCTTCAGTAAAAAAGACAGGGGGGAAAAGAGGACATTTAGTTATGAATGATGCGTGCTAAATTAGCTCTTCTTGCTTTTGTGGCTGTGTGTGTATAAGTAGGTTGTATCCCTAAAGGCTTAAGACTGTCGTCACCTGTCGTCACTGTGAATCAGTTTATGAAAGTGAGCTGGAGCCTGCCTCCTCCTTCAGCCACTCAGCCAGCCAGTTTGCTTATCAGCGCTGTGCAGCCCAGCTCACTTGATCTGCTGTCCTCTCAGCGTCACAGGCGGCAGAGCGCTACAGACAGAAACAGTAACAGCAGCATCAGCAGCAGCAGCAGCAGCAGCAGCAAGAGATCCGCAGCAGTGAGGGCTAGGTCGTCTCGAGCAGTGTCAGCATGCCATCCCTACTGCAGCTCCTCGTTCTCCTTGGTATCGGCTACTGCCTGTCCAAGCCCCTGGCCACCCTGCCTCCAGACCCCTGTGAGGGCAAGCCATGTCTGAACAACGCCACCTGCGTCCCCTCGGCCGGAACTTCACCGGAGATTCAGGCTTACAACTGCACCTGTAGCCCAGGGTTTACTGGGCAGAACTGTGAGGTAAGATGGGGGTTTTGTTATCAATGTCTGTAGAGTTTTCACAAACAGTCCGTGGCTTGCATTAAACAAAAGGAAACTTAATGTCTGCTCTTCACTTTCCTCTCGGTTGCTGTTATGCTTGATGTGTGCATGTGCCGTCAATTAGATCTTTAAATATTAAAATGCCGTTACTCTGGCAACCCAACTGTGATCGCAGGGTTGCTGGTAAGGAGCTACTGTTACAGCACTGTGAAAGCTAAGGAAACTGGAGGTGTCATTTTTGTGAAAGTACTATACAGCAACATTTAGTTGACGCCTGTTTTTAAAAAAAAAACGTTTCCCTTAGAGGCTCTGGGAATATTAATTCTTATCTTTTTCAATATCAGCATTATTTTTAAAGAGTCAATACTGTACGTACAAAATAGGTCACAAAGCAGTATCTAAAACCAGTTTTGAGTCTGAAATTCCAGTTCCAGAGTGTTAACATAAAATATGCCACCATCAATACGGTGAGCAGTAAGTACAGTAAATTAAAGAAATAGTGAAAAAATAAATTTTGAGTTTAGTTAGTTAGACATAGTTCCTATTTTGCCTTTTTTGAAAATTGTGCTGATAATGTGAAACTGAATTATAGACGGGACTGCACTAGACACATCAAGTTAAAATCTGGTCAGTTGTGCCAAACGGTGTTTAATCTGGAACCTACAAGTGATTAGAGTATTTTGTCTAAGAGCCTTTTTATAATTTGACTTGAGGGGTCAACCTCTGACACTGTTATATTATCTGTTTCCACTGGCAGAAAATTAAATAAGTCTCTTCAGAACTCAGCAAATTAAGCAATTACTACAGGCCATGTATTTAATCTTAAACTGAAGGCTGATTTGCTAATGAAAGCCTGGAAAATGTCCACTTCGTGCTGAGAGGTATTCAGGATCTGTTTCACTGGATCCTTCCAAAATAACTGTAAACTGCCCTCTTGCATTCTACGATACGCCTCGTTGAGATTGCATTTCCAAGCTGTTCAGGCTTTTTTTTAAGAAGTCAGAGTCACAATGAAACTCATTACCGTTCATTAGCTACTGTAGATTTCACTTTTTCTGTGGTGGTGGAAGGCACGTGTTTTTTTTGTTAGTTTGATAGAGAGCAATCTCCATATCTGCATCCTGTGAACTGCTGTTGAACAGTACTGTGCGTATGTCGCCATCTGAGCTTGCACAACAGTTACCAGTGTGGCAGAGACAGGCTAGAAGCTAATTGGTTGAGGATTGCAAGAATTTGAGGATAATAATGTTGACTGGATTACAACTCTGCACCTGCTCTGCATTGTTCCAGGCTATACAATGTACTTCCTCTGTATCGTAGTCTACTACTATGGGCTTCAAAGAAATTTTCATGAATCCCACAGGAGACATGCATAGTTTCAGAAAATGCTATGTGTATTTTGGTGACATTAATGTGGCTAGTGTGATCAAAACCGCACTTTTTTAGGATAGGTTACACCTCTGAAGAAAAAGCAGTAAAAGGATGATACCAGTCGATGTCTGTAAAGCTGTTTTGCTTTGGTATTGCAAAGATAAGGTCTCAGTGTTAGCTTACATATTTGGGCTTTGTGAAAAGACAGAATATAATAGTAACAAAATACCAAATTTTAAATTGGCAGTTTATGAGTGGATCAAATTTTGATTTCATGTTGCCACCATTGTCTACAATGTCCTATAAAATAGGTTATTTATAGATCAGGAAGGTGGTGTTATCCCTTTGGATAGAGAAACCCTGATTATGACAGTAATCAGTGGGGCAGCATACTGTACACTCAATTTGCAAAATTCTTAAGGAGACTCTTTCTCAACTGATGTGATGGATTAAGATGCATAATTGCAAAGTGCACTTTGTATTCTTTACGTATGCTGTGGAGATTCTACTGACAATTTTAAAGCACATGAATATAGAGATCATTTAATGGTCACAATAGAGTTTAATGCATTATAACTTTGAACAATCCCAGATTAGTGGTTAATGGTATCCTGAGCCTACTATTTTTTCTAATCAGAGAGGAACTCATATTTTTTTGGGATAATTAAGGGGGCAACTTAGCAAATGAATTTCCCTTTTTATAGTGTGCCTTTTTATGATGAATAACTTCTCAAAGTCACATTAAAATAAGGCAGGATAAGCGAACGGTTTAGATGCTTTAAGAGAAGATACCATTAAGAAATTGCATTTAAAAAATAAATGACTTCAGTATAACAAATCCTGTACTGTAACGAACAGTTCTTTCCGGACCCTATGCAGACGACACAGTCCGACTGAGTGGGGAAACACTAGGGAAACGTCATGCAGGAAAACGGGGCTGAAGACAGGGGGGCGTGTCCAAGGTGCTCTGGTGCACGGGGGAGGTGTGGCCGAGGCGAACAATCCGAGAGAGAAGTCCTTAGGGGATATCCAAAACACAAGGGTAAGTCCAAAACCAGAAGATCCATCAGAACAAAGAATTAAAAACCACGAAGGCCGGGTCGGAACCGGCGGACGGGGAACGGGAACGGAGGTTAAAACCTTAACGGGACCAGGCGCTTCCAGGTCCCGGACTCGCACGGTACGGAAACCAGAGCAGAGCCCGGATGAGCGTCGGCGCCTGGCTTTTAAGGTGGGCTGTGAATAGGGAGCAGGTGCATAGAATACAGTCTTGAGTGAAAGGGCTGGAGCACCCTTAAGGAGGGGGAACTAATATCGTGACATGTACAATACAATCAATTTCAGAACTTTGTTTTTTGCACGCTTGTACAGTAGTTTAAAAAGGCAGATTCCTCAGCATGTGAAATCCCAGATAACGAGCATTCTGAAAAGGTGATGACCAAATTGACTGCATCTTGACATGACTATTTTTAGCTCCAACCCAATCATCCTCTTGTATGCAGGTGGCTTCACATGGAGCGCCTTGTCATGTAGTTGCTTCATCAGCTGTTGGCTTCAGTGTATGGGGCCAGGGCTGGGCACTGTCTTCTATAGCAGTCCCATCAAAACATTGCTGAGACTCCAGTGCTTGTGTGGCATTTCACACTGCTGGTACAGCAATGTTTGTCCTGAGTTGAAATGACAGCACTAGGCCTAATGAGCCTGCATGCCACTTTTGAAGGCTATTCTGAACTGTTCAACACTCCCATTGATTTGGGGAATACAGACCTCAATCTGGACAAGTTTGATATCATTATTGCTCTGTCTAGCTGATCAAGTAATGAAGTTGGACAAACTGTGGGCAAGTGTCCAAGCTGATGATCCAAACATTCCCCCAGCTAATAGGTTGGTCAGGATACTTATGATGTCCTGAATGGTGACCAAGCCCACAGAAATGGCCTCTTGTTATTTTGAGTGGAGGTTGTCACCACCAGAAAGTTCTGGTGGAGGGGCCCTTCACAAATTGTCCCTCAGGTGTTCCCAGGGTTGCTAAAGCCGCCAGGAGAGGGGCTACAAATGTGGACACCTATTCTTTCCACTGGTCAGACCTACTGTGAAGTAATTAACAAGTGCCTCAATATCCCAATCTACACCTGGTCATCACAAAAAGCAATAAGCATCCCACTTTGGTGCCAGTCATCTACAGATGTGGACAGTGCTACAAAATCAAGGAATCAAACCATTGTCCCACATCACAAACAGGTGCCTGTGTATGTACTCTACTTTGTAGAAAATGGTGAATGAGGATGTCTGCTGACACTTTACGCAACTGCAGAGCTCAACACCGGGCATTATTCCGAAGTAGTTTTACTTGCATCAGCTGACAAACGTGCAGGGACTACAGCACACATTTATCTGCCAAATAGAGATTGCAGAGACAACATAGCGACAATTAGAAGGAATCCTGAATGTCTGCCTTGATGTCAAATACTTGTAGGATGATATAAAGGGTCAAAAGATATTGTTCAGAATAGGACCTGGGACAACACTATAGGCAAAATGGTTCTGTGCAGGTCATGTCCTTCGAAAAGTGATGGTTTATTTGAACCCAAAAGATTTTATCCATACATATCCTATGCTGAGAAGACTTATATCTGAGAAAGTGATTGAGAACAATTGCAGTCCATGACAACAATAGATTTTGATCCAAATGACCAATGACTCAGAGATGTCATGGTCAGTAGTGAGTAGCCAATTAATGACAGCCTTCAACAACGCAGATTCAGTGATGTGGTACAGCTGGAAATCTGTCTAGAGAGGCACAAGGAAGCTATTTTGTGCACATTAGAATGAAAAGAGGTGGATAACAGCTGGGACCATCAGAATGAAGTGTTGATTTCGTTAAGAAATTGCACACAGTGGTACTCAACTGATTCCTATATTTGTAAACATAGGAAAGCACTGAAAGAAGTAAACGAACATCAGAAAACATGTTTCAAACAATAATACATTGATGCAAGTGAGTGATTTTGATAGAATACACATACACATACTATAGTCTTTTTCCAGCTAAATATATTTTAAAAAAGGTTTGTACATGTAGTATTACATAAATCGTTTTGTAATAGCATTCTTAAATTAAACCTTTTTATTGAGTTTTTTTTTAAATTACCACATCTTTAGATTTTGCATCTGTCATGTTCTGATGTTGTTATGATGCAAAGTCATAAACTTGTTTTACAGACACAGCAACTTGTATTTTTAATGGAGGCTCATGTTTTTGTCTGGAACTGGTGACTGAATTTGAGGCAGAGGGAAAGGAAGGGATGTTTGTAAATTGTGCTCTTGACCCAAGAAACCAGACCCTGAAGTAATATGATGAAATGTAAAACAGTGCTCTGCTTGACCCAGAATGTGAATGGTTTACTAGATGAGGGTGGGTTAAAATGCGTTTGCTTCAGTGTTTCAGGAAATGAAGTAAAGCACAGCATTCTGTGTTTTAATTATATATACAATATGTGTTTATTGAGCAGTATTTTGCTTCTAGTGTAGCTCTAAAGAAAACAACTGTAAAATGAAGGTGAGCTACTATAACACATTGAGATAACCACAAATGCAGTATTACCACT